AGGTTTAGATGTAAAAAACTGGCCCTTAAGTTTCATACCTGCATATTTACAGTAACAGTGATGTTGATAATGTGGACAAGGTCACTGCCCCAGTACTGTGTGTGTGTTTGACTGTGTGTACAATGTGTGTTGAAATGTCAGAGGAAAGGAGCGTACTGTTGTGTGTACATTTAAAAAAATGGTCAGAGAATGGCTGAGGTCAGCCCTTTTCTCATAGAGGCCCTGACAAGTCTTTTTCTTTCACCCCTCCTCCCTTTCTCATTCTCTTACCCCTCCTCTCTCTCACACACAGGCACAGAACGAATGAATAGCAGCTGCATTTTTGCAGCGCTGTAAGTGGCTTCACGAGTAACATTGTGAACACAGCGGCACAAGTCAATAACGTGCAGCACACAGAAACCCCAACCAAAGTATGCTACTTAAAGTAGACTTCATTTAGAGTCATACAGAAAAGCAGGATATACAAGCTGTACAGACTTCAGGGTTTTTACTGGAAGGGCACTCAATCTGCCTCAATCAAGTTTTCCATTCTGACCACAGACTTCTGATGATGTCATTAGCGTCTTCATGCCAGGAAAAAAGGCCCTTGCCCACGTATATGGAGTTTCAGTCGGCCCCCTCTCAATACACAGGCACACGCACGCATAAACATGTGCTTATGACTGTAGTGTGCACTCAGCATAATTGTTTGCCTCGTAACAGTTTATGTTATAGTACTTACATACATGGCCAACAGCGTATTATACATTATACTTATGCTAAAATGTCCGTTAAACTTTCACTAATGTAAACACTTTGTATGTGTGTGTGTGTGTGTGTGTGTGTGTGTGTAATTAGCATTGACTATTATATAATTAGTATTATGTAACAAGAACAGTATGTATCAAATAAAGTAAAATTTTTATTGCACAAAATGGTTAAAAACTGAACTGATCAGTATAGATAAACCTGCAGCACCCACTGCCATCACCCACAAAATACTGGCGTTACTGATTTTGCCATTAGCATTTTGCTGCTGCTTGTCAACTCACACCACCACACGAAGTGACATGTTATTAAATTCCCATTTTTGACCAAAAATTGCATCTGTTTAAAAAGATACAGTGGCTCTTCATCCGTCTCAAAGGAGGCATTGTGTGATAGAGGGAGACTTAGCTACTGGGTGGAATAGGATATGAGAAAAACAGCCAACCTTTAAAATACTGTAATACTTAGTGTCTTATGTTACTGTTAAGCTACATGTGACTACTATTGTGATCATATTACCTATGTTATATTATATTGTGCTACAAGCAATTCTGTGATATTTCAAGCTAGATTTATTACAGAATCTGATCAGATTCATCCTTTTTTCTTCAATATCTGATTTAACATTTTCTACTGCTCTGTACTATCTCTAGTTAAAGAGAATGTGTTCTGTATGACAGCTTTTAATATGCTCAGTTTTAGTGTGCTGCTCTCCAGCTGGCTCTTTTAGTGTCTCTTCTGTATGTTGTTTCTCTATTCGCACATTCATATCATCCACTGCAGCACATGCTGTTTGAAGTTACTGAACGTATGTCTTGTCTCTGAGGTCGTGAAGTTGCATGGCACCACCACAGCATGTCTGTACTTCTGACTCTGTGACAGTGTGGTTATTAAATGAGTCAGTAATTCCAGGAGCACACTGCATACCTTTTTAAAGTCTTTATGTTTATGATTGTCCTTATTCAAACACAGGCTCAGCACTTGTCTCTGTCAACTATATGCTGCAGATGGAGCCGATAGAAGGTTAAAAAACAATGGAGTATTCCTTTAGTATACTTAATTGTGCAAAAGTCTGAGATCACCTTTTTAACCACCCAGTTATTTAATTTCCAGGCCAAAAAGCCAATTAAGTACAAGTTATTAATTTTTCAGGATATAATTCTTAAGAGATGCTGGAGTTCTAAAAATGATTAAAAGATACAGAGAATATGGGACCTGGTAGACCACTAAAACTGTCCCCGTCAGATAAACAGTACTTTCATCAGACCTCAAAATCAGTGAACATGTTTGGGATGACAACTTCTAGGACTGAACTTCGGAAGTTTGTAAAAATATCCCTGCGGATTTCTTTGAAAAACTTTCAAAAAGGTACCAGTGGTGCATTTTCAGTATTTAATGTATTTAAGACTGATGCGTATAGATTATGGTGGTGGTTTAATATGGTAAAAATACAATGTCACAAGACATTTTAATGATACATAATAAGTATCGCAATTAGAACAGATAAAAAAGTGCCAGTAGTGCGATATTTAAAAAAATCGATCAAAGACTCGCACTGGACAATGAGTTTTATTCATTGTTTCATATGCTGCAATAAATCCAAATAAACAAAACTAATTGTGCACTCTTTGTACCGATGATATCCATGATATGCTCAGAAGGCATATTGTCACATAATTTATGACAATACGATGACGTATTTCCATATAGATTAGGATTGGAAATAACAGAGTGGTTAGAGATTACTGCAATAAGCACTTCCTTATTATGAAAGCACATCTGACACAATAATGCCTGTCTGAGTCATGTAATGCAGTGGCACTCAAAACTGATGCCTGAGGCCAAAAGTACTGCACAGTGCAGTGTAATATCCTGCTCATAATTCTCAGCTCATAAGTGTGTCGTCCAGGTCTTGATAAACCAAACCAGGTGTGTTGGAGCAGGAAACAAGCTGTGGCCCTCCAGGATAAAAAGGAGTGGAATTCAGGTGTCAGTATATTGTGAATGAAGTTTTGGACTGGGGCAAATTTCAAGGTCAACAGTGGGATCGTGTTTCTTCCACTTCTTGAAATTACAAGATAATTCTGAGGGGGTCACTGGATGGTTGTAGAAAAAGGTACACAGTCTATATCGCTGATGGCTTTAGTGTTGCATGAGCTGCTGGATTACCTACAGATATACCTGTGTTGTAATAAAAATTTCAAAAAAGAAAAAATGTTATGTTGCGATACTACAAGACATTTTCACAATATGCATCATGATATTTCGTTTTTCTGAGATTTAAGAAGTTGGAACGGATAGAACAAAACCTGTAGTGCCATATATAAAAATACTATAATAGTAATAATTAACCTACAACTACAATGATTTTTATTCATTATTTAACAAGCTACACAGCACTAAGTCCAGTTAAACAGGCCTATTTGTGCTCACTTTGTAATGAAACATGTAGTTAGTCATTGTTCCTTAAGCACTGGTAATATCCACGATATGCTCAGAAAAGCATATTGTGACACATTTATCACAATAATGATACAATATCACAATATAGCCCAACCTTAGTTGTAACCCACTGTTACAAACTGCCCTGCGTTTATAAATGACTTGTTGTTCTATTATCATTTTTTGATTTGCATCACAACATTAACTTATAATTCTCTGTAGTATATTTCTGAAATATTAATTGCACTATGCAGATCAGACAAATTTTATTTCAGTAACAAGCAATCGGGGCTCAATTTGAGGTGTGTGTGTGTGTGTGTGTGTTAGGAGAATGCCATCCCCAGTCAAGAAATAAAAACATGCCCTTTATAAATTGACCATCACCCCTTCCCATCCTTTTTGGATCTCTTTAAGATATTATTATCAATATTTTCATTCTATCCATTAATGAGGTTTACACACTCTGGGAGTTCTTCATGTAAAACAAACACATTATAATCAGGGTGAGCATGTGCACCTACAGAAGAGGCGATTATGTAGAATCATGTGCTTTTGCTTTTCAGTGTTTATGCTATGGAGTGTTTGGTACAGAGCACACATTCACCAAGAGGGAAGCTGATTTCATGGATTTCCTACCAAACTGGGCTAGTTTGAAAATTGAACAACAGTGAAATACTACATTAGAGAGCTGTACATTTTGCCTGAAGCCACATAATAGCTCAGAGTCTGAAAGGTGAAGTGACAGACCCTGATACTAACTGATGGCAGCAGAGGTAATGAAAATGGTTTGATTAAACATTTTGGGTGCAGACAATTGTAATGAAATGAGTGAATAAATGATTGTCATAGAAAGAGGTTATAGTTTGTTATATAGAACATACTTTGTTCTGTATAAGGAAATACTAAATGTCAGTATAAGACTGTTTGTTGACTGAACCCACCTGTTAACTGAGATTTTTTACACCTTGGCCACTGCAGACAAAGGACCAAAACTTGTTATTTGAATGGGCAAGAATTTAATTCTTATTATTAGGGAGTTTCTTCTACTACTTTTCTGCGCTGAATATGTATCTACCAGTATTTTAAAATGTTGTTTTTGAGTATAATTTAGATTTATGACCCCCCATTTGATGGACCAAATATACACCCTAAACACATTGGCACAGTCATGGGGGTATCTATGTGTAAATCTACTTCTTGAATAAAGGAGTTCCTGCTGAGAGAGACATCTGCGAGTATGATGTACATAAGCATTTATAAACACACCCTTTGTTTTTTTAACAAGGAAACCAAGAAATCCACACCCTACACAGCTAGAGAACCTAAAGAAAAACTAATGTAAGAAGATATCTGCCCAGTCTGCAACTTGGTCAGATTCTAAGTAAGAACAGTTCTGTCTTCCGTGTAAAGGAATCAGAGGCCGCTCATTATAGCCTTATCAGGGCTTTTCTAAAGAGTGCATTGTCTACACTGGATTCCTCTTGGTTATAACTGTAGCACAGGAAGGAGCAGAGATGTAAAGGTATGTTGGAGACTGTTAGAAACAGTATGTGTTGGTTCTTGCAGTTAGACGGTCATTCCTGGTCCTCTTGGGATTCAAATACTAGAACTTGGTGGAACTGCACTGTGCGCTGACTTCAGACAGATCATGCTCTTTCTTGTTTCGTCCCGACTGGGTGTGTGTAGGTATTTCAACTGCCGAGAAGCAGCAAAAGGCATGTTGTGACACGGCGGACTTGCAACACCTAAACCTAAGCCGGCGTTTCTCTTGAACATTCTCTCTCCTTTTTCTTTCTCTCTTGCTCTTTTAGGCTTGGTTAAACAGAATGACAGGAGGAGGGAGTGAAGGAGAAGCGTTTAGCCCTTTCGTGATGTTGGTCTTTAATTGATAGGCTCTCTGACAGGACCCTCAGGCTGATGATGGCGGCCCATAGCGTGAGTTTCGATGCAGATGCCCACTTCATGGAGGCAGGAATTGAGTAAGTACCTTTCGTTTTTATTTATTTTAATGAAGTTCTCTTCCAGTGAGTTCTTTCTTAATACCTCTTTGCTGCCACTCTGCCCCTTCCACCTCTTCCTGTGATATCTGTGTAGCGGGTCATAGAAGTACGTTGTGGATGTTTATAGTCTTTGCGCTTTCATCAGCTTCCCCCAACAGAGCCGGATAAAAAGTGGTGTTTGTGGGAAGGCCCTTGTTTCCTGCCTCTCTTTGTTCTCTGGAGGCCTGCAGAACAGGCGTGGTCCTCAGGCTCCAGCAGAGAAGGCCCTTTGTTTTGGCAGATTGTTAGTGATTGTTTCATTTTGTGTCTCAGCTGAAGCAATAAGCATGTGATTGGTGACATGATGACATCATGTGCAAGTCACTTGTTTTGGTTTAGGTCTCTGGAGATGGAGATGTGTCACTGTGGTTCTGTTCCATCAAATGTAATGATTGTACTTGAGAAGCAATTGAACCATTTATGCCCCATCCATGGTCCACCCACAGTTGTGTTCTTTCAACTGCTGCGAGGCTGGACAAGCTTTCGAGACACAAAAATCCCATTCAACCTAAAACAAAATTGTGCCACACTGAAGTCGCCATGTAATTTTAATTTTCCACTTTACTGATATGCTGCTGAGCTGGAATATGTTGTAGCCAGTCAAAACGAGGCAGGTTAGGAATGCTGAATTGGTCACCATGCTGGCGCCATGTTGGCTCAGTTACACACCAAAAAACTACATCTGAATTACCCTAACAGGGTAACCTTTCTCACACATACAATATAGATGTCATTTAAAATGAACAGTTTATAACACTATATGACATACTGTTGTTTATAAAATAGACATTTTTATAGATATGGATAGAGCTAAAATGGACAAAGCTAATCTTAAAGACTTCTTTTTTGTATTGTATATTTAACAGTGTGTCATACTGTGTCAGAAACCATGCAAGCAAGTCTGTTTAAGAGTATGTAAATTTAAATTTAGGCCCAATCCCATTTCTTATTTTTATCCTACCCCTTGTTTTCGATTGTCACCTTGCCACTTGGAACTGAGCTATAAGGGGTAGTGATTGAAATCTTCCCCTACGAAATTGGACAACCCTCAAATAATGTTCTTTATTACTTCATTAACAGGCTACTAGCGGTGCTCTGTAGGTGACCCTGCCAGTCTTCAGTGATAGCAGAGGAGGGTAAAGTTCAGCAACCTCGCAGCTGGGCTTTAGTTACATTTAGGACATCATATGCCTACAAAGAGGGGGGGATGTGATAATTATTTATTATTGCCCACCTCAAATTCTTCAGTGATATGAAGCTGAAGTCAGATATTCTCCAGCTTCTTGTTTGAATTTTCCAGTTCCACCTTAAATGGAGCAGCAGTTACATTCTGGCGCTTCAGGCGTCAGAACTGCTGGACTCTTTAAGGTGAAAGAGGAAATTTACCTAGCTAGCTACCAAGATGTCAGCAAACTATTAGGGATTTTTATCCTTGTTATGAAGAAAAGGACCAGAATACGCTGAAACGACATGTAGGAGAATGCCATCCCCCCAGTCAAGAAATAAAAACCTGCCCTTTATAAAATGACCATCACCCCTTTTCATCCTTTTTGGATCTCTTTAAGATATTTATTATTAATATTTTTATTCCATCCATAAGTGAGGTCTTCATGTAAAACAAACGACATATGATAATACAATGGTTATCATATTTTTTTTTTAACAGAGAAAATGCTATAGATTTTCTTTAGTCGCTCGCACATCCATCTTGCCGGTGTTTCTTTTTTTTATATAACACTCCATTTAGAGTGTGTCTCTGAAAAACCTCTGTTTGGAGGGCCATGTAGCACTAACACTTCACCCTACCCGTCTATCTCAACAAAAATCAGGACACCCTACCCCTGAGCGTTAATGTGCAAAACAGAGGGCTAAGGGCTAAGTGGTAGGGTGAAATGGGATTGGGCCTTGGCTGACTGTCCAAATAGTCCAAATCTAAAAGAGCAATCAAACCACACCTTAAATGCATTTTTATGTGTGTATTTGTGTTTTTGTGCTTTAGGAGTCCTTTGGATGAAGACCGGGTTCATGACTCCTTCACCCAGTTGATTGAGGAACAGAGTCAAGACCTGAACCCCCAGGTCATGGAAATGAGCTCTATGGATCTAGAGGAAGAGACCAGAGGTGCCCACACATGCTATTTGAAAAACATAAAGCTTTTGTAAAAAGCACTTTACAGATAAATCTTACAAGGTAAAACTGCTTGATACAGTGTAGCAGGTAACACTACTGCCCTTATTGTGGCAGAGTGGGGTTTGATTCCCTGACCAGGCAACATCACCAAACTATACCAGTGACAATGTCTTTTGGGAAAAGTGTGAAAACATTACTAAAGCACAGATTATACACACTCCTGTGTTTGTTCTTTGTGTGTGTATGGTTTCATGAGCATGTATGTTTGTGTTTCAGATGATGTTCCGTCTCTGAGTGGTGCAGGCAGTTGTGTAGGTGTTTGTGAGGATGAAGGGGACACAGACCCGCTAATGGAGCCCTGCTGGTCTACGGCCACTCTCAGAGTGCTCTCCTCCATGCCCAGCCGCACCATCGGTGGGTACTGCAGTGTGTGAGTGTCTGTGTGTGTGTGTGTGTGTGTGTGTGTGTGTGTGTGTGTGTGTGTGTGTTTGTGTGTGTGTGTGTGTGAGAGAGACTTACCTGTCTGCCTGACATGCTTGTGTGTACTGATCTGATCTATTTGTATGTTTACACAGTCTGATTTATTCCTATGTCACCCTTGAAGACAGTAAAAAGTATAAAAGTTTACTCATTTACATGTATTTTGAAACCTGGTTGTTAATTGTAAGGAATTATTATTATTATTATTATTATTATTATTATTATTATTATTAGTCAGAGTAGTAGTAGTAGTAGTACTGGTGACATCGACACATATCTTGTAGTAATGAAACATCATATCACGTCGGTCTTCTCTTATTACACATATTATTTTTGATTCACACAGTTGACCTTACCATCTGTCAAATTACTTCTGATCCGTTTTTATCCGAAAAGCTTAGCAGGCCCTTGACTCACCGCTCATAACAAAATCTTACATCTGAAATAGTGGTACATGATAGGAATATGTCAGCTGCTACCTACACAGTACTATAGCAGCTTGGTACACAAACAAAAGGTGTGTTTGAAAATGCTTACAAATGAGACCAAAGGTCGAAGTATGATTCTTAAATACTAACTGTTTGTTTACTCTCTGGTCGAGGGCATACTGTGCCTACTGCACATACTTTCCTGTATGATTCATATCATTGTCTCAAGACAGTTTCATGTGTATCGTGTATTATTGTACACCTGCTAGAGGAACTGAAAGCCAGATTTTGAAACCAGATTTCCTGGTGAACGGATGTGTCCAGCAGACCTGAAATAGCTGCAGAGCTGATCATGGTTATGAGAGCTTCATAAACCTAAACAGGGTTTTAGCCTGATGGAAACCAGCATTTTACTCAGACTGCTCCTTCAGAGATGAGAGAAGAGAAACTCTATGTGAATGGATCAGTTTATAATAAATGAAAGATGCTAGTTAAAGAAGAACCTCAGCATGGTCTTAGGCATCTGAGCATCTCCTGGTTTCACATTCTCCTGGTTTTTAGGATATGGAATGCGCAGGCTTTGTTACCCCTCCCCTCTCCCCCCAAAGCTATCTGACTGATAGAGAAGCCAGCTGGAGCAGAACTAAACCACTAAAAGGCTATATGTGCTCCACCCATTTCCGTGGTTCAGTGGTGAGCCCTGACTCTTGGAGCTATTTTTTCACTCTGGGCTATAAATGTGAAAACTGAGACAAACTCAACTCTGTGATGCTAATTTCTGCTAGCGCCCCTATGGGATTTAATGCTTGTGCTAAGTAACGCTGGTGCACATTCTATGTTCTATTCGAAAGCTTATAACAGAGCAGGCAATGACAAATAGAGCTCATACTTGCAGTCAGTGACCAATGTAGGACTTCGAGAAGGCCTAAAGGGATTTTTTTCTTAAAAAGGGATCACTCAGTGAATGTGTAAATGTGTGTTTAAAGCATAAAGCAGCTTTTTTATTTATGTATTTATTTATTTATTTATTTGACGTGTCTGTGTGTGTGTGTGTGTGTGTGTGTGTGAAGTTCCAACTTTACGGTGCCTCTGACTTCTGAAAGAAAACAACAACATTAACTAGTGCTGTCTGTTGCTGTCTGTTGCTGTCCCTGTCTTTTGTTCTCGAACCTTGTTTTCATTATCTCTATCTCTGTCTTTCTGCTTGTCCTAGGACGCAGCCGTGGTGCAATCCTCTCGCAGTATTATAACCGCACCATGCAGCTGTGCAGGCGCAGACAGAGCAGACCGTCCGTCCACTCCTTCTCGCGCTCCGCCCGGCCAAGCATCTGTGGCTACCGCGTGGAGACGGACCCTGTCAACTTCGATAGGGAAGGTGAGGGACATTTCTTGTGTGTGTGTGTGTTTGTGTGTGTGTGTGTGTGTGTGTGTGTGTGTGTGTGTGTGTGTTACATCACGGGTAAATGTAACATTTAGTTTTGTGGCACAGTAGCTCAGGGTCACATAAACATCCTTCTGTTCTGGAGAATAATACACTATTAAATATTGGTTTGAAATATAAACATCAAATCTAAACATCAAGTTAAGTCTAAACATCTGTCTGATGCCAATTTATTTTACAGTTATCTGCCGATACCAAGATGATATCATAGTGAATCACTAATTTACACCCTTAGTGTGTTTGTATATGTGTGGCTGAAAGTAATGGAGAGTAATTTATGAAAAATTATAATGTGCAATAAGTAGAGTATGTGAATAATAATAGTAATAAAAACAATCTGTTTGTGTCTGTGTGTAGAGAATAAGAGGGAACGTCTAGTGAATAACTTGCAGAACCTGTCTGAGAGTGATCGCGTACGCATGCTGAAAGCCATCCCACTGAATCTGGGAGAGAAGCGGGAACTCAGGTATGTGCTTCTATTCTGTACTGGCATGAAACCGTAGCTTAAACCTGACCCATACCCGCAACTTTAAAACCCTGACTCCGCAGCACAGCCGTGCCCGTGTCAGGTTGTTTCTGAAGAGACGACGTGCCAGTCCTCCTGCTATCATAGATCAAAATGCTATCACAAAGCTCTGCACTGTTTGTGACCAGTGTGCTTTTTATCTGATGTAATGATCAGGTCATAATGTTTCCACAGGGAGACGTACTTGGCTCATTTGGAAAGTTCCTGTTTAGCGAGGCATATTCTTTAGCAAATCTACTATATAATAAAATCAGTTAGATAACAAACCTGAGTCTGACCTAAGTAGCAAACAAACACGTTATCACTGTCATCTGGTCTTATCTTATTTGAGAAATAATTCACCATTTTATAATCCAGTTGAACTTTCATGTATCAGTCATACATTAACATACAGTCTTGCATTAAAATATTAAAACATCTGACTTCCACAACACAGCAGCTGTTTCATGTTGTTTTTTAAATAGCAGCTGTCAGGGCCAGTGCAGTCTAGGTATAGATGCTGCTGTCTGGCATTCACTAGAATTATAATGAATCTTAGTGACAGCAATAGGAAGTAAATACAGAAATGGCAGCTTGTTTGGCAATGGAACAAATATCCATTTGTCTGAGAGAGAGAGGAACTGAATGAGTGGTACTGGTTGTACAGATACACTGTAATTTACTCCACATTGTTGTAAGAGCAGTTCATTTTTGTTTTTTTTTTATTTTAGAAATTTTTGTGTTAAAAAAATCAAATTGATTTGTAAAGCACATTTAAGATGTCAGATATTTACCAAATTGCTGTGCGATGAAGTCAAATTAATGAATTCATAAAAAGGATTCTGTTGTTGTTATTATTACATTTAAATTTATTTAGCTTTTGGTCTAAAATCATTACACATGATCCAGTTTAAAGTAGCCTTAATGGGAAAGTCCACCTAATTTTTTTCTACATATATTTCTGCATAATTCAATAATTGAGATGTAAATAAAGTTATTCAGAGTGGTTGGATGTGAAATGGTTTATTGTAGAGAAACTTACAAACTCAGATTTCTTTACAGTGGTGGTGATAGGAATCAGGGATCACAATGCCTACAACACAAGTATAGCCATTTTATAAGCTATCCAAAATGATCATTTAACCTACACAGCCTACATATCTGAGTTTTATATGTTGATTGTGGTGAAAATAGTAAATCTAAAACATGTTTTCTATGGGGACTGTTTTGTCTTACAAGAAACTGCTCTGTAGACACTAGACTCTATATACTAACATACTATACTGTCTTTCTATTGCAGGCGTTTGGCCTTGAATAAAACTGGCCGTTCCCTCTCCCTCAGCGAGATCCCCTGCTGCAGCCAGCTCAAATATTACATCATCATTGTGAGTTCATTACCCAACATGCTTCACTGATTAATACCAGACCGGACAGGTTTGTGTCAAAGCTGTTGCTTTTGCGATCTACTTCATGAGGCCCTGGGCTCCTTTCCCCTCTGATAGCCTGTCAGACTCTCAGTAATGTTTCTCTCTGTTTGTGGCAGAACTGTAACTCGTTGTATTGTCTCAGAGTCTTAATTGGCCTGTAAAGATGAGTCATCAAGCATGCTGGCTGTCGTCCAAGTTCTAGCCGCTTTTTTTTTTGTCTCTGTTGCTAAATTCCTTCATCCTGTATGTTAATTACAGTGTCAGGGAACATGAAGAAGGCTAGTGTCGCAGCTGAAATCTGAAAGAACGGCAGAAAGTGTTTGAGGTGGAAGTTAACTATGATAATCTCTCTCTCTGTTTCTCAGGCTTTTAGACAGAGCTGGTATGCCTGGCTCTCCTTCCTTTCCTCACTGCAGTTGTGGCAGACAGCTCTGAAGACAGTGAGTGGCCGCTTTGGAACGGGCGTCCTCTCCTACTTCGTCTTCCTCAGGACTCTCCTCTTCTTCAACTTTTTTCTGCTCCTGGTGCTAGGCCTGTTTCTGGTGGTCCCCCAGGCAGTGCGGCCTCCTACGCCGTTATCTTCAGACCCCTTCTACGGCCTTGAGCTACTCACCGGGGCGGTAAGACCCAGCTTAGCTGCCCTGGAATGTGGCTGGTGTGACTTCTGAGATGAGAGTCTATTTATTTACGCTTGGACACTTCAGAATGGTGGTTTGAGGCGCACTGAAGAAACAGCTAAGCTATGTATCTGTATGTCATTAGCGCAAATTAATCACATGTGGAGAAAAAAATGCACAAAAAAGCACTCTTTATTTTTTACTGCACCGTAAGCATATTTATCAGTGCTTATTGTTCTCAGTTCTTATAAAATGTATAACTGCACTGAATCTACTGTATAGATTCCAGAAGAGAATTTCTTAGACTTGTATGTAATTCAAAAAGCACTTATACAAATACAAATTTATTAACATCACACTGACATCCAGCTACATTTATGTGACTGGATGTCAGTGTGATGTTAATAAATATTATCTAGACATTATAATGCATGAAATGACTAGTCAAAATTGTCTTCACTGATTTTTCAAAGGTTTTGCATCATACAGCTGTTGAAAAGTCATTGAGAGTGTTTAGATGTGAAATGGTTCATTGTAGAGAAGCTTAATGAGTAATTTTTAATTTCTTACAGTGATGATGATAGGAAGCAAGGGTTGTGTCTTCAATAGACATATATTTAATTTGCCGTCCAAAATCACAAGAGAGCATACATGTCTTCTGAGTTTTTATATGTAATGCGGTAAAATAGTGGTACATCCAAAAATGTTGGTTTCCTTTGGGGACTATTTTGCCTTGCATGTACCTCTCCACCTTGAATTAATTTTAAAAGTACATTTAGGGCTACAACCTTATCTCAGTACATGTCTCAGGCATCAGGAAGCATATCCATGACCATTTCATGTAATAGCTTTCTGTGAGAGAGCATTTTTTTCATGGTGGTAGTGATAGAAACCGGGGCTCACGATGTCTACAAAACAAATACAGCTATTTTATTCAGTATCCAAAACCACCAGTGAACCTACATGTGTTTTCTTAATTTTATGTGTAATGTTAATATCAGTGAAATAGTGGTAAATCTGAAACAAAAAAGTTTTCTTTGGGGGCCACTTTGCCTTACAATGGTCTAAACATGTGCTTCCACCATGAATGGCTTTTAAAAAAAATACACTTTAGGCCAAAAACAAAAAATAAAACTTCCGTAAAACAGTGTCTCAGGCATCAGGCAGCATATTCATAACTATTTTAAGTAATAACTTTCTGTGAAGAGGCCTTTCGAAGCGCTAAACTCTTCATGCATCTGGTTCCTGTCTCCACCACTGTGAACAGTTGTGACTCTGTACGTTTCTCTAGAATGGAGCATTTTACGTCAAACCACTCTGAATGACTTTGTTTACTTCTTACCCACTTAATTATACAGAAACTTTAAAGAATTGGCAGAATTCCCCTTTAACTCTTCCTAGCACCACCACAGTGAACAATCCTGACTCTGCAAGTTTCTCTTAAATAGGGCATTTTACATCAAACTACTCCTGTTGAAAGGGATGCAGAGTTCTTCTTCTCTTCAGTTTTGTTCTCATGAGTAGGATAGTCTAAGAACAACTGTGAAGAGGCCAGTTTATTTAATGATTTATAATGCATTTATGACTGTCAAAACTTTTGATTGTTTTAATCAATTACTATCTCTCTCTCTCTCCCTCCCTCACTCCCTCTCTCTCTTTCTCAGGGCTACTTCACAGACTCTTTGATGTACTATGGCTATTATAGTAACTATACCCTAACAAAGACCTGTGGCAACACAGGTGGCCAGTCTTCCTGTGGCTTCCATTTATCCTATAACATGCCTCTGGCCTACTTCTTTACCATTGGAATGGCTTTCTTCATCACCTGCATTATCCTTGTCTACAGGTGAGGGACTTGCTTATCTACATAAAAATCTAGTGCTGCATTTGATCGTGTGATTTTTATTAACTTTTAATAATTTGGCAAAAACTAAAATTTACACTATTTTCCTCTTAGCCTTGATGCAGTCAATCAGCCAAGACAAATTTTGCTTTGTTTATTTAAGAGGCTAATGTTACTAACAAACATTAGAACACAGTAGTCACCCTAACCACATCAACAAGTCTGTATGACCTTAATGAAAACCTGAAAGTGGTTTGAGAGAAGGTTGAGAGATACTATGGGGATGTATTTACAGAACTCTGGCTACTTGGGTGACTATTGACTTGTAATGTTTATTAGCGATGTTAGCATTGCATCTCCATTTGGACTCCAGACGTGTCTTGGCCCATTGACTATCATCTGTGGTAAGTGGAAAATTGTGTTAATTTGAATTTTCACTGAACCGTTCCTTTAAATCTTAATACTTTGGGTCGTTTACAGATTAAGCACAGCTGTTTATCACATTCTGTCTGACTAAAGATTCTTTTCAGTTCACTTCTCAAGTCTCAGCTTAATCTGTGTCTGGGGAGCTGATGCTTTGATGTCTACTTTCTTTGATTTAGTAAGAATTAAAGTTAGGACTTGCCTCAGTGTAATTATCAGACACATGTAGTAACGTATATATTGCCTTTACGTATCTGTGTTCCAGCATGTCTAAGTCGTTTGGGCAGAGTTTCCGTATTGACCGGTCCAAAGGTCTGCTGGCCATGAAGGTCTTCTGTTCCTGGGACTTCAAAGTCACCAAGAAATCCTCAGTCAGACTTCAATATGAGAACATCTCCACTCAACTCAAAGTAAGCAAATCAGGTCGAACAACAACCCAATACAACAACAAAACAAGATGGGCTAACTGGGAAAAAACAGACCATAAACAGGAGCAAGATGAAACGGACTAAAAACAAGGGCTAAGGAGTACAACTAAAAGAAAATATAGACAATAGAAAGGAAGCAGGCCTAGAGAAGCAGACAAGGACAACAGACTTATAAACATAAACAAATTCAAGAGCGAACAAAGACAAAGGTACTGCAGAAAGTACTGGAGGTTTTGGTACCAGAAAACAAGTAGCTGTTGAAGCCAACGACAGTCGTTGTTGATGTTTTTAGAATCGTTATTGTAAAGAGTTTGCTAAGCTAGTTAGGAAGCTAACGCTAACCTTAGCATTTACTTTAACATTTGTGCTAGCTTTCACAGACCAGTTCAGTAGTACAGCAGTACTTTAGTATAGCTTTTCATGTCAGCCAATAAATTATCAGCCAAATAGAAAGGTGGTTAGTTAACCAAAATAGATGCTTTAGAGAGACGTGAAGTGACCAGAAAGCCAACACAACTGTTTCACAGTTCAACCTGTTTCTCAAGTAGGTGGAAAATAAAAAGCTTTCGGTTCTGTTGTTTCCTGTTTGGGTCAGTTCTTGTTTTTGAATACGCAGTGGAAAAAACTGCCAGAAAGTTGCACAAGGGGCATATGCAAACATGTTAACAAGACACAGGTGTGTGCAAAAAGTGGTAATGTTGAAAATATAGTGCAGGAACAGGGACAGGCGAGTTTCTGACACAAAGACTTCAAGTAATCATATAAGTATAAAAAAATCACACGCACAAAAATTGACGCACATTTTAGGTGTACTTTCAGTGTCACACCTATGAACCTCCTACTGTCTGTTTAGGAGTTGGTTGCGGAGGTAACCCGTAAGGAGGTGAAGTCTTCATGGTGGCAGCGTCTGGCGACTGTGTCCATTCAGATACTGGCCTGGACCATATGTATCGGCAGCACTGCTGCATGCGCCTGTGCCGTCTACTACTTCTCAGAGCACATGCATAAGGTGAGCACAGAGTCGTACACTGCAGACAAACTGACTTACTGCTCATTTGTTTTGAGTTAGCTTCACCCCTCTCACTTTTGCTACTCTTTAGTCTATTGCGCATTCTTTGCAGCTGGAAGGCATCCTCTGTTGTGGTCTCTGCATTCCAGAGTTGTGTGTGTTCATGTTTGCTCAGTGAAGACTTCCTAGAACATGGAATGACAAATATGTGTGGTTCAGCACCTGAACTGTCATGCTTTTCTCCTCTCTCTCTTTCTCTCTCTCTCTCTCTCTGCCTCTTTGTTTGTGTTTCTCTCTTTCTCTCTCAGGACCTGCAGGACCGTGTTCGCTCCTCCTCAAACACTCCAGAGAGTCTCCTGCTGAAGGAGGCAAGCCTGCTTGCGCTCCCGGTGGCCGTGTCCTCCATTAATCTGCTTATTCCCGGCTTTTTCAACACTGTGGCATGGATGGAAGAGTACGATTCCCCCAGCAAACGCAACTATGTTGCCATCTTCAGGTAATTCTTAATTGTACTCACAAAACATCACACATGTCAGTGTTCTGTGTAGGGGGTTGACACAATGCTGATTTTATATTTTCTTTTATTTAAAACTGCTGTTATTTAAAATAAGCTATTTTAAAACTAAATCTCCTTACTTACAGGGGAATTAAACGGTTTAGATTGGTTTAAGATTGATTTAAGATTTTCGTTGCTAGGAACCTGATGCTGAAGGTAAGCGTGCTTGGAGTGCTGTGTTACCACTGGTTGGGCCGGGTGGCTGCGGACCCAGGGAGTGTGAGCCTAAAGGTGAGAGAATCATTGTGAACCATTGTTCATTCTGACCATGGTATCAAGATTTCTGCCACATGTGAGGTAGTGGTGTTATTCACAATGCTATACAAACAGGTTGAGGTTAAGTTAAACTGAAGTTAGTAGACATTTAGTTGTAAAGGCAAAGTGAAAATACAGTGTTGCCCCGTATTTAGGTGATAAAACCTAACTGGAGCTGTATGTCTGTGTTATGTTGTCAGTGCTGGGAGAGTTTTGTGGGACAGGAGTTATATCGGTTTCTGCTGATGGACTTCATCTTCACAATGCTGGACACTTTCTTTGGGGAGTTCCTGTGGAGGTGAGTTCGCTGACATACTGCACCATGTAAAGAACAGAATGTAAAGAGATCCAAACAGCATTTCTGATACCCCAGCAAAACATTTTGCATAAACACATTTCCCCTCATTCAGGTTGTTCTCACAGAAGGTCCTGAAAAAGGAAAGGAAGCCTGTGTTCGATATTGCGCGGAATGTTCTGGAGCTCATCTATGGGCAAACGTTAGCTTGGTAACTACAAATCTTTTAATGCTCTGCTCAGTCAGATGAATGAGTTAAATGGAGAAAGGAAGACTGATTTATAGGCTTAGCTTCTGGGATGGAGAGACCTTTTTGTTGTTGTTGTCAGTACAGCAAGAGATGTTAAAGAGCAATATTAAAGTGATGGTTTGGCCAGAAATTAAATTGAATTGCAATTCCCTGTTCCCTAAACTCAGGTATACTTGATCAGCCATAACATGGTGTTTGAAGTTTGGCTTTTTCCAGTTGTAAAGTAATCTCAAATAGACTTTCAGCTGTGGTTTCTGACACCTGTATGACACACTGTTTTCTATAAAAATGGACAAAAGTATACACAGAATTCAGGCTTGGTGATTGCTGCTTCTGTTGTTTTTAGCTATGCAACGTACTGTTGTCCATTTCTGTCATCCAAGCCTGAATTTTGTCTTTACTTTTGTCCATTTTTATAGATGGCAGTATGCTATACAGTCACAAACCAAATAATAATAATAATTATAATAGATAATAAACAAAAAAAAAATTCATATATTGCATTTATACAGCACAATTTATAGAGTAATCAAAGAAATGAAAGTTGAGTTTGAATTTCTTCTAATATTTTTCAGTAACAACAGTATAATGGAAATGAAGCAAGATAATGATCAAATTAAAAAAAGATAAATCCAAAATCAGAGGTAGAAATTTAATTAAAAGCTAAATTAAAGAGATACTTTTCAAAACATAAGGTTATGAAGACAAGTGTGTGATGATTTAGGCATGCTTAAAAACTTGAGCCAAACTAAAAGCTGGCTATATGTTTGCTATATTTGTTAGCTACATTAGCCTTATATATCCAGTGAAAAATGAAAAAAAACAAATTTAGTAAAACAAACTGTCTTGGCTATGTTTGCTGTACATTTTTGGCCAAACGGTTTTAACATACCCTATTGGTTTAGCAACAGGCTTGCTGTTCTCTGTGACCATATTATATTTGTGTGCAGGTTGGGCGTGCTGTTCACTCCTCTCCTGCCTGTAGTGCAGGTCATCAAGCTGCTCCTCCTTTTCTACATGAAGAAGGTGAGCTGTGCAGAGAGAAACTGTTCACTGTACAGTTTCATCAGGCAGTTTACCATCCAGATTGAGTTCATACCTTACTTTGGAACATTGAAACTCCTTTCTCTCTGTTCTGCTCTCGTAGACGAGTCTGATGATGAACTGTCAGGCTCCTAGGAAGCCGTGGAGGGCAAGCCAGATGACCACCTTCTTCATCACCCTCCTCTGCTTCCCCTCTTTCTTGGGAGCAGCAGTCTGTGTCACCTACACCATGTGGACGTGAGTGTACTGCTCATTCATGAACATTCACACGAAAACTCTCACAGTTTCCTCTTACAGGTTTGCGATGGCGATCACATTCTGTCACCTCTATACACTCAGTGCTCGATGTAGTACACCTTTAGGGAAGGTTTCAGTTGGAAATCAGACACATTCTGCCTGCGTGTTGTGTAAACTGGTGCACGAGCTTGAACACGCAGTTTATAGGCGGTGTGCATCATAAAACAAAGTGTGCTTCTCTTCTTCATATGCACCTCCTTCTGCACATACGTTGGAAGGAAGATGTTCAAAACGTGGGTGGGGATGTTACAAGTATGGCTGATAACGTATTCAACTCCATTTATTTAAGGTTGAGCAGCAGTTGGTTTTGCTTCATCTCCACCTTTTATAATCAGGTGGAGATTTGCGTTAGGGTCTCTAACAACGTGTTGTTGAGAGACTTCCTTTAACAGTGGCAGCAGCCACAGAGGTTAGAGGCACAAACCTCGAGCACAATCTAAAAAAATTGATCGGCCTCAAAATAACATTGTGTAAACTCTTGGGACCACCTGTAAGTATGTCAGAAAACGCAGCTCAAAATGATGTGGACACAAAATGCATGCATATGACTCAATATATCCATGTTATGATTTCACAAACCCCTTTTCCCACACAATCTTTCGACGGATTTTTGTGGGAAATCATTTATCATATAAGTTTCATTTGACAGCTCCATCATTTTACTGGTTCTTTTATACGCTGGGCCTTGCAAGTGCGCAGTTAGTGGGCAGGGCTACAGACAGTTTGCGTGATAAACTGCAGTCTTGTTAAATTTAGCGTTAAATTCTGCTGCATTTTGGACGCATATTGTCGCATAAAAGCACATTTTGCGCTGCGTCCATACGTACATGTAGCCCTTTCTTTTAGGAGTGTAAAAAAATTGGGGCCGATGATTCAGTTGATTTTGAAATCATTTATAATCAATTTTGCTAATATTCAATATTCCATGCCCTCAATTTTTTCTTGCCTTGTTGTTTTGTCTGAATTTCAGTCACATTCCTGTCACTTTTGTGCGTTTCTTATATTTTTCAAGTAATTCTGTTTTCTACCAAAATAATGTGATGATCCACTGTGTTGTTTCCTAAAGACCCTGCTCTCCTATGTGTGTGTGTCTCTGTGGAGCAGGATAAAGCCGTCTGAGAGCTGCGGCCCGTTCCGTGGCCTGAACACCATGTTCCAGGCCGGGAAGATATGGGTGGAACAGCTGGCTGAGAGCGACCAACAGTTCAGATGGCTTCTCTTGGCTCATAAATATCTGGTGGAGAACCCTTTCTTCCTCTTCCTTGCTGCTGGCATCTTCCTGTGAGTCAACCTCTCTCTGTCTTTCTTTCTGCCTCTCTCTCATTGTATGGTCCCTCAACCAAAATGCGGTTGAAAAAGTTGAGCTGCAATAAAACAGTCTAAATAATTGCTCATGTGCTTTCTGATACATTTCTGATGTGGTTTGGGGGTGTAACTGATCTGAACATGATGATTCGATTACACAGATTTTTGGAACATCAGAATTGTTTATAATAATGTTCAAGGCTCATTTTTGGCCAACATTAAAAACGTTCTCTGGCTGTTTTCAAATGTCAAAATCCCTAAAAAATGCATTGTTTTCCAGTCACATTCATGCATTTAATGTATTTTCAAAAGTAATCCTGAATCATGCTGAAGTCATTGGATTAAATAGTGGTAAAATTGGAGGTTTATTGATGCACTAAAGACTTATAATCACTTTGCTGTGAGTTCAGTTTGTGTAAATAATTATTAGTAAAAGAGTGTAAATAAAGTTGATTAACTATGTTTCTCTTCCGTTAGAATCGTGATATACTTCCACAGCCAAGTGGTAGATGGACAGAGGAAGATTATTGAGCTGCTGCAGGAGCAGATTGAAAATGTAAGAAGGTTAAAAATGCTGTCAAATACTTTTACGAAAAGCACTCTGAGTGAAATCTGTATTTGAATAAGTGATACCTTAACCGGAATTTAGTTGGAAAGACTAAGCCATTAGCTGACAAGCAAGGTTAATTACCAGCTATGTGTTTCGGGCATTTGGGACAGGAAAGTGAACTCTGGCAAAGCCAGTAAACCTGATTCAGCAGTTAATGTCCCAGCAACAAAAACAACCTTAACAGAGGTCTGTATGAGCCAAAGGAAGGGGAATATTAAAGAGGAATTCCCTGATTTTTCAAACTTTCTGAATAACTCAAATCATTGAAATGGAAACATTGACTTTTAAGTCATTCAGACTGGTTTGATATGAAGTGGTTCACTGTAGAGAAACTTGCTGACTCAAGTTTCAGTGGTACTGATGGGAACCAGGGGTCGCAATATCTACAACACAAAAAAACATTTTAGTAATTATCCAAAGTGAGGAGAGAACCCACATGTGTCTTTTGAGTTTTTATATTCAGGGCCTGTTCCCCAGACATGGATTAAGCCTGGTTTCAGACTAAATGCAGCACCAGTGGTGTATCTCCAGGATTAGGCTTAAGGCTTCAGTATTCTTCTTGTGGAGATGATGTTTGCCTGGCTTTGGCTAACAGACGTTGAGTGGAGACTTCGCTCGCTGTGTCGCACATATGGTAGCTGGGTAAACTCTGCAGATCAACACTCCAGGCAAAAAAGCCTGTAATTGGTCAGTGCAAACACAATAGCCAAAACAGAATCACGGAGAGTATGTGAGCTTGAGCCTGAAGGTGGTTTTGTCTTCGTGTTAACTTTGTGAGCTTCATTTCGCTCAGAATATACCAAGGCCTTTAATCTGGGTGTGGGAAACTGGCCCATATAGTTGATAATAGTAAAATAGATCTAAGGGAAAAAAATTTTCTTTGGACACTGTTTTGCCTTAGAACACCCTGTATATACATGGATTTTACAAAGTACATTTTAGGCCAAACCTTATCAGAAACTATTGTAGATGTCTCAGACATCAGGCAGCATATTTGTAAAAAACATTTCAGGTGATAACTTTCCTGAGAGGGAGCTTTTAAGAGACGTTAAAAGTTTAGGATGTCTGGTTCCTGCCACAGCTGTTGTGAACGATTCCGACTCTAGTTTCTCTAGACAGAGCATTTTCATCCCAACTACTCAGGATGACTTTGTTTAAATCTTGATTATTTAATACTGAAATTTTGGATTTGAGTGGAATTCCGCTTTAAGTAAATTAGATTTTTCTTTGAACCACTTCTTTAGCCTGCATCATGTCTATAGCTGTAATCTTACAAATATGATCATTACTCATAACTTTCTCATCTTCAGGAGGGGGAGGACAAGAAGTTTTTGATCACTAGACTACAAGACATCCATGAACAGAGGCGTCCACTTTCTTCTCGTCGGGTCAGGGGAGCCAGTGAGGTTAGCTAGACCATATTACTATTACTATTACATTACTACAAATTACAACTGTGATGTGCGTTAAAATGTATTAAAAAACACAATGACCATTTAATGTGGCTGAAGATTAGCCTGCATTATTTTTCACATTTGTTGAATCACATGAAATGTCTTAATGCACATAAACACAGACAGAAACTCATCTTGATCATCTGTGATTGCTCAGAGGCTCATATCGAGCACTAAAGGCAGCCAATTTAAAGTCTTTAAGATAAACAGAAAAAGCACTAATGATCTGTCACCTCAGATAGCATTGCTAGACTGGTCTTTTTCATTTCGTATCTTTTAGCTTAAAACCAGCAGCCCATATTTATCAAACCTCTTTGAGTGATAATAGTGATGTAGGATTAGTTTATGCTTTTTGTCTAGAGCTCAATAAAATTCTATGACCTGATGAGACCTGACCTTATCAGTGCTATTACTTTGAGATGCTTGATAAATGTGGGCCAGTGAGTTTGTGAAAAGTTAGCTACCTGATGCCAAATGAGAAATTCATAAATTATGATGAAACGTTAATTTTAAAAAACATTTTTTGTATTTTTACTCCAACTTCATCCGCTAGCTAGGTCTCTCCTCCTACTGAAAGCTAGCATGTGCTTCCTCTGAGACAAGTGAAGCACGATTGCGTTTTTTCTAACCATTAACAAGATAGATAAAGGTCATCAACACCGGAGTTAACGCATATCTGCTAATTCACCAACCTTAACCCTGAAGATTGGCACGCAGACAGCAGTCTCGCCTAGCTAGTAGCTAACGAAAAAAGGCGAAAAGAGCGATTTAAGACGAACGAATAAGTTGGAGACGAATACACTTATTTGCGTTAATAAGCACTCAGTTCGTTTCCTAATATGTTTGATCTGAATGAGAAACTGACAAACACTAAAAAATCACAAAGCTTCAGTCAGTTTCATGTTTTCTGGTTAAGACCTAATAAGTCATATAACGGATTGACATCTTGTGTCTCTGAGGAACAACTGAGGTGGAAGCAATGAAGATCGCTTGTCATTTATCAGTCATAATAGTGTATTAGTATGTAATGATTGTAAAGCTGTCCTTTTTATTTTGCCATCTTAATTATTATGTGGAATCCATTCCTGAAATCGGCGCAGTCAGAGTTGACTCCTAAATTTCTGGAATCAAACAGCCCTAATTTGAAACCAGTAAACTGATTTTTCCTTTCTCCATTTCAGGAATCCAGTTTCTCGTGACTTCTCCCAGGCTGCTGTGTGCAGTTGCAGCTTGAGCAGAGTCGCCACTCCTACAGAAGTTTTTCTACAGCCTCTACCAGGATTTGGCACTGAGGAATAACTGCATTTATTCATCTCTCAAGGAAAACCACTGGACTGCCTTGAGATCTTTCTACAAGGATCTTTCCACTGAACTCTACAGAAGCAGCTTGTGTTCTTCTGAAAGTGGAGCGCTTTTAAAAAACTTTCTGACCAAGGAATCTTGCAGAGACTTGCACATTTATATCAAGTTTTTTTTAAAGGATGCTATTAAGCTTTTAAAAGGAAGAGCAGGGTAGGAAACAAATGGTTTTGGGGGAAATTGCCCTGAACATCTGCACCTGACACCAAACCACTCAAAACACCTGTATCTTTTGAATTTAGAATCTGTGAGAATCTTCTATTTATGTATTGTTTATATTATTATTAAGGCGCATTTTTGTTTTCTGTCCAACAGATGCAACTCCTCACATTCATACTGTGAAACAAGGACTATATTTAAGATCTTTAGTGTAATGTAACACAAAATAATGTACAGTACTTCATTCTCATGCATAGCAGGGGAGAACCACTGATCAAAAAGCCATCACCACTTTAGGTTGGGACCGTAGTGTTTATATAGTGTAAGATTTTATAGTACGTGTTTTTTATTACTTATTTTATTACAAATAAATTTCAAAATTGAAAATAGGGTTATGCTGCAGAATGCTCTAAAGAGGACATGTGACAAAAGACTGGAAGAAAACATTTTTCGCACCTTGATTATAATGTACCTTTAAGGTTTGCTACAAAGACATGCAGTCAAAAACAGCAAGGAAAGTGTCAAAAGATATGTACACTTTACAAAGAATCTCATCTCTGTTCCTCATAAATATGCTTTACATATTAAATTAAATAGATAACAGTATAGCTTAGATTTATCATCTGTTCAGAAATGAAAATATGACAAGGCTGATTCTCTGTTCTCTGAGAATAACATACATGTTTCTGTAAAATGCATCTTACATACTGTAAAACAACATATATAATATGTTAATAATATGTCAACCCTGTGAACTTGTCTCATTCTGCCCTGAGGGTTGAATGTAAGTGAGATTTGTGACTGCACTGGCCAAAGTTCCTGCTGGAATTCACGGACTGGTTCACAGTTAGGAGACCTGGCCCGGCAACTTCTGTAAAGCTGTTAAAAGTGCTGCACAAAAATACAGCTGAACTGAAAACTGAAACTGTTGTAGCACCATAGAGTTTCATGTTGAACAGTCTTATTGCTGTCTCTCGATATGCTGCCACGGTCCGGCAGAATGATGTGCTCCCCAGCATCAAAGAGTCCTGAAAAGGCCATTGGTGAAGTTCACTTGAGAGAGCATGGCAGGATCCTGTGTGAGTTCCGTTGCAGTTTTCCTTTGGCACCAGCAGAGGGCGAAAGCTTATCATTACAGTGAAGCTACCTCCGTTGCTTCGAACATTGAGGTCTGGAGTGCAGGAGGCTTTTTCCCTCCCATTATCATTAACCTGTACATAAACATTTGTACGCACACATCAAGTGGGCCCTCATAATGTTGCCAGTAAGTGGAAGTTTATTTTATATAATTAAAAAAAAGTTCTCTTTATTGGAAACTACTACCTTATACTTCCACTTGCTAGCGACATTATGAGGGCCCATCTACTTTATAGCCCCATTATAAACAGTTATAGACTCTAATCCAATAGTTACACATGCAATTTGGCTTTTCCCCCATTCATCAGTGGTCAGTGTTTGACCACAGGACTGCTGCTGACCAGATATTGTTTGGGTGGTGGACCATGTTCAGCACAGCAGTGATGCATAGTAGTGAAGTAGAGAAGGTCTAGTGATGTCTGTGAAATAATGCATATGTGTAATTTTTAGTTTTTTAATAGAATTGTCATGCTTATATTTAGACTCTGTAAATATTGTAGTAATACTCCTATTTCACTGTTAAGTTTTGGTTGGAAGCAAAAAGATTCAATCCTTGAAATGGCCAACAGCACATTATCCAATAAGGATTTTTTTTTTTATCTTGTATGTAGATACAGCCAAGTCAACTCTAACATTGGGTAGGACTTCAGGAGCTGAACTGAAGTCTTAATGTGTCACCTTAACTGCTAACTTCATTAGGAATCACAGGAATCAGCCAGTCACATATTGATTTACAGTGGGTGGGACCAATTTTGTAGGGAAAAGAATCATCACTCTAGGGCAGGGGTGTCAAACTCAACCACTAAAAGGGCCATATTTAAAAATCTCAACAATCCATGGGCCAAAGAACACCTATGTTTTTATTTAATTTTAAAATAATGTTGTGCTGTAACCCGAACTGGCCACTATTTATTGAAAATACGCAAAAACTTCAAAAGTAAAATACAGACACTTGTAGTAGACCCTGAAATTTTACATGAATATTTGAAATATTTGAAATTTAAATGTCCCCAGGAGTTCAGTCTTTTAAACCTACCTATTTGCTTAAACTAGACACCTGACATCCTTCTTTGCTGCAAGTTCATTAAGACTTGGGCTCAGTTTCTGAGCGGCTAGGCTAATGTTAGGTATAAATGAAGATTTGTGTGGATTTGTGTACAACTGTGTAGGATTGAGGTGTAACCTGTGTCCTATAGACTGCTGTTGGGGTAGGGGGGTCAGAGCGCACATTACGTTGCAGTGCGTGCTGGGGACTGTAGTACAGCGCATTGTGAACGGGCTAATATTAATAGGAAATTGAAATACTTTTGCAGGCCGGATAAGATTGTATCGCGGGCCTGATCTGGCCCGTGGGCTTTGCGTTTGACACGTGGGCTCTAGGGCATCTGAAAGTTCTAGATACATCACTGATTGTGAGTAAGAATGGCAGCCTGACCAATATGTTTCAGTCAGATGTTAGAAATAGAAAACAGAGGCAGATCTATGAAAGGGCTCTTTACTGTCTCTTTCCTTTTTACTGTTACCAGTTTGAAATAAAGCATTGAGTGTCTTTTATGACTTTTCACATCCATGTTTAATCTAGAACAGCCAAAAAAATGTGAATTGTCATTAGCTTAGTGCCAACATCTTGCTACAATCCCACAAGGGCACTGGCAGGAACTATAAAAGTGTTGTTTTTTTCTTTCTCGTATAAAAATTTTAAGATTCATAGCCTGAACTGAAGACCTAGCACTAATATTCACTGTTTTACACACGACAGTATCATTACTAGGTTGTGAGTGGCCCACCATCCAAAAATATCCAGCCAAGATTGGCTTTGTGGTCAGAAATTGACCACTGATGAGGATGAAGAACAGCAAGCTACAAGGAAGTGGAGTCTAATAAAGTGGCCATTGACTGTATATGTATGATCTTTTGTTTATAACCATGTGTTTTTTGTCAAAGTGTCCAACTCTGAAAGGCCAAACTGCTAAACCACAAAATTTTGCAGGCTAATTCATACAAACACAATGTGTAAACCCATCAAACTTTCCCTCATACATTCTGGTTGAAATTTGATTGGCTAGTACAGTTCTTTCTCCTGTGTTCTGACTAGCTAGTTCCTCTTCACTCTTCAGCCTGCCTGTGTGCGGCTATGCTCAGGTGCCGCTGTTGAGCATGCCCAGTAGTTTGCTGGGCTCCAGGCCCTGCTGCTGTGCCATGCGCTGCACGTCGAAGCCCATATGCGTGAGGAACTGGATCACGCTCATCTCCCGTCCCGTCAGCTGGTCGCGGATGGTGGGACAGGTGGGGTTGCAGTGGGGCCAGGGGCAGCTGTCGATGAGGTGCAGGGGACAGCCTCGGGGTGGAGAGCGGGGGCTGCTGCTGCTGCTGTTGCCATGGTTACGGAGGCTGTGGTGGAGGCTGCGGTCCCAGCACTGGAGTGCACGGGGCAGAGACGTGCCCTTCACCTGCACGTCCATCCAGTAACTACAGAGAGAGAGAAAGGAGAGATTCAGTCAGTACATCAGTCAAAAAGAGAAGAACAACTACAAAAGTTTTCACAGTGCTAACTGATAGCTGCAAGCTTTCATTAAGAATCAACCTTTAGACACTAAACATGTCTTGGTTTTTCATAAGAGGAAAACAATCTGTAGTTGTTATTTTTTCTAGACATTTTTTCTTTGTTTTATGTGCATTCAGGAGAAGAAAAGGGGAAAACTCACTTTCTTGTGATCACCTCATGTGATAAACAGGCGGGTGCAAACATTGCCCTGTCATTCACAGGAAAGAACAAGCAATAGGATTTTATCACCGGATTTTGTACCACATGGACTGTACATTTTTATAAAGATGCACAATACCACTTCTCTTTCAATACCAATACTGATATTGAAACCTTCACTTTCAACTGATACCGATCCGATACTTCTTCACTGAAAATCACTAAGCTTTAAAATTATCTCTTTTTCACTAAAGGACTCTTTTCCTAATTTTTTTTACACTACGCACATGTCGGAAATTCACTATGCACATGTTGGAAATTCAAATTAGTTGACTGTCTGAAAAATCTGTAACAATAAAGTAAACGCTTACGGGATGTCTTTGAGGGTGTTCCTGAGCTCAATGCCCAGGTTCTGAATGTACCGCCACTGGCCCTCCTGTACTGGCTGACCCGTTAGATGGACGTTATCTACCGTCAGTTGAGCCTCGTCAAACAACCACTGCACCACGAACACTGGACCTGAGAGAGAGAGGGAGGTAAGGCAAAGGAAAGTCTCTTACATGGACTATAGTAGGGGTCGGTGTTTACTTCCTTGTTGTGGCTCCACGGCGGAATTACATTTTTAGGTAAAAATAAAAAAATCATGCTCTGCAGTAAAATAAAGCTCTGCTGATCGTTTTAACACAGTTTTAATATTAAATGGTCTTCAACACTTAGGTTTTTATGTATAAATGTTAATTCACCCTTTAACCCTTAAGGTTGGTGTGCAGACTGCTGGCTACATAGCAACGCAGATAACAGTCTTACCCAGCTAGTAGCTAACAAAAAGGCAAAGAGAAAGATTCAAGACAAACATCGATGATTTGGAGACAAATTGGCATATTTGCATTTATAATCGCTCCAGCTGGTTTCCTGGTACATTTAATCTGCAGCGAGAAACTGTCAAACACTAAAAATTTGCGAAGCTGAAGTCAGCTTGTCTTTCGTCAGCTTCTTGTTCGAATTCTCACATGCCACCTTAAAAGGTGCAACAGTTAGCTACATTCTGGTGCCTCTGGCACCATTTAAGGTGGACCGGGAAAATTTGAACAAGAAGCTGACTTCAGCCTCGTAAAAAGTCCAACGTTAAGAAAAGTTTCCTGCCGGAGATGCGATAGAAGCAGCTATAGCTGAGCTAAAGCTTAAGGTCTACTTTTTCGTTTAAATTATATTTTTTAGCATGTACTAGGATATTAGCACATACTGAGACACATTTACAGCCAAGATGGTGAAACTTTACTTCAATAAAATGGCCATGAAATGCTGTGGCTCTCAAGGTGGTTTGATTCTTCTTGAAACTTGACAAAATGGCTCTTCTTGGCTACCATTTGGGTTGCTGACTCCTAGACTACAGCATAGATATACACACCAAGATGCCGCGTTGGGTCCAGCCAGGCACGTCAACGGCGCTGCCATTTTGGGGCAGTCAACATATCGCTGCTGGACGGCATTCAGTACTATTACTACATTACAGAGCGGCAGTTTAAGAAATATACTGTCCAAAATTAGACTGTTTTGAGAATATTGCACCCAGAAAGCGGGATAGGATTATATAGGGAGGGAACGCAGCGATCCACATTCATGTTTGTGTGACGTTTATGTTTATTTTTATGTGTATTAAGATTAGAAGTGATTCACACATTGATGGATTTGTTGATGTGTGTTTGTGTTTCTACTCGCGCTAAACTCCGTTTGTTACGTCAGGTGCAGACTGAATACTTTTCTGCTGGCCCGGACAACTAATTAGTACTATTTATTATTAAAGAAATAAAAGCTACCGAGAGCAGTCCGTGCAACCTAGATTAATCTGTGTCTGAGGAATATAACACAACAAATTTGGTAAAAATCGGTTGAGTGATAAGGACGTTGTGGCAGATTTAAACCTGAGAACTCACCACCTCTCAATAGAAGTGAATTTGTTCACAAGCGGATCTTGACCGCTCCAACATGGCGGACGCGCGGACGTATCACCTCAGATAGAGAACAACAGACAAAGCGGCATCTAGGTATATACACCGATCAGGCATAACATTACGACCACCTCCTTGTTTCTACGCTTATTGTCCACTTTATCAGCTCCACTTACTATATAGGTGCACTTTGTAGTTCTACAATTACAGACTGTAGTCCATCTGTTTCTCTGCATACTTTGTTAGCCCACTTTTACCCTGTTCTTCAGTGGTCAGGACCCCCATGGACCCTCACAGAGCAGGTATTATTTGGGTGGTGGATTATTCTCAGCACTGCAGTAACACTGACGTGGTGGTGGTGTGTTAGTGTGTGTCTGGTACGAGTGGATCAGACACAGCAGTGCTGCTGGAATTTTTAAACACTGTGTCCACTCACTGTCCACTCTTAGACACTCCTACCTTGTCAGTCCACCTTGTAGATGTAAATTCAGAGACGATAGCTCATCTGCTGCTGCACAGTTTGTGTTAGTCATCCTCTAGTCCTTCATCAGTGGTCACAGGACACTGCCCACAGGATGCTGATTTTTTTGATTGATGGACTATTCTCAGTCCAGCAGTGACACTGAGGTGTTTAAAAACTCCAGCAGCACTGCTGTATCTGATCCACTCAGACCAGCGCAACACACACTAACACAATACCACCATATCAGTATTACTGCAATGCTGAGAATGATCCACCACTCAAATAGTACCTGCTCTGTAAGGGTCCATGGGGGTCCTGACCACTGAAGAACAGGGTGAAAGGGGGTTAACAAAGTATGCAGAGAAACAGATGGACTACAGTCTGTAATTGTAGAACTACAAAGTGCACCTATATAGTAAGTGGAGCTGATAAAATGGACAATGAGTGTAGAAACAAGGAGGTGATCATAATGTTATTTCTGATCAGTGTATATCTATGTACTGTAGAGTTTACCTTTTCACTGTAGTATGTGCATGAAACCACTAGAGGGTGCCGTTTCTCTCTTACTTTTCAGTGTTGGAAAGACTTTATATCCGAAGAAGCAATTCCATTCCTCTCCTGTGTGAGCCAGTCTGCACTGCTCAGGTACAACGCCTCCCCAATACCTACACCATGAAGAACAGAGTGAGCACTTCACCTTCATCTCTTTCTTTCTCCCTCGTTCTCCTTGTCCTTTTCACTCTTTCTCCTTCTTTTTGTATGTTATGTTATTACTCTCTCTCTTTCACCCTCTCTCTCCCCCTCCCTGTCCTTTTCTCTCTTTCTCTCTTTGATGCTATCTCTTTCTCTTCTTCTTCCTCTGTTTCCCTCTCCTTCTCTGCCCCTTTCTCTCTTTCTCTGTAATATGATGCAAGCACTGCCTCTCTCTCCTCTCTCCCTATCATGTTCTAAATATGATGCTATTATTTGCTCTTCTCTTTTTCTCTCTCTCTGTATCTCTCTCACCTGATGCCCCGTTTGATGGCCTCTGTGGGAGCACAGCTGATGGTATCCACACAGTCTGTGCGGCGATACTGCTTATTGTCCAGAAACCAGCCCGAGTCAGCCAGGCCTCTGACCTGAACTGATCCGTGACCTCGGCTTTTCAGGAGCTCGGCCACCTGGTCCACATTCAGCAGCACCCCTGTACCACCAGCACTGACACACACAGACACACGGGGGTCCATGTTAGTATCAGGCTTACACAAGTGAATGCACGATAAAGCATCTGCCTTAGACTGCTTTAAATCATGAGTACTTTCAATAATAAGTTAATGAATGAATTAACCAAGCGTCTGATCTGTCACGCTAAATGCATAGACAGCATGCTGACCTGCTCCCTGCCAGCAGAAGGACTTTAGCATTGTCCAGTCCTTTGGTCAGAAGTTCCTTCACAACTTCCTGAATGATCAGAGAGCCCATAAAGGCATAATCATCTAAACAGAGAGAAAGAGGGGGAGGTTATATACATATATATATATATATATATATATATATATATATATATATATATGTGTATATATATATGTGTATATATATATATATATATATATATATATATATATATATATACGTTAGTACATTACATATATAATAATGTTTTATCCGCTTGTAGAAACAAGTTTTCTGCCTTAAGATTAGCAACAGCTCTGTTCATCTTTCTAAACACATTAACATTTCTTCATTCTTTATTTTTTCAGTTTTTTGAAAGCTGTGTTTTCAGTTGGGAGCATCAGCATCATGTTCTAATTTAATACATGTATTTGTGATCAAATTTGTTTTAGATTATTGAAAACATTAATTACAAAAAAACATTTGGACGGTAGTGTCCATGTAGGAACACATAAAAAGCCCACTGTAGTGTGACTCACTCTGGTCTGTTTTTGGTGAAGCTCCACTCCACACATCACTGGAGCAGTAAGGAATGAATCTGCACACAGAGAGTTAGAACACAACCATCAGCACACAGAGAGTTAGAACACAACCATCAGCACACAGAGAGTCATAACACAACCATCAGCACACAGAGAGTCATAACACAACCATCAGCACAAAGAGAGTTAGAACACAACTGTCAGCACACAGAGTCATAACACAACCATCAGCACACAGAGAGTTATAACACAACCATCAGCACACAGAGAGTCATAACACAACCGTCAGCACACAGAGAGTCATAACACAACCGTCAGCACACAGAGAGTTATAACACAACCGTCAGCACACAGAGAGTTAGAACACAACCGTCAGCACACAGAGAGTTATAACACAGCCGTCAGCACACAGAGAGTCATAACACAACCGTCAACACACAGAGAGTTATAACACAACCATCAGCACACAGAGAGTCATAACACAACCGTCAGCACACAGAGAGTCATAACACAACCATCAGCACACAGAGAGTTAGAACACAACCGTCAGCACACAGAGAGTCATAACACAACCATCAGCACACAGAGAGTTAGAACACAACCATCAGCACACAGAGAGTTATAACACAACCGTCAGCACACAGAGAGTCATAACACAACCATCAGCACACAGAGAGTTAGAACACAACCGTCAGCACACAGAGAGTCATAACACAACCATCAGCACACAGAGAGTTAGAACACAACCGTCAGCACACAGAGAGTCATAACACAACCATCAGCACACAGAGAGTTAGAACACAACCGTCAGCACACAGAGTCATAACACAACCATCAGCACACAGAGAGTTATAACACAACCGTCAGCACGTAGAGTTAGAACACAACCATCAGCACACAGAGAGTTGGAACACAACCGTCAGCACACAGAGTTAGAACACAACCGTCAGCACACAGAGAGTTAGAACAGAACCATCAGCACGTAGAGAGTCATAACACAACCATCAGCACACAGAGTTAGAACACAACCGTCGGCACACAGAGAGTTCGAACACAACCGTCAGCACACAGAGAGTTAGAACACAACCATCAGTGCACAGAGAGTTAGAACACAACCATCAGTGCACAGAGAGTTAGAACACAACCGTCAGCACACAGAGAGTTAGAACACAACCGTCAGCACACAGAGAGTCATAACACAACCGTCAGCACACAGAGAGTCATAACACAACCATCAGCACACAGAGAGTTAGAACACAGCGGTCAGCACACAGAGAGTTAGAACACAACCATCAGTGCACAGAGAGTTATAACACAACCATCAGCACACAGAGAGTCATAACACAACCATCAGCACACAGAGAGTTAGAACACAACCGTCAGCACACAGAGAGTCATAACACAACCGTCAGCACACAGAGAGTTAGAACACAACCGTCAGCACACAGAGAGTTAGAACACAACCGTCAGCACACAGAGAGTCATAACACAACCATCAGCACACAGAGAGTTATAACACAACCATCAGCACACAGAGAGTTATAACACAACCGTCAGCACACAGAGAGTTAGAACACAACCGTCAGCACACAGAGAGTCATAACACAACCATCAGCACACAGAGAGTTATAACACAACCATCAGCACACAGAGAGTTATAACACAACCGTCAGCACACAGAGAGTTAGAACACAACCGTCAGCACACAGAGAGTCATAACACAACCATCAGCACACAGAGTTAGAACACAACCGTCAGCACACAGAGAGTTAGAACACAACCGTCAGCACACAGAGAGTTAGAACACAAGTGTCAGCACACAGAGTCATAACACAACCATCAGCACACAGAGAGTTATAACACAACCATCAGCACACAGAGAGTTATAACACAACCGTCAGCACACAGAGAGTTATAACACAACCGTCAGCACACAGAGAGTCATAACACAACCATCAGCACACAGAGTTAGAACACAACCATCAGCACACAGAGAGTTATAACACAACCGTCAGCACACAGAGAGTCATAACACAACCATCAGCACACAGAGTCATAACACAACCATCAGCACACAGAGAGTTATAACACAACCGTCAGCACACAGAGAGTTAGAACACAACCGTCAGCACACAGAGAGTTAGAACACAACCGTCAGCACACAGAGAGTTAGAACACAACCGTCAGCACACAGAGAGTCATAACACAACCATCAGCACACAGAGTTAGAACACAACCGTCAGCACACAGAGAGTCAGAACACAACCATCAGCACGTAGAGAGTTAGAACACAACCGTCAGCACACAGAGAGTTCGAACACAAACATCAGTGCACAGAGAGTTAGAACACAACCATCAGTGCACAGAGAGTTAGAACACAACCGTCAGCGCACAGAGAGTTAGAACACAACCATCAGTGCACAGAGAGTTAGAACACAACCATCAGTGCACAGAGAGTTAGAACACAACCGTCAGCACACAGAGAGTTAGAACACAACCATCAGTGCACAGAGAGTCATAACACAACCATCAGCACACGTAGAGAGTTAGAACACAACCGTCAGCACACAGAGAGTTAGAACACAACCATCAGTGCACAGAGAGTTAGAACACAACCATCAGTGCACAGAGAGTTAGAACACAACCATCAGTGCACAGAGAGTTAGAACACAACCGTCAGCACACAGAGAGTTAGAACACAACCGTCAGCACACAGAGAGTCATAACACAACCGTCAGCACACAGAGAGTCATAACACAACCATCAGCACACAGAGAGTTATAGCACAACCGTCAGCACACAGAGAGTCATAACACAACCGTCAGCACACAGAGAGTCATAACACAACCATCAGCACACAGAGAGTTAGAACACAGCGGTCAGCACACAGAGAGTTAGAACACAACCATCAGTGCACAGAGAGTCATAACACAACCATCAGCACACAGAGAGTTAGAACACAACCGTCAGCACACAGAGAGTCATAACACAACCGTCAGCACACAGAGAGTCATAACACAACCGTCAGCACACAGAGAGTTAGAACACAACCGTCAGCACACAGAGAGTCATAACACAACCATCAGCACACAGAGAGTCATAACACAACCGTCAGCACACAGAGAGTCATAACACAACCATCAGCACACAGAGAGTTAGAACACAACTGTCAATGCACAGACAGTTAGAACACAACCATCAGCACACAGAGAGTTATAACACAGCATTCAGAGCACAGAGTTAGAACACAACCATCAGGACACAGGGAGTTATAACACAACCGTCAACACACAGAGAGTTAGAACACAACCGTCAGCACACAGAGAGTCATAACACAACCGTCAGCACACAGAGAGTTATAACACAACCATCAGGACACAGGGAGTTATAACACAACCATTAGCACACAGAGAGTTATAACACAACCGTCAGCACACAGGGAGTTATAACACAACCATCAGCACACAGAGAGTTATAACACAGCATTCAGAGCACACAGGCAGTTATAACACAACCGTCAGCACACAGAGAGTTATAACACAACCGTCAGCACACAGAGAGTTAGAACACAACCGTCAGCACACAGGGAGATAGAACACAACCATCAGCACACAGAGATTCATAACACAACCGTCAACACACAGGGAGTTATAGCACACAGGCAGTTATAACACAACCGTCAGCACACAGAGAGTTAAAACACAACCGTCAGCACACAGAGAATTATAGCACACAGGGAGTTATAACACAACCGTCAGCACACAGAGAGTTATAACACAACCTTCAGCACACAGAGAGTTATAACCGTCAGCACAGAGAGTTATAACACAACGATCAGCACACAGAGAGTTATAACACAGCCATCAGGACACAGAGAGTTATAACACAGCAGTCAGCACACAGAAAGTCATAACACTGCCGTCAGCACTCACAGAGTTATAACAGAACCATCAGCACACAGAGAGTTAGAACACAACCGTCAGCACACAGAGAGTTAGAACACAGCCGCCAGCATTCACAGAGTTATAACACAACCATCAGCACACAGAGTTATAACACAGTCGTCAGCACACAGAGGTATAACACAGCCATCAGCACACAGAGTTATAACACAACGGTCAACACACAGAGTTATAACACAACCATCAGCACACAGAGCATTATAACACAACCATCAGCACACAGAGGTATAACACAGCCATCAGCACACAGAGTTATAACACAACGGTCAACACACAGAGAGTTAGAACACAAAAATCAGCACACAGAGAGTTATAACACAGCCATCAAGACACAGAGAGTTATAACACAGCGGTCAGCACACAGAGAGTTATAACACAACCGTCAGCACACAGAGTTATAACACAGCCGTCAGGACACAGAGAGTTATAACACAACGGTCAGCACACAGAGAGTTAGAACACAACCGTCAACACACAGAGAGTCATAACACAACTGTCAGCACTCAGGGAGTCATAACACAACTGTCAGCACACAGAGAGTTATAGCACAACCGTCAACACACAGAGAGTCATAACACAACTGTCAGCACACAGAGAGTTATAACATTTCCATCAGCACACAGAGAGTCATAACACAACCGTCAGCACACAGTCATAACACAACTGTCAGCACACAGAGTTATAACACAAACATCAACACACAGAGTTATAGCACAACCATCAGCACACAGAGGTATAGCACAACTGTCAGCACTCAGGGAGTTATAACACAACCGTCAGCACACAGAGAGTTATAACACAACTGTCAGCACACAGAGTTATAACACAAACATCAGCACACAGAGAGTTATAACACAACTGTCAGCACACAGAGTTGTAACACAAACATCAGCACACAGAGAGTTATAACACAACTGTCAGCACACAGAGTTGTAACACAAACATCAGCACACAGTTATAACACAAACATCAGCACACAGAGTTATAACACAACTATCAGCACACAGAGTTGTAACACAAACATCAGCACACAGTTATAACACAAACATCAGCACACAGAGTTATAACACAACTATCAGCACACAGAGAGTCATAACACAACCGTCAGCACACAGTCATAACACAACTGTCAGCACACAGAGAGTCATAACACAACCGTCAGCACACAGTCATAACACAACTGTCAGCACACAGAGAGTTGTAACACAAACATCAGCACACAGAGAGTTATAACACAACTGTCAGCACACAGAATTATAACACAAACATCAGCACACAGTTATAACACAAACATCAGCACACAGAGTTATAACACAAACATCAGCACACAGTTATAACACAAACATCAGCACACAGAGTTATAACACAAACATCAGCACACAGTTATAACACAAACATCAGCACACAGAGTTATAACACAAACATCAGCACACAGAGTTATAACACAACCGTCAGCACACAGAGAGTTAGAACACAACTGTCAGCACACAAATCCAGCCGAGCACCCTCATCTACACACACACACACACACACACACACACACACACACATACACACACACACACACACACTGTTTCTCAAAAAGTTTGTTGACACTCAATGTTTCTTCTATAATAAAGAGTATTAATAGGAAGTTATAAATACCTTCAATAAGTATTTAATAAAACCTCTATTGTAGTTTCAGCCAAAATGGCTATTAAGTACAAATTATTCAATTTAACTCAGACAACTCAGTGCTATAGGTCTGAAAGGATGTGTAGCTGACAAGAAGCCCTTACTGAGAAAAGGAAACAGACAAATCAAACAAAGACGCTGCTGATGTTCTCAGGGCAATGGACTGACCACCCCAGAGTCCAGACCACAACATCAGTAAATGTCATAAAATGCAACCAACTTATAAGACTGATCTTTGGAGGTGTGGAAAAACATCCCAGCAGATTTCTTTGAAAAACTGAAAGTAAGTCTCCTGAAAAGAATCAAAGCTGCATGTGTATATATACACATATACATCAGTGGTGTCACTCCATATGACCCACAGGTCTTGGGTGGTCCAGCTTCTATATCAAAGTGGAGAGAGTGTGTGTCTGTGTTTGCCTCTGTATCTGTGTAAACACACTTGTGTTGTGCGCTGGCTGTAGATGCTGTGGAGTAAGCGCAGCAGGGCAGCAGTACTGAGAGCGCTTATTCACACAGAGTGGAAAAGGCCTTTGGGTGTGGATGGAGCAGTCTGCGCTAGAATACTTACACCATGTTTGCATTCCACCAGTGTGGGTTTTCCTCCGGCTGAGGAGACAGAATGCCTGTACCTGAAACACACATACATATACAGATTGGCATCATTAATCATAATGCACTTTATAACGGCCTCCACAGAACTGGACTCTGTATGATTCAAAACAGTATCATGCACTCTCACTCTCGCTTTCTTCCTCTTATTCTCAGCTCAAAGAATTAGGATTAAGCAATAGTTAAGGAAAGTATTCAACAATTTCCCCTTTTTTTCCCCTGAAGGTATTTTATCAGCCAAGGCACGTTTGGTGTCTGAAGTGGTTTTATAATTATGCACTGGAGCTGTGAGGTTAATGTCGCTAAACAAGTAATGGAACCTAATGCTGCATTCAGGTGCTCCTCAGAAGGTTTTATATACCAGATGGTTAACTAGTAAATATGGGTAAATGCAATTCACAAATGGGAAAATTGGTATATCCCAGTTTCCAATCCCACTCTGACACACAATAATTGCCGCAGGTGAGTATCATGCTTAAATCATCACGTGGCACTTTCTGTGAACGGAGGTCATTTTAGGCCTCGAAACTCTTTAAAAATGTACTTTTTTTCTTTGGTGTTTGTTGACTGAGTATTAATCAAATTAAATGCTTCAGAAAATATTATTTTCCCACTTCAGGCTGTCAAATCAGACAAATGGACAGCATTTATTGCCACCCTGTAACCAAATTTTAAGGAGATGTATAAATGCCAATTAAAATCCTGTGTCAACTGAATTGTGCATTTTCTGCCAAGAAATATGGATATTTATGAAATGCTTGAAACTTTTCATGAAATAAAGTGATTCTTCAAGAGTTCTTTTGTACAGAAAATGGTTCTATATAGAACCACGAACACTCAAAGAACCTTTTGCATAATTAAAGGATTCATTGCATTGTGTAACTGTTCTTTATATTGATGCAGAATATGCTGTATATGGTTCTATGTAGCACCAAAAAGGGTTCTGCTATTGTTAAGATGTTAAGCTTGTAACCATAGAAGAACGCTTTTTGGTGCTATATACAACCTTTTTCTAAAAACCATATACAACACATATACAGAACCCTTTAATTATGCAAAGGGATCTTTGACTGTTCATGGTTGTATATAGAACCATTTTCTTTATTAAAGAACACTTGAAGAACCTTCTATTTCAAGTGTGACTTTTCAAATAAATAACAAAAATCTAGTAAAATAGTGAAATTCTTGTTTTAGTAATTTGAATTAATGACTCTTGTTACCAAATTGACAGTTCTGGTAACATAACCTACTTAATTAAACATTTTAAGACTGTTTTTTTACCAAAAATGACTGAATTACTGGGACCAAACCTGGCTGACAGGGTTGAATACAGATCATATTAAAACATAAATTATGCAACATAGAGTTGTAACAGTAGAGTTAGAGTTGTTTTACTCCAAATGGTTTCATTAAAATATTTGTTTGAAACCATTTTTTTATTAACAGGAAAATTACTGTTACATAAATATAAAAATAAAAAAAACAAAAACAAAAACTTTTACCCTGTTCTTCAGTGGTCAGGACCCCCATGGACCCTCACAGAGCAGGTACTATTTGGGTGGTGGATCATTCTCAGCACTGCAGTAACACTGACGTGGTGGTGGTGTGTTAGTGTGTGTCTGGTACGAGTGGATCAGACACAGCAGTGCTGCTGGAGTTTTTAAACACTGTCCACTCACTGTCCACTCTATTAGACACTCCTACCTTGTCAGTCCACCTTGTAGATGTAAAGTCAGAGACGATAGCTCATCTGCTGCTGCACAGTTTGTGTTGGTCATCCTCTAGTCCTTCATCAGTGGTCACAGGACGCTGCCCACAGGACGCTGTTGGCTGGATATTTTTGGTTGGTGGACTATTCTCAGTCCAGCAGTGACACTGAGGTGTTCCAGCAGCACTGCTCCAGCAGCACTGCTGTGTCTGATCCACTCAGACCAGCGCAACACACACTAACACATTAACACCACGTCAGTGTTACTGCAGTGCTGAGAATGATCCACCACCCAAATAGTACCTGCTCTGTGAGGTTCCATGGGGGTCCTGACCACTGAAGAACAGGGTAAAAGGGGGCTAACAAAATACGCAGAGAAACAGATGGACTACAGTCTGTAATTGTAGAACTACAAAGTTGAATAATTGAGCTTTACCCATGCAGCCAAATCAGTTTTTATGTGTAAATTAAGAAAACAGGATGACAATATTTGTCTAAGTCATTCTGCTTAAAACAACAAGATGTTGCACCTTCCTGTATGTATTATTATAAATAGAATGCTCCATTTTTTATTTGATCTTGGTCTTGTTAACAGGGTTGTGCATAAAATGTGGGACACAGGTCGATATAAAATAAATACTTTTCAATAAATGAATAGGAAAAACATTAATTTAACATTAAATTAATGGAAAATTTTAATAAATATATTTCATAGAGAAGTTCAATGTCAGTGAGGTTGGACAGCCCAAAATCACCATACTGAAGGTGGACCCAGACATTTTGTGTGTTTTCGTGATCATCTAAATGCTAATTTTAACCATTTTGTTTTTAATTACAGATCCCTTCACATTTCATAGAAATAAACAATTAGTCAACAGTCAATTTATTGCTTTTAAAACGCGATGGGACATACATTGAACTCTATTCATGGAAATGCTACATATATGCCTTAAACTGTGGCAAATAGTTACGTTTTAAGGCCATAGACTTAAATAAACTTGCTTGATACTGTATTACATACTGTTATCTATAACAATTAACAAAGCACAGACAAAATGGACGTATAAATCATTAAATGGCCTGGCCCCACAGTATCTTACTGAATTAATTCAGTCATACGAACCTACACGTACGCTCTGATCACCACTAAACCAGCATATGTTGTGTTCTGGATGCTGGAACGCTTATCAGCACCAGACCAGTGTTTTCAGCAGGATTGTTAGCTACATAAGCTTCATAGAGCTTCATAAAGAAGCAAACATCAGACTCCAAACATGTCTTAGCTGATCAACTATTCATCTCCTCTTTGAAGTTCTGAAAAGGATTAACAGATCGGAGTCCACTCTGCTAGAAAAACCAGCGTAGTTTAGCATGGCTGGTCACCAGCAAAACCAGCACATGTTGTGTTTTGGATGCTGGCATGCTAATTAGCAGCAACGTAAGTTGATATGCTGATCATCACCACAACCAGCATATGTGTTTTGATGCTGGTATGCTGGTCAATTAATATGACCACGCTGCGGTCATCAGGTAAACCAGAACCAGACTACCTCTAGACCGGCATAGACCAGCTAAGACCAGCATGAAACGCTTGCTAGCAGGGTGTACACTCATTCGCGGCCCTGCAGTGAGCAGGATTAGAAAAGTGTAAATCAGAAACACTTAAAGGAAAGAAAACTGTGTTTCCCCTTCAGGAAATAAAAAACTGGGTACGCGACAGGAAGGGTTAGCTTAGCCATGTCTGTGTGACTGTGTGAGAGAGTGTGTGTCTGCCTTGGCCACTTTCGTTGGAAAAACAAACACATTAAAACGTTTCATTTGAAGTCGAGCTTTTTTTTCTCTGAAAAGAATAACAAGCCGACGCACCAGAGTGGTGAATCAGACCAGTGTGGTTTTACCCTCAACCCACAGAGTGTACCCAACACACACACTGAGTACGCTGTACTTCAAGTCACAGCATAAGGTGGGAAGAAGTGGTTCAACAGAACAATTCTCTTACAAGTCAACTCCACAGACTAGCAACAGGCAACTTGTAAGCGAATTGTTCTTTTGAATGTTTTTTTTTTTATCAGTAAATTCATAAGTACAACCGAACTTTTAACGCAGCATCTACACAGTGTCGTCCAGGGATGTGGGAAGTGGGGCTGCTTTCAGCATTGTTTAAGTCTGACTTCAAAAAACAATTATGAAATTATACAAAAAACAACTTTAACTTAATTATTTCATACTTTATTTATACATTCACAAAATTTTATGAAGAGCACTGTTTAAGTTAGTGCTGAATTTTTATTCATTTCATACAGTGAGCAAAACCACTTTCCTCACCTGTTGACTGTTTTGGGGGTGTGTTGCAAAAAAACACAAGCAGATTTAGATGTCCACAGTTAACGTGTGTGCGTATTGTTTTTATACTTAAAGCAGCACTATGTAAGTTTTGTGTATTTGGAAACCCCTCTGGCAGAAAAGTGGAATGGAACACACAACATATGCTGGTTTGGTGGTAACATCAGTTGTGCTTCAGACCCCTTCCCCCAGCGGATGAATCTGACAATTGCGAGTGTGTTGAAAGAGTATTAAAGGAGAACTCAGTCAAAACTTTGTGGCTTTGTTCACACAGCAGGTAAAATTGGCCCAAATTCGATTTTTTCTTCATATTTGTCACAGATGTGTTATCTATGTGTCAGTGTGAACAGCAAAAAACACAGTGAATCTGACATTTTCAATATTGTTTTAAGACGCTTTCATATGCGGTACTGAAATCCGATCCATATCCAATATGTGGCAAGAAGTCTGAACAGCCAGATTGGAATTCATGCAACTTTTACATCAATCCGACTCAACATTCATCATAATTTAGTGCTGCTGAGACTCAATAAAAATTTATGATCTGTTCAGATTATTGCTGCATATAGTTCCCATTTAAAAAAGATAATGTGAACAGCCAAACAACAAAATTGGATTTGGTGAGAAAATCAGATTTGGGCCACTTTTACCTGCTGTGTAAACGCAGCCTTGGTGAAGGACGTGTCTTTGAAGGATGTGAGTGATAATCTACTACTGTCATCAGATCTTCATCAGTACTGATTTTGCATTTGTGACGGATCTTCTTTTTGAGTCTGTGCTTGTAAAGTTAATAAGTAAAGATGTGGAACGTGATCCGAAAAACTCCAATCTAGCACTTTCAGGTAATTATTTACATGATGATTTTCTATTCACGCAGTAATGCTGCTACTTTCAATTTTAACAAAAAGCGCAGGTGCAAGAACTCCAGTACAAAACTAAAGAAGCAACAAACACTTCTTGGCTGATTGACTATGTTTGTGTTAAGAAAAAATTGTGGAAATTTGAACTGTTCGTTTATACAGAATAGGCTTGCAGCCAGGGCTGTTTCACAAAGCAGGATTTCTAAGCAAAGCTGGATAACTTGAGAACTGAGGCCAAATAAGAACTGCCTGCTAGGACTGTTCCTCTAACTTGGCGTAAATTATCTAGTTAATAAAATACCCTCCTCCTCAGGTTAGGAGGAATCGAGCACAAAGATCAGCCTTCTATACTCCATTTATTCCTAATTCCAACATTATTTCTTTAATCTGAAATGAAATAAACTGAGCTGTCTCACAGAAGGCACAGAAGGCAGACAGCATGAGAGGTGAGGATGGGAGGAGATGTAGGAAGCGGTTGAGCTCACCTGTGCGAGTGCTGGGCCACCTGCTGGAGCTCATCAGCCTCCTCATGGTGTCGTACCTGCTGTCACAGTTTTCTTTACTGAAGCAGTACCATCCACCTGAGAGACAATCAGGAACATTTATTTAGTCTTACTAAAAGATTCACAAAGCATATGCTTCCATTTTTTTGCTTGCTTTCAGTTTTTCAATGTCTGCAGGGTTTTCCTTAACTTGTGACACTGAACCTGCAAAGTTCAGTCTTAGATGTTGGTTGTGTTTTCTCAAACACATTAATTGATGTTGATGTCTAGACTCTGAGGTTGTTCTGAGTCCCATTTTCTTATTTTCTCAGTTTTAAATTTCTGAAGCCCACTTTTAGAAACTCTACATCTTATAAATATTGAATCTCCTCAAAAATATCTCCTGAAGTCATAACTTGGCCAATAACTTAAAGGACAGTTTTACTGGAAAGTAAAGAGGGATAGACTCTTTTTTGCACAGTATTGTATGGTTCTGAAAGATCTGTCTAAAAGGATCTGTCTATTGGTATGCTCTTCTACCTACACACTCACATACGTACGATACTCACCCTCCAAGAACACCAACCACCTCCTGCTTCCTTTAGACTCCTTTATGTAGTACCTACAGCCAGAAAAGAGAAAATGATCAGGTTTTGTCTCATAGCAATAGGATTTCCTGTTTTGGAGGAGGTCCCTCTATTAAACTATGCTAAGTCCACATTTTCTAGAAGTATTTTATTATATTTAAATGCTATTTTTATTGTGGCAGTTGTAAAAATCTTTTTTTAAATTAGAAAACCCGGGGTTATCTCTCTTATCTCGGTACAGCTGTCTATGTGGAGAGGTGTGAATTGTTTTCATAGCAGAAGTTGTCTGCCCCTCCCCTTTTGTTCCTCTTGGCTCGCTAGCAGCTCAACACAAAGTCAGAATATTTCACATACAGGGTTATGGGGAAACTATCATCACTGTCCAAAGAAAAACAACTACCTCTGTCTTTATCGATTTTCATTTTTTCTACATCATTTGAGCACAAGAGCTTCCCTTTAAATTGTGAAAATTTCATGATGACTGGACTAACGTAAATGCTCCAAAAAAGCTTGGAATAAAATCTTTTTAAATTAACTCACATTAGAAGTAAAAAAATGTTTATGTCTTCTCCTGAAAGGGTGCCTTTTTGTAGATGCATGTCTTTCTTTGGACATTGACTATATTTTTTTTTAAATTAGATTAAATAAAAAATATCAAGACAATTTCCATTCCACTGGCGGAATGGTCACTAGGGGGTCTTCAGAAAGAGGCTGCTTTGTTCTTCTCAAAAACACACACACACACAGATTTCTGAGAATGTCTACTCTGAGAGGGTCAGCAGTTCATCAGCATTGGGCAGTATATGCCATGAGTTTTTTCAGAGCCAGTTAAATCTGAGTGTGACTCCTGCTGAGTCTCTCCAATCTAACTCACTCAAGTGCCCGCAACCCAACATCAACCCTGACCCTGACCCATGAGGACTGACCACAAAATGCTACTGTTTCATTTTTTTCTCTTTCTCATCTTTGTGTTTGGTCAAGAACACTACAGAGAGAGAAGCAAGTGGAATGGTGCTTGACCTTGAATACACTTTGAAAGGAAAAACATATTAAAAGATCTTTGACACAATAAAGATCTTACTGTGGACTTCTTAGTATAGCATAAGTGATCAAACAATGCAGTACAACCTTTTAAATTTTAAGGGCCTATTCTAAATCTGGAGTTCACACTGATAAAACTGCCTGTTAAAACGTTCTTAAACTGTCTCATCTCATTCAATCAGTGTACTGGGTTTAAACCCAAGCCCATGTATGAGCCAGGCCTTTTGACAACTCCTAGCATGCAGGATCATCTCCACCAGGAAAGCCTCAGTCTCTACACCTCTACACTCTTAATAGTAAGGGTCCCTAAATGGTTCTTGGCTTGGATGTGCAGTTCTAGAAAAAACTCAAAAATTTGATTGGTGTATCTTTACATCATGTGAAGGTTCTTTAAACTTTAACAGGTTCTTCACACTCTCACATCAGTTGAAAGATCCCTTTGGCAACCAAAATGACTCCTTTGTGGACCAGAACCAAAAAGCTCTTTTTGGCACTGATACATTTAAAGGGGAATTTCATAAATGTTTCAAATTTTGCATAATTCCAATGTTGTGGTTTGATATGAAACGGTGTATTATTGAGCAACTTACTGATTTCTTTACAGTGGTGGTGGTAGGAACCAGGGGTCATAATGTCTACATCATGAATATAGCCAGTTTGTTTACTATCCACCACCAGTAAACCTGTATGTCTTCTGAGTTTTTCTTTGTACTGTTGATATTGATAAAATTGTGGTATACCAACAAAAAATATGTTTTCTTTAGTTACTATTTTGCCTTATGATGCCCCGCATGTACCTCTCCACCATGAATGGGTTTAAAAAGTAAGTTTTACGCCAAAACCTTTTCTCAGAACTATCATAAAACAATGTCTCAGGCATCAGGCAGTGTATTCATAATCATTTCATGTAACAGCTTTCACTGTGAACAATTCTGATTCTCTTAAACTGAGCATTTCACATCAAACAACTCTGACTGGTATAGATTAAAAACTGCTTTTGGTTCCCAAAAGAACTTTTCAGTGGATGGTTCTTTATAGAAAGATTTCGAAATGAGATGCACGAGTGTGCAGAACCTTTTTTAAAGTTCAAAGAAACTCCAAGTAAATATTCGATACCAATAAAATACCTGTCCTAGAACCATGTGTCCAAGCCAAGAACAATTACAGAACCTTTTTTTGTCAAGAGTGCATATGCTGAACCAGAGCAGACGAGCTGTAATATTGAATTCTTCACCCGCCAACCCCCCTGTCCATCTCGCTGAGTCCAAACAGCACAGCATCTCTCCGGCAGTCTCCGTCCCGTACGCTTGAGGCTGCCAGCTTGCTTCATATTACTGGCCTCCGCAAAAAAACATGCGCTCTAACCTTCGCCTTTGATCAGCAAATTGAAACATTTGGCTTTGATTTCACAGCTAAAGCCCTCACTCTCAACTCATTTTATTTGGAGCCCATTTCAAAGAGTTCTGAAAACTATTATTAATTATTGAATTAGAGTACTATGCGTAGTGGCTTCCCAACAGGTGATTATGCTCAATCGCCCAAGTGACCCAATTCATGCAAAGCCCTCCACTGGCTCCCACCCTTTAGTCCTTCCAGGAAAAGAGGAACTTTCAAAAGACATGGCTGGCTTTGTGCTGAGCATCAGACATTTTGAGGCACTAGTAAACACATGCTTGGGTTGTATGGGTGCACTGCAGTGTGTTTATGAGCTTGGAGTGGAAGAGCCAGGGTGTTGGGACACTATCAGAAAGGTTATTTTAAGACCATAAGGTCGGACTCTCCATGTGGGGTCCTGCACTTTGGGTGTGTCCCTGAAAAATAGATTTGAGATCAGTGGGGTTCAGCCATGTCTCAGTCATAATTATTAGATCTGATATACTGGTGAGGTTTTTTCTAGACTGGAGTTAATGTTCCCACAACTAATTTAAGTGGCAAAACATCTTCAATTCCCCACTTGGGCTAAAACACCACGCAATAACAATAATGTTCCTTGGGCTAGACTCCTAATGCTATATTCGCTTGCATCTGTAACATAATTCTATTGTCTGCCAATTGCATACATGTAAATGTAAACCTCAAGATGAATAACTGAACAATAAGCTTAGAGTTTAAGGCATTGGTTTCCCACCCTGGTCCTGAAGTACCCACTTCCCTTCACGTTTTACTGTTTTTTAGTGATCCCAACACACCTGATCCAACTAATCTGTGAATTAACAACCTTACTGAGTTAAAGTGTGTGTATTAGAGCAGGGAAAACACTAAATGCATAGGACAAGGGGTGCTCCAGGACCAGGGTGGCAACCTGTGGTCCTAAGGGCTCAAACTCAAGCAAATGTTAGAAGATATGAGTATGTATGTCAATGAATGAGCTGAAACAGTGAAGCTGCATTATGTAAGAGATTTTTTTGAAAATTGAATGAAATATTATTACCAAATCAGAAAACAAAATTTAGAGGTGTTGGGTTGGATTTTATAGGAGTTTTTCATACCACAGTATACATCTTGAAGTATTAATGTCATACACACAGGCTTAAAAAGAAGGTCCTGCTCAATGTTTAGGTCTCAAATGCAAAATCAACATTATACTGATGAAGATATGATGACAATAGTAGATAATTCACTCACATCCTCTGAGGACACATTTTTCACCAAGTTTTGACTGACTTCTCATTGAATGCCTTTTCAACACACTTGCAATCATCAGACTCATTCAAAGGGGTCTGAGGCACAACCCACGTTACAATGTGTTCACCTGCATGTCATGTGCAATTCCACATTTTCACCTGAGGGGTCTCCAAATCCCCAAAGCTAACATAGTGAAGCGTTAAGGAAATATTAAGAAGGTTTCTGAGGTTGAAACTAGTGTGCAAACAACTGGCATGCAGTTTGCTTTACAGACAGCTCATTTCCTCATTGAAATGTTGTGGAATGTTGGCTACATTCCTCCAAACTGACCCAATGGTAGGGAATTTCAAATAAATATACAGATTTGGGGTTTCGTAAAGGAGTGATGCAATAATGCAATTTGCCCAAACTTTGTGCGGACGTTGGAATAATACTATATTTCTGAGGACTTCCATTCAGTGTAATGTTAGTAATGTTATGCCTAAGCCTAATATTAATCTAACCTTAACTTTAATAACCAAAAAGCAGTCTTTTGGCTCTTACAGTTCGTGGCATTTGTAGAAAAAAGAGCGTTTTTTTCTTTTAAAGGCCACCTAAATGTCCATACATCTTCAAAAATGTCTTTTGTTTCTATCATCATGAGGACATTTAGTCTTCACAAAGGGCTAAATACAGGACCAGACACAAGCACACATGGATTGTTCAGTACAGTATATTCAGATGTTCTATTTCACACCCTTAAAACACATCTCTCAGCACTGTCAGTGTCTGACCGTCTCTATTACATGGTCGGTCCATGTGTTCCGTGTTAGCCAAGGGTGAGTCTTTCTCGCTGTCCAACAGCTGCTACTGAACCGCAGGCTACACTCTCTGCAGCTTGTTCCTCTCCATATCTCTCTCTCTTTCAATCGCTTTATCACACAGATCAAGAAGAAGCGGAAAAAAAAGCTTCCGGAATAAAGCCATCAGACACACACACTGCCCTGAAGATGAGAGAGAGGGCTGATCGTTTCATCTCAGGGATGAGGGAGGCTGGAGATGGATGGAGGGACTAAAAGGGAGAAGAAAAAGGGGAGGGAGGAGAGGAGAAAGTGGGTGTCTGCATGTGTAGAGTTAAAATAATTCAAATTTAATTTAAATCCTCAGATTCTGTACTGTCAGAGACCAACCATGTTTATGTCATTTGTGGTCAAAAATGGCCATTTAGTACAAGTTATTCAGAGGTATTTCTAATGAGATTAGATATGAGAAAATCAGAAAGGGGAAAGTCAAAAAGAAAATAAGTAAAAAGAGACAATTCTTCATTTATCAGTCACTGGCAAGTCAAAATGGCCATTAAATACAAGGTGTTCATTTTTCAGGAGATATTTCTGAGGTTAGATATAAGTTGTATTAGGTTTGATTAGATATAAGACAGTTAAAGTCAAAAGGTAAAAGCTAAAGGAAATATGAGTTTCCAAAACTGATTAAAAAATACAGAAGAAATGGGGCTCCTAACAACCGTGCAGGCCTTGTAGACAACCAGTCAACCAGTTGTAGACAACCAGTCAACAGTCCCCATCAGAGAAACAGCACTCAAAGCTTTCATCTTTGAGAGAGAGGTCACTTTTGCTTCAGATCTGAAAAAATCTACAGGTGTTGATGTCCATCCTTCCATGGTGAGAAGACAGCTCAACACTACGAGTCTGAAAGGATGTGTAGCAGTCGAGAAGCCCTTACTGCTGGTGTTCTCAGAACAATGTACTGGCCACCCCAGAGTCTATACGTCAACACCACTGTATGTGTTTGGGATTACTTGGATTGTGAAAAGCAGAAAATGCAACCAACTTCTGAGACTGAACTTTGGAGATGTGCAAAAATATCTCTACAGATTTCTTTGAAAAACTGAAAGTCTCCTGAAAAGAGTGAAAGTTGTAATAAAGGCAACACTAAATACTGAAAAATCTGACATTATATCTTATTGTTGAGGCTTCTGTGTCATTTTCTGTTTTCTGTTTTCTCCTGATGCTGAAAACAGAATAACTTATGCTTAATAGCTGTTTTGATTGGCAATTAAACTAACACAGTACTGTATCTTTACATATACATCCATGGTCATAGACTGAAAGCCCCCTTTGATCACAGATTAGGCCCGCCAGACAGCTGGAAGCATGTGTGTATGTCTGTCTATAGATGTGTGCAAGAAGCAGCATTTAGATGTGGGCAGAAAAATGTGTAGTGTGTCCATATTTGTTTTTGTGTGCGTGCATGTGTGTGTGTGCGTGTCTGTGTTTTATGCAGTATGGCAGCCAGACAGCAGTGGAAGTGGAGTTTTTTGCCTCACATAAAGTGCTGTGTCTCCCGTGGTGGAATCCCTTTGATGTGTCTCTGGCCTTGGTGAATAAACTGTAGGCCTCTTACATGTAAGGAAACAGCAGGACTCCCACAGCACAGCCTCATCTGCCTGACCCTGGATCAGTTATAATACTTGGCTAATAACAGAGAGTGTTACTCATATGACCTGCAGAGCTGCTCCTGAAGCAGTGAAACAAGATCTTGGCAACACAACATTCTGTCTGATTCTTTATGCACTCATTTAGACTCAGGATGGCTGTCCCATTGTAATTCCACAACTACTGACAGCCTCACCAGTGGCGTAACTACCAGCAGTTGCATGGGGGCACATAGCAGAGAGGGTGCCCATGGTGACCGCTTATTATCTTTGTTGGACCCCTCATATTACCACTTTTAAACACATTTTACACGCATGACTCATGGGTAGCTACACCAATATCCTACTACCTTCTTGTATTCTTTTTATTGTCCCTGAAGTCCACTTATTTGTGTCTTTTAGGTACCAAAAACAGTCATAATTCACTTTTACATGCCCATTTTCCAACCTCTCTTTATTCCTTACAGTTAAACAAGCTGTTTTTGTTATTGTGCCTATGTAAACTATCGCTTTTTTTTTTGGCTGTCCTATATCATATCTCATTCAAAAAGCCAAAAAGCGATCTGGGCTGAAACTCTCCTTATAACTTCAGCATGATTGGGTGAGGATAAACCGCTGTAGGCTGAATATGCAGCTATATGTAGATATGCTGCCAATCACAAAAACAGGAATTCAAAATTCAGCTTACTTTCCAAATATTGGCTGTATGAACTGGAGAGTGAATGATATGTTTTGGAATTTTAACCATGTTTACATACTACAGCAAACTCCTTTACTTCATAAAGGGAGGAAACCATTGGTATACTTAGAGATAACAATAATAAGTAAACAAACAAGCAAATTGCTTCGTCACAGTCAGTTTTGTATGAGAGTCCATTCATTTTTTTAGGACTGAGGAGTAAGGTCCCAAGATCCACCACTCACCCACCATTTAGTATAATAGGACACTTCACAGCTCCTTGGCCAAGGTGAAACTAGAAACTAGGCTGGGACACTGAAGAATGCTGGGTGTGTATCAAGCAAATCAGATCAAGAATCTTGAATATCAGCTCTGTATAAGAAGCAGACATATCCAGATCAAAGGCAAGTAAAAGATTCTTTCTCACTGCCATCAGCATCCAAACACTGGCTTCATCAGCTACAGCTTCTAAGAATGTTTTATGACCACTGGGGCTCATCAATGAGATTATATATATATATATATATATACAGCTAAGACAGTCTATACTCTTCTGAATGGCTATATGCTAGTCTGTACTCTTTATGAGTGACTATATGCTAGTCTGTACTCCCCTTTGTGAGTGACTATATGCTAGTCTACACTCCCCTTTGTGAGTGACTATATGCTAGTCTATACTCCCCTTTGTGAGTGGTTATATGCTAGTCTGTACTCTTAATTAATGGTTATATGCTAGTCTGTACTCTTTATGAGTGGTTATATGCTAGTCTATACTCCCCTTTGTGAGTGACTATATGCTAGTCTATACTCCCCTTTGTGAGTGGTTATATGCTAGTCTGTACTCTTAATTAATGGTTATATGCTAGTCTGTACTCTTTATGAGTGGTTATATGCTAGTCTATACTCCCTTTTGTGAGTGGTTATATGCTAGTCTGTACTCTTAATTAATGGTTATATGCTAGTCTGTACTCTTTATGAGTGGTTATATGCTAGTCTATACTCTTCATGATTGGCTATATGCTAGTACATGTTGTTCATGAGTGGTTATTATGCTCTTTATATCCTAGTCTATACTTTTTTACATGCAAGTTTATGCTCTTTATGAGTTGCTATATGGTAGTCTACACTCTCCATGAGTGGATACATGCAAATTTACACTTTTTCTTAGTGGCTATATGCTAGTCCATGTTTTTTAAAAAAATGGTTATGTACTAGTATATGCACTTTATGATTGCTTAATGTATTAGTCCGTTCTCCTTATATGTTTGTCAATACTCTTTATGAGCAGTTATATAAAGCATATATGTGTTGTTAATAAACACTGATGGACATGTATTGTCTGGACATACATAAACTGGAGAATGCTGCCCCAAATATGAGAAGAGCGATGCAGGCATCTTCACCTGATACATGTGTTGATTGACAAAGTGGCCCTTTAAAATCCCTGGCTGATTACATCCTCAGGCATAGTATTCAGCAAATACATGTACTACAATGTAACTTGGAGTTATTCTTAAGTTATAGAAGTGCCTAACAAATGTATGGACCAGTGGGTCTTGATCATCTAAAGCAGGGGTACACAACTCTGGTCCTGGACGTGGCTGGTGTCTAGCAGAGTTTGGTAGTTCCTCTTCTGAAACACACCTACTAAACCTAGCAATTAACAGCTGTGTAATCAGGTGTTTTTGAGCAGGTAAATCACCAAATTCTACTGGACACCAGACCTTCAGGAGTTGTGCACTCCTGATCTAAGGGGTTAACCACAACGAGTGTTTAATTTTTGACCTTATAAAATTATATCTGCCAGTATGATCAGTTATCAGAGTTTTAACCTTCTTAAAATTAAGTATCGTATTAGTGACCCAGTCTTCACTGGTCGGGCCCTAGTCAGCAGCAGCAGCAGAGCTATGGGTTGGTGCCGTGTTTTAAGGTCAGTGAACTCACCCTGCAGATGAGCCGTCGTTGCAGGTGACCGTGGAGTTGTCCAGAAAGCGCAGCTTCATGTCCTGGTCTAGCCTGCGAGTGGAACAGGGGTACAGAGACTGGGCCAGGTTCTGCACCTGCTGCATCAGTGTGTCCATGTTACCTTCAACTGGTGTGAAGTCCAGGGGAAAACTCTCTGGCCCTTCACTCCTGCCCCGGTAGGAGGGCGGCGAGTGCGTTCGACCCCCCCTTGGCCTCCTGCCCTCTGCAACCTCGGCCAGTGAGAGAGTCACCAACATGGCCAGAGTAAGCGTCCCACCACCCATCTCCAAACGGGACCCCTTACGTTTACTCCTCTATGAGTCCACCAGTACTTTTCTTTTTGATACAAAACTCCAGGTGTTTTGTTCCGAAATTAAAGCCCAAGTTTGCTGGACTTTTTGTTGTTCAAAAATAAAAAAGTTGTCATGTAAAAAGAAAAAGATGTAATTAAAAAAAAAATCAAAGTTTTGTAACAAAAGGCTGCAGTTCAATAATAAAAAGTTCCAGTTCAGTAACAATAATTTACAGTTTAATAATAAAAAGCTGTAATTTAATAATGCAGGTAAAATACAGTTAATCATAAAAGGTTGTAGTTTAACAGTAAAAATTTGTAGGTTGATAAAAACTCCAAGTCTCTGGCTCTCAGCTCATTTATCCCCCACTAAACCGCGTCCTGAGATGATCCTGACTGAAGAGCCATTCAGCGCGAAATCAAACTTCACCGTCGGTGTAAAAACATTAACCTCTTCAGTTGATTAAGTGATTAATTGCTTGATTGATCTCTGCGTGTCTCTCTTCTCTTCTGATCTCTCTGCGTCTCGGTTCGTCTCCACGCTGCTGCCGCTGCTGTGGGTTTTATTCTAAACGCTCCGTACCCTCAGCCAATCAGAGCGGTGGGCTGGCCGGGGAGGGCGTGGCTTCGTCAGCACGCGCGCGTTCTTTTCTCTTCCTTTTTTTCCTCTTTGAAGTTGACTGAAATCGATTCTTTGATCTCCAGAAGTCTCTAGTAGAAGTCTGTCGATCATTCAGCCACCCAATAAATCATTCATTTCAAAGGTTTTAAGGATTATTTCAGGTATTCAGGTATTTATTTCAAAACTTTCCAAAAGTCTTCAGGCAAAGGGAGACATTTTTTTGGCAAACAACAAACAAATGAATAAAATATTAACCTCTTAAACTCTTACTACATCCCACTTTTATTACGTCCTAAGGCGTATTATTCAGTAATTACACGAAAAACAGTGCAAACTGACTCTTATTTTTAAATTATAGGAGTGAGAAGAGCAAGTTTAAAGTTTTGGAGGTTATAAACTTTAGTAACTTGCCGAAATGAAGTATATAACTATCACTACATCTGCTGTAAACATGCTTACTCACTGCTTACAGTGATTACTGTGAGATCTGCTTTAAAGACTAGGAAGACTCCCTTCTGATGATGTATCTTGAATGTGGAGATCAATTTCAAGGGCTTTGAGGTGAGAGTGGGATTTTTTTATGATAACTGGCTAATTCTTTAACTACTAAGAAAAAAGCTTGACGTCCAATTGAGGTTAGTGTTATGTCACTACTGCTAACAAACATCACATATTATCCTCCAGCAGTCAGGATCTGTTTGGTGCCACATTCCCGATAATTGCATGATGTATATCACTGCTGTCAGGACAAAACCTCGCATCTACATTTTTGGTGTTTTTCAGTTTTTGACATAATTTGAAAGTGCCTGTTGTCCTTTGCGTTGTTTGTAAATTTCATGATGAATGGACCAAAAGAAATGGCCAAAAATATTTTGAAAAAAATCTGGTTCCATTGACTTACATTGAAAGTACAGTATATTTTTTTCTTCTCCTGTAAAGTTACCATTTTGGGGATACGAGGTTTTGCTCCGACAGCAGCAATATGCAAAATTGTGATTTCTGTCAATCCAATCAGGCTAATGGACGGAATGCTGCTCTACAGGATATCATAAAATATAACAAATAACATATTAAGTGCTAGTTTTAGGCTGGAAAGCCTCTTTAAATTCATTAAACCTCAACTGTAAATGAAGAGAATTAACAGATTTGATGTATCTGAGCAACTGAGAGGCAAAGAGAGATAACACAAACTTTTAATCCTTAAAAGAATATAAACATCAGCACTATAGGGGCATTCATTTATACACCTCTGTGATGTCAGAAATGGTACAATCAGGTCACAGGTCTCAAAAAGTTCCTGGGTTTTTCAAGTGCTTGGCATGCTGGTGATTTACTAATCAAATAAAATCAAAACTAACAGAGCTGGTTTAAATGGGCTGGAAAAACATGCACAGGCGTTCAGATGAGAGCTCATTTCCATAAATAACTTCCGTTCTGCCGTACACTTGCTCTGCTTTGAGAGGGCACACAAACACGGGGCTCAAAAGGCCCTTAGCAGAGCGACTGAAGTTTTATTTCCTCGCCTGATAGTTCGGACAGATAAGGGTCGGAAACTGTTTGTTTATTCAGACGGCAGTAATTTCCCCAGGGCCAAAGCAGGCTCTTTCACCTTCAGAGCTTTGAACATGAGTGAATAGGTGCACAGGAGTGTTTTGCTGGGGAGAAGCTTACAGCATTTAAGGCCAGTTTCCCTGACATTGATTAAGCTCAGTCTTGGACTAAATTGCTAATGGAGAATCACCTCCTTTTAGTCCGGGTTTAGGCTTAATCTGAGTCTGGGAAACTGGCCCATGAACTTGGTATCCAGTTCTCATTTTAGAGTTCATGGGCATGAACTTTACTGCGCAGAAGTCAGAGACTACCCTTCATTTATTTTTTTTCCTGTCAAAGCGGCCGTTAAGTGCAAGTTACAAGTCATTCATTTTCAGGAAATGTTTCTGAGGTGATTAGATATGAGATACACTTGCATACGGAAGGAGAAAATCAAAGGAAAATAAGCAAAAAAACAGTTTCCAAAACTGGAGTTAAAAAAAAATGATTGAAAGACACAGAGAAAATTTAACTCCTAACAACCACTTGAAAAACCTGGTAGACCAACAGAACTGTCCCCTTCAGATAAACAGCACTTAAAGCTTTCATCTTTGAGAGAGAAGAGAAAATCAAGCCGCTTCAGATCTAAAAAAATCCACAGGTGTTTGTGTCCATCCTTCCACTGTGAGACGACAACTCAGCGCTATGAGCCTGAAAGGATGTGCTGCCGTCAAGAAGCCCTTACTGAGAAAAGAAAAAAAAGGAAAAAGGAAGACAGAAAAAATGAAGATGCTGATGTTCTCTGAACGATGGACTGACCACTCCAGAGTCCAGACCTCAACATCGCTAAATGTGTTTAGACTGCATAAATTACGGAAAACACATGAAAAAAAATTCATTATCCCCAAAATGTTTTTGCATAAGTTGTTCTTGACACATATAAAAAAATTCTTTATCATGAAATACACATGAATGAAAAATGTCTTCATTTATTTCTCATTGAAAATAGCACAACTCATAGAAATCTAAAAAATTGGAAAAAAATATTTTTGCAGGTAAGGTTGAAGGGTAAATAGCATCTATGCATAAGTGATTTTTAGAATTCACAAGGTATAAAATTTTGAATTGATGAAAGCCTCAACTTGGATTACAGAGAAAAAAGTTGGCAATGTAAATGACAATGATCAGTGTGTCCAGTAGCACTGTGTTCATTTACCACCATTATTGCAGATTGTAGTTCCATTGTCCATGCTGAGGCCATCTGGCCACAATTATGTTTCATCATTTTATATAAAAATCTATGACATCTAGAAGAAATTGTTTAAATAATAATAATAAGATGCTAGACCTCACCATGTGATGTGTGTGTTTGTGTGAAACAGAAGCACAGACTTGAAAATGGAGAAATCAAAGATCTTTTTTTGTAGTTAGGAAATGAAATTAGCGTAAAGAACATACTCTACAGGGAGCATGTATCCCATTTTCAGTCATTTTTAGTCCACTACTTTTATTTATTTGTTTAGTATTGGAAAAACGTTAAATATGATATGTGCCACAACATTTGCATTATTTTATACTTCCATCAGCCATGCACTGTTTAATACTGTATTTTCAATGCAGTAAAACAGTTCCCACACCAGTTGTTGGCTGTTTTAGGGAATGTTGCTAAAACACAAGTAAATAAAAGAGTATGCAGAGATGTAGGTTGGTTCTGTGGCTCAAAGTTTTTTTTAACTTCAAATTTTTAATTTTAAGGCTTCAAATTCCAAGTAAAGTAATATTGTCCTACATTTTAATAATACAACCCCTTTTTTTTCAAACAGGGTGTGTATCAGCAGTTCGTTGTGTCAGTTATATTTGTTTATTGTCATCTCTCTTCACATTATAGCATGTATTTGCGGTAAATTATCAAATTTTTTATACATTTAAAACAGGCTGTTTTAGTAACTTAGTTTCCATATATAGACTGAATGGATTGAGGAGTGAATAGTATGTTTTGAAACTTTAAAGGGTGCATATTCTTACTTTTTTGTATTTTAGCTTTTCCCTCAAGGTCCATTTCTAACATGTATGTGGTTTTATATACCAAAAATGGTCATATTTAATTTTTACTTGACCATTTTCCAGCTTTGCTTTATCTCTTGTTAGAATTAAAGAGGCCGTTTTTGTTACTCTACCTTTAAGACTGGCATAAGATAAATGAGCTCTGTTCTGATTGGCTGTTCTATGTTGTGCCTCATTCAAAAAGCATTCAGGGATAAGACACTCCCCAAACTTCAGTATGAATGGTTGGAGTTAAAGTGCTGTAGATTGCAAAGGCAGGCTTATGTAAATGACAAATTGACTGTATGATTAATAGCTAGACAATAGATGATAATAGATAACAGTAAATAAGTCATAACAAATCCAGTAACCCAACAACGTGCCCGCTGGATCCCATTCCATCTGCATTGTTCCTGTCAATCTCCAAGGATCTACTGCCCTTCATCACTTTTCTCATTAACAAGTCCTTGTCATCAGGTGAAGTTCCATCAACTTTCAAGACTGCAAGAGTACTTCCCATCCTGAAGAAGCCCACGCTTGACAGCTCTGATATCAACAACTACAGACCGGTATCACTCCTTTCTTTTCTTTCAAAAATTCTTGAACGTACGGTCTATAATCAACTGTCTCTCTTTCTCACACAGAACCAGCTCCAGGACCCCAACCAGTCTGGCTTCAAACCAGCGCACTCAACAGAGACTGCTCTTATAGCAGTGAACGAGATCAGCCTGTCTGTCGTCTTTCCTGATTCTTCTTGACCTCTCGGCAGCTTTTGACACGGTCAATCGCACGGTCCTTCTGGGTGTCCTCACCAACCTTGGAATCACTGGCTCTGCGTGGAAGTGGTTCAAGTCCCATCTGGAAGATCGCTCATACCAGGTAACATCCACATCCTCTCCACGCAGGCTCTCCACTCGTGTCCCACAAGGCTCAGTGCTGGGTCCTCTTCTCTTTTCTCTTTCCACTAGCTCTCTTGGCACTGTAATATCATCTCATGGCTTCTCTTATCACTGTTATGCTGATGACACTCAACTAATGCTTTCTTTCTAACCCTCTGACACACAGGTTTCCAGTCGGATCTCGGCATGTCTGTCTGACATTTCTTCATGGATGGCAGCTCACCACCTGAAGCTCAATCCTAGTAAGACTGAGCTGCTATTCATCCATGCAACTACAGGTCCTCATTATGATCTTGCCATCTCATTCGAAAACTCTCTGATTGTCCCATCTGTAGAGGCAAGAAGTCTTGGTGTGGTTCTGGATGGCCAGTTATCGTTCTCGGATCACATCGCGAACCTAACTCGGTCATGCAGATTTCTCCTGTACAACATCCGGAGGATCCGACCCTTTCTCACTCGAGAGGCCACCCAGGTACTAGTGCAGTCTCTTGTCATCTCAAGGCTTGACTACTGCAAGTACTGTGTCCGTACAGCAGAGTCTCTCACTGTCTTCAAACGCAGACTGAAGACACATCTCTTTTTACAGCACTTAAATGAGCAATGAATTAAGTATTGATTGTAAAGTATTGTACTGCACTTATGTATTGTATTGCACTGCTCTGTGTTTAACTGTTCCTTTTTCTCTAGGTGTCAATAATGACTTTCTGATTCTAGCAGTATCTGAGCTCAGGACTGACTTTCTCTCTAACCTATTGGTAACTAGCAAAGATACTTTCTCTGGATAGACAAAACACTTTTTGTAAGTCACTCTGGATAAGAGCGTCTGCTAAATGCTGTAAATGTAAATGTTAACACTGTACATATATGTTCGTTTTATTTTTAGGGCCTTTGGTTCCTGAAGGTCTCTATGCTGTTGTCTATCTTTGCCCAGTGTGAAGTCTACCTCTGTGTGCTCCATGACGGGTTGAATGATGGGGTGATTCAGACAGCAGGTGAGCATTGGGGGTGACTAATATAGGGGAGATAAACTGGGCACCCAAAAACACCTTACAGAGGAAACAGCCCTGTAATAGTCACACCCTTCACAGCTCTTCAAAGGGTTCATAACTGAGCGCTGAGTGTAGCGTATGAGGCAGCAGCCCACATACCCCAGCCCCTCCACTGCACAGTAACGGATCTGAACATGATTCCTCCTGACATACCTCTCACTCCTCATACCTCTCAGACTCCATTCAGTTAAGCGGCAAAAGCGTGCCCTTTAAATCACTCACATATGCTTCCTCTACGGGAACCACAGTCAATGCAAGACAAGCACGAGAGGCAAGAGGAGTCAGAAACATCAGGGGAAATGATTGAAAGCTGGAGGGCATGAAATCCTGATCCTATGATGCTATAAAACATGTAAGTAAAAGTAAACAGTAAGAGGAAGAACTGTGTAACAGTAACAAATGAGTAATAGTAGCCAGCAGTGCTGTACAAAAGAGACCATGCTTCCTTTACCAGTCAATGGCCAGTCTAAAGAGTTTTTAAAACTAGAGTTCAAAAATATTATTAAAATATATAGAAAAAATGGGACTCCTAAGGTCCGTCTAAGACCAGGGAGACCACCAAAAGTGTTAGATAAACAGCTCTTAAAGCTTTCATCTTTAAGAGAGAAGAGAAATTCAAGCTGCTTCAGATATGAAAAAATCCACTGGTGTTTGTGTCCATCCTTCCACTGTGAGACGACAACTCAGCGTCTGAGAGGAAGTGTAACTGTCAAGAAGATGTTACTGAGAAAAATAGATGAAATTCAAAAATCAAACAAAGAAGCTGCTGATGTTCTCAGAACAATGGACTGACCACCCCAGAGTCCACACCTCAACATCACCAAGTGTGTTTGGGATTACTCGAATCATGATGCTAAACCAAGCAAGGCATGGACACAGTAAATACTGAAAATCTGATATTATATTTAGTTGCTGAGGCTTCTATGTAATTTTCTGTTATATATACATTTCTGACTTTTCCTTCCTTGATACTGAAAAATAAATAACTTGTACTTAATTATTGTTTCTACTGAAAATGAACAAATGAAGGGTGCTCTTCTGCACACTACCATATAGTATCAGTAGTGACCTTGTTGTTAGTTATTTGACATTGAAAGATTTCCCTATTTTTCATGATTTTTCATGTGATAGGTCTAACTTTCTGACATAAAACCCATTATGATATGAGTTATATTAGGAATCATATATATATATATATATATATATATATATATATATATATATATATATATATATGACTGTTCTACTGTACTCTATACTCTTTGTATAAAAACTCAGTAAATGTAGATTCACTGGTCATTTTGGATAGTAAATAAAATGGCTATATTTCTACCGTAGACTTTGTGACGCCTGGTTGCTATCACCAACACTGTAAAGAAATCCAAACTTGTTTGTTTTTCACATCGGAGCACTTTGACTGACTCTATTTACATCTCAACAGCTGGATTATGCAGATATTTTGAAAAATCTGTGGAATGTGGTTCAGTGAGCTAAACGATCTCCATCATCCATCTTAGTCACAGTGACAAACATCTTTTGGGTCAAAAAGTCTCTAGATAATTTCCAAAAATCCAGAGACTTTATGACTCAAAAGGAGTTTCAGGCTGTTTATTGTGAAAATAAAAATATGACCACTGAATGTGAAATAAAGTCGTCTATGGAGCCCCCCGAAAGGACATTGGGGGAAAAACATGACATGGCCTTTTCTATAATGGGTAAAAAACCTCTCCTGCCTGTGAATCTCAAATTAATTATTTTCAGATCATTATCTCAGGATAATTGTCTTGAGCCGTCAAGTTGTTCAGAAGGCCATGGCTGCACCTGAACAAACACCAAAGCTCCGGACATATTTATGTAACCCTTTCACCAAAACAATCTGTTGTGTTTTAAAACACTTTTCAAATGGCGGTCTGATGAAAATGGACAATGGGCTTGGGGAGATGTATCTCGAGATAATTAATTTGTGAAAAAAAATCTAAGGTCATTTTACCGGCAAGAGGGTTTTTTACAAATGAAAGAAAAATGCATGTCATTTTTCCCCCTATGTCTTTTCAAGGTCTCCATAGTCATCAAGCAATCTGCCTGTATAATTAGCATCCAGTACATTTTCTTGCATTGAGTACACTGACAGTACACTGAAGCCGGAGTCTGCGCTGCTGGCTCAGAGCTGCTTCAAATAAAGCTGCTTCAAACAAACACAGTGACGTCACTCTGCAATGGCAGCCAGCAGTACTGCAGTGTCAGTTCTGACTCCGAACGGACGAAGACAGACCGTAAAAGTCTCCCCGAACACACCTTTACTTCAGGTAAACATGGTCCAGGACATGCCTGGCATATGCGAAGCTTTCGTTGGCGTTTCATGTGCAGTCATGCTGTTTTTTGTTGTATGTGAGAACAATGCCTGCTCATGTAGCTTCGTTAGCTCTGCGCTGCGAGTCAGAGAAGTCTGTGAAACAGAAAAGAGGAAAACATGATAAAAAATATAAATTCACTGCTGTTTTAACTCTGCAGGTTCTCGAAGAAGTCTGCAAGAAACATGGGTTTAATGCAGACGACCACGGACTGAAGTGAGTGTTCTTTTAGTTACCGAAAAGATTAATACACTTATTAAAGTGTCGTAATGCTAACTTACATTCCTATATGAGTCTAATACCGAATTAGCACAGTTAGCTACTACAGCTAGTACCCGACACCTCACAGGAGTAATAGGTTAGATTGCTGTACGGTAATGTTATGAATTGTGAAGCAATACACCGCACAAATATAGTTAGCTATCATAGTTTCATAAAGTATTTGTAAGGATGGCCTGTTAAGGTTACTGAACTGCTGTAACATACTAACTTACTGCTGTCGTATAATAAATAGCTTGGTGCGTTACTATGTAAAGTGCCATATCAGTGCCTAAATATATTCAGAAATAAGTAAATTGTGAGTTTTGGGTTCTCCTTTGTTTATAAGTGGCATATGAGAATACTTCTTCACTTGCTAACCTTATATGTGATTAAAGCCAACACAGAAGTTGCAGTCATATGTAAGAGTGCTTCCAAACCATATTTTGAACTAGAGGTGGGTAATATGGTAAAAATGTGGTATCACAATACTTCAAGATGTTTTCGCAATTTACGATAAGTCACAATATTTATTTTTTCTGACATCGGGTAAGTTGGAACAGAAGAAGTCGTGCCACCTTTGAAAATGCTGTCAAAAACTATCAATCCAATTTGTATTTAACTTATCACCCACTGTGCTGCACTAAATCCAGTTATACACAACTGATTGTGCTCTCTTTGTATTCAAACATGCATGAGGAAAGTGTTAAGTGCTAAAGATATCCACAATATGATCAGAAAAGCCTTTTCGAAATATTGTGACATTATTTATCATGATAACCATGAATATTGTCATATTGCCCATCTCTATTTTGAACTATGTGTCTGTGTTATAACACAGAGTTGCAAAGGTGATCTGCTGCTGGAGTGTGTCCTTTGTGCCAAAATGCTTTTTTGCACCCAGTGCTTTCTATTATCTCTTAGTCTGAGTGACTCTTTTATGTACAGGTTTCAGAGGAATGTGCTGGATCTGACGCTGCAGTGGAGGTTTGCCAGCCTGCCAAATAATGCCAAGCTAGAGGTGGTGGCAAGCACCCGGCAGCGGGGAGGGGCAGAGAGCACGGTGGGTTACTAGGGTTACTACGTTGTTGTTCATCTGTACGACTTAACTGTAAATGTAACTGGCTACATTAAGGCCTTAACAAGAGCAACAAAGCCAGCTCTTCTTTAAGAGTTCTTTGTGTAATGACTTCTGGAGTCATAAGCATTCTGGTTCATATCATCTCACTTTGTTCATTCAGATAAATTTGACAGCTTAGTTTATGCAGGAAATACTGGTACCATGGCCAGTACCAAGGTGTCATCTACACACATAGCAAAAAAAGTTATATGACAATAACGGAACCCCTTTTCGTGCTATATGCTCTATATGGTCAAAAGTTTGTAGACACTCCTCCTAATTATTAGGTTCAGGTGTTTCTGTCACACCCATTGCTAACAGATGCATAAAATCAAGCACATAGCCATGCGGTCTCCATAGACAAACATTGGCAGTAGAACAGGTCATACTGAGGAGCTCATCATTGCCACAGGTCAGCTTGTGAAAATTTCTGCACTAGAAAGGAAGCAACACTAACAAATGAACTGTGTGTTCGGAGCTTCATGGCTATATATCTACAGTTTACAACTTTGTTAGACTTTGACTCTTTGACAAGAATTATTGCTGGGCAGAACTGTGGAATTTGTGGTATTATTAACAGTTTTCTTACAGTGGTGCCCAGGTGTGCTAGAACAGATTAGAACCCCATAAATTTCTTCATAGGATGTTCTGAATATGTCATTATTTTAATTTCTGGCTTCAAAAATACATCCTCGTTGGCTGACTTGAGCTTGAAATATTTGTCTGAACCTGACAGGACTCTACTGCGTCAGGTTTAGTCAGGTTTAGACGTCATTTTCTGAATGTGTATCTTGGTCAAGTCAAGTTAAATTTTCACGTTTGGGTTTTCACAGCACCCCTGGGATGGGCTCCAGCACCACCACCCCCCAGACCCAAATGATAAGATGCTTAGTTAGTGTGTGTGTGTGTGTGTGTGTGTGTGTGTGTGTGTGTGTGTGCGTATGTGCGTATTCTCACAGCTTCCAGCTTTTAAGAGTTTGTACCCTGCATATCCAGCTGCTTTAATTTTATTCTTCCTATTTACATCCATTACATTAAAACAGTTATTAATTTGACTTGTGTCATTGACACAGTTTAGCATGTAGGTCACTAAGGCCTGTGCTCCTGAGAAAATGGATGCAAGGTGTTTTTCTCAGTGAAAATAAGTTATCACATCCTCCCATTGAGATGTTCTTCCAAAGTGTTGCTTATTAAAGTAGAATTTTAGGCGGCTGATTATTTTGTTATACTTTTTATTTTTTTTTATAAAGTTTTATTTTATTTGTCCCTGATTTCATAATGGCTGTTATTATTGCTATGTGTAAACCTAACTAGTGCTATCCTGTCAGGTTTAATTCAGCACTGTGGATGATAATTGGCTGGTTCAGATCAGTTTCAGACAGAATTTTATCGACTCAACTCGATAATGTGGATCAGACACAAGATCATTGGGCCGTATTCAGGTTTGGACCAAAAAACTGGCCTGATTGTAGCTCTGTTAGTGACACAGGCTACATACACTAATAAAGTGACTAGTGGCTCTGCGTCACTATGTGGGCTATAGTACTGGCAGGCATAAATGATCTGATTTAAGGAGAGCCTTCATGTCCTATATTGGGCGCCGATTCGTGAGAGAAAGTGCTTAAACCCTGTGGTGCTGTGCGGTAGATTACTTCACCATCCCCGGTGTCCAGAACACAACGTGTGCGCTCACTTTACTGCTACAGAGCGGGTCATAAAAATAATCAGCGCCTTGTTTGATTCCTTGTTCCAAAACATTTATTCCTCCGCTTTGAACATTTTAAGTGCATTTTTCCTCCTCACACGCACGCACACACCCTCATACAGTGAACACTTTCTCTGTTTTCCTCTCTTGCTCTCTCTCTCCCTGCCCAGCCGTAATTTCCACTTTCTGTTTATGCACTGGTGCAATTAGGCGTCCCCATTACAGGGCCATGTGGCTGGGCCTCGCTGGGTGTTAACATGGCCATGGCATCCTTTTCAAGTCCATTCCACACCGACGGCCCACAAGGCCAGGCTGCCTCTAAGAGGTCCGTAAACAACCCTGCCTATGTCTGGGCTGTGTCACCGAGTGCCATCTTAGAAGTGGACTTAGAAGTGGAAGTTTCTAGAAGGAGAGGAATGGACACATCTGCCGAACAGGTTCTTCTAACACAACCAGGCCTCATATTGGTTGCAGATGACTTCTTGTTTGTAGAAGAAACTAATTATTTCAAGGCAGGACAGAAGCCTTTTTCATTGTGGGTGAGTGTTTTTTTTAACCTTTTTTTGAACCTCAAGCTCAGATTTGAACTATTTTTTTTTTATTTTTTATTTTTTTTGTAGGTCGAATGAAATGAAGGACATGTTGGTAGTTGTGGCAGGTGCAATTTCTTTTCTTCCCTATTGATGGAGTTACACTATAAGGCCCTAGAGTTTTCAGACACCTGCTCATCCAGTGTTTCTTCTGAAATCATTGGTATTAATAGGGAGTTTGTGCGCCTTTACTTCAGTAACAGCCTCTACTGTTCTGGGACAGCTTTGCACTAGATGTTGGAACATTGCTGAGAGGATCTGATTGCATTCAGCCACATAAGCATTAGTGAGGTCAGGTACTGATGTTGGATCACAAATGCCAGTCATCGCTCAAGAGAATGCAGTTCCACTGCTCCATGGCCCAGTGCCGGGCATGGTGACCTCTCACTTGTGCGGCTGCTCCAGGGCACCCCAGTCTATTGGTCAGTGCTTTGCTGTGTAGGTGATGAAACCTGTATGTGCGCAATTGAACAACTTTGTCAGCATTGTGTGCACCTTAAAATAGAAGACGTGGTTGGATACTTTTGAACTTGTTGGTGTTGCGTTTTTCCTGTGCATGGCACAGTATGATTACAAATCCCATCCCAGAGCTATTCATACCCTGGTCGAGTACCTGTCCGATTCCCCTTGCACAGCAGAACCGTGAAAGTAGGTAGGGTTCTCTGTAGGTTGTGTGGTGGTCATATAATTTCTCACATGACACAAATATTACAAGGCCCATATAATGAAAAATTTTCCTTGTCTTTTTTGAAATAAAAGCTTATAAACAATGTTAAAGTTTCTAAATGTACTGTTTATTCCTGAGATCATACAGTCCGTAGCAGAACAGTTGATGTCAAAAAAACAGTGCATTTACATATATCCACCTGTTCAGGCTGTAGCAGTTTAGCACAGCCCTTTCACATTATAGTTATAAAGAGTATTTCAGCCTGGACTGCTTTTTTTAATGAGTTCCAACATAGGGCTGCCGGACAAAATATAGCTAATTTACATATAATTTGCATACCACTTATCATCATAACGTATCATTTTTAATGTTGTCACAGCTTATGTCACATGCTGATATTTGCTAACTGTACTCTAGCTAGCCATCATGACATAAAATATTGTGACATCTGTCATGACAATTAACAGTAATGGTAACATGGCTCTGTTATGTTACTTTACATAATCGATTATGATGACTCATGACAGCATATGACATCTGTTATGATATGCTTTTGCCATGGTTATGCCAGGGTTATCATGCAGGGTTCAAGTAAAGTGTTACTAAAATAATGTAAGATAAGGGCCCTTTAACAGTGAACTCAGTTGCAACAAGTTAGCTTCAAGTTCTTATTTATATCAGATTTACTCTGCATCGGTCACAGACAGCAATTCTGGCTAGCTAGCTAGTAGTCATGGATGGCCAATTCCGGCCAATTTTTGGTTTTGGTACATATTATGATGTGTGTGTATATATTATAACTAAACTCTTTAAGACACTTAAGTAAGCCTATTTTTGTAGATTAACAGCAATTTATTATTCTGGGATGTCCCTTTACTTTTTAATGCAGACATTTTTAACAACTAATGTAAACCTGAAATGTTTTTTTGTGTAAAATAGTAATAACAAAACTGAACAATATGTAGATAAATCTATGTTAGTATTACTTGATAACTCGAGCCCCACAGGCCTTGCAAAAATGGTGCTAAATGTTGAGTCGCATCCGAGTTTCTACAAAGTTGAAGTTGGCCTCCTGTTTGACAGCTTTTGTTCTTATTTTCCGTCCCACTTTAAATGGAGCAGCAGTTACTTTCTCACCCCTGCACAGGCAGCTGGAATGTAATTGCTGCACCATTTAAGGTGAAATGGAAAACTTTAACAGAAACTTTAACATTGTTTATAAGCTCTTATTTCAAAAAAGGCAAGGAAATTTTTTCATTATATGGGCCTTGTAATATTTGTGTCACATGAGAAATTATATGACCACCACACAACCTACAGAGAACCCTACCTACTTTCACGCTTCGGCCAGGCCTTATTGGTCTGGTCTCCACGTTAAGCTAAGGCCAGCCATTCCTTTATTTCTGCTGCCTCAAAACAAAGTAGACTACTTCCAATGATAAGGACTAGAACTTTGACTGATGTGCCGGATAAACTGGTATACAACCCGCTACTACTAGCTACTAGTTTTTTTTAGAAGCGGCAGTTGTCTGACTCAAGTGACGATGTAATGGCGTTTCTATAATGATTGTATTTGACCAATCATTGATCTGCACTATTTGTAGCCCCAGCAAAAAGGGTAACCAAATTCAGTACTTGGGTACAGCATACGTCATTTCTCTGTGGAAGTGAGCACAACATGCATTATCATAGATTTGTAACCATACCATGTTACACTGCCTGGTGGGAAAATGCCAGTAGTGCACCTCAGTGCTGTTGTTTTATTTTCTAATGCGGCTGGTGCTGACACAAACTCGCACGCAGATCAACAGCTCACTTATATGCAGGAACGTTTGTTTATAGCTGCTCCGCCACTATTAATCAGTGTCTTGCAATCTATCTTTTTCATCTTTTTTCCCTCTGCTCCATTTGTTTTGTTTGTTTATGGTGGGGGTAAATAACTTGAATAAATAAACACTTCACATTGTGGGCCTTTCTTTTTTTAGCACGATGGTGTGCGTGGTGTATGTGGGTTTGGAGGCAGTTTGGAGGAATGCTGCGTGGCTTTTGAAGGCCAGGAAAATGAGGTCAAGACCAGGGCCGAGGTTAATGACATCATCAATCCGCCACGGCCTTCGCTGCCCTCTGTCATCCATGTGTGTCGGCTGGGCCACCCACAGCCAAACACATAACACCGAGTGTTGTATCGTAGTTGTCAGGTTTACGCTTCACATCTAAAACATGTGTTCTGCCCGTCTGAGGAGTGCAGCGCTGGGCACACACGGCCATTCAGTCTTGGAGGTCAGCGGTGGTTGAAGTGCACAGATTTGTTGTTATGTAGGTTTATTTCTTGCTTCTTTAAGGTTAATTAGTGACTTGTTTATTAGCATTTTGCATCGTGTTATCAATATTTCTGTTTAGACCAACAATAGGGCCCTTGTCTTTTAGATCATACACTACAGTTTAGAGGTTTAGAATCAATATCCAGAATTCATTTTCAGCAAAATTACTGTAAACAGAGAGTTAGAATATATTGTTGCCGTCCAGAGAAAAAGAAGTACCTCCAAAATGCAAACATCTTTATTTTTAATGTAAGTAAACGTAAAGCACGTTTATTCTAAGCATTTCACGTCATAAAAGTTTCACACAATGTAAGTTGTATGATCATGTCAAATGCAAAAGTTGGGGATACTTCTTTTTTTGAACAAAGATGATATGATTTATCATTTATTAAACTCCAAATATTGAGTACAATACATTGTTGCACTTTATCCATGCATTACTGTAGTTTTCCCCAGTGCATCCATGTGTCAAAACAGCAGTAATTTAAATGTTGTGCGTACCAAAGAAGGTGTGTGGAGAAGAGACGTCAGTCCATCCCATGTTTGTTTCATTTGCATTCGTATTTCAGACAAACTGCACTCAGGAGGTCTCGGCCCGGTTATTTTATGCCCACCAGGGTTCGAATGGTAGTGTTCTCACTTGTTCTAACCAACCGTGCTAACAAAGCAATCACAGAAGAGTGAACCAAACTGCCGACTGTAAATGCGCTCTTAGGGTCAGTTTCCCTGACTAGGATTAAGAAAATGTTGTGCTGGAATTTCCCTTTTAATGGAGAATCTCCATTTAGAATGTTGCCCAGTCAAAGACTAGGCTTACTCCTTGTTCAGGAAGCTGGCCCTTAATGTCCAGTTTATTATGATTGTATATGAACTACCGATAATTATTAATATTGCAAGTAATTGCAAACTTCTGAACAGTTATCACCCTTTTAGCTTTTGTAATGCCAATATCTCAGAAGGCTGCAACATGAAAGTGATGTATTTTAGGACGTATTTGTACTCCAGAAGAATAAGATACTTAGGCCATGTTGAGCTGAATACATTTCTCTGTAATACTATTCCAGGTTAATTTAGTCCCAATTTCTACATTTCATGAATGCTCTTGTATTGGTATTGGGATTGACACTGACAGACATGTAATTAAACATATCAGATATCGGCATCAGCCTAGAATTCCCATATTAATGCATCACTATAAAATACTGTTTTACCAATATCTTTCAGCCTTTCTACAGTTGCAGAAGAATGTGTTTATTAGCAGAAGAGAAAGTGTATGTGTTGCGGGATGAGCGTATGAAAGCAGATGAAAGTGTCTTTCGTTATTTGTGAGTGAAGGATCAAGGGGAAAGGATCTCTGACCAGAGCCTGACCGCGCCCACTGTAAAACACAGCGGGAAAAGCGGTAACCACGGCCTTCGCTCATGTTTACGGGATGTTGAAGGGGGAAAAATGCTCATCCGTGTCCAAGTGTGGTTGTGGTACATTTACCAAGCGCTGAATCATTACACCAGCACAATTCAAGTTATCCACAAAAAATGCAAGCCTCGATGTCTCTCTGTCCACTTTTCATGAACTGTTGATTTTGAGGGGTACTTCCACAGGTCTTTTAGTAGTGGATGCATCATAATAAAGGAGGCGAATCAGCAGCGTTGAATTTGATTATAAACAATTAGGGTAATATTTAGTAAAGTATGCTCTCAAATTTTTGTCAACATTTTTAAAAACGTAAAGAAATCAATGCGCTTTGTGTATTTTTTGTATTATATTCCACTACTGTGTTAATTGTTTCTCTAGTAACATTTTGTGCGTGCATTTTTAAAATATTTTTGAATTATAGAAAAATATCAAGTTGAGTAAAGGTAAACTGTGAAAGTTGTTAATAGATTTTTTTTCTAAGAATGTTTTAAGCTAGTTGAATCTTTGTGAGGTCCGTCTTTTTCACTTGTTAGGAATTTATTAAATGGCTGTCATAATTATAAACAGTTAACACTGTATAGTTTAAAGGAAAATTTCTGCATAGTTCAATTGTTGAGCTGTACACGAAGACATTCAGAGTGGTTTGATGTGAAATGGTTCAATGTAGAGATATTTACTGATTCTGATTTCTTTACAGTGGTGGTGATAGGAACCAGGGGTCACAACATGTACAACACAAATGTAGCCATTTTATCTGCTGTCAAAAACTGCCAGTGAGTGTTTATATATAATATTGACGAGAGGAAAATAGAGGGAAATCTGAGAAAGGTTTTCTTAGGGACTCTTGACAATGCCCTGCTAAAATCTCTTTGTAAATCTATAGAAAAATGACATCGCAGGCATCAGCCAGCATGTTTATAACTTTTAGAGCTTTTAGAGGCATTAAACACTTCAGGCATCTGGTTCCTATCATCACCACTGTGAACAATTCTGACTCTGTAAGTTTCTCTTTAATGTAACATTTCACATCAAACCACTCGGATTGACTTTGTTCACATCTTAACAATTTAATGATATAGAAATGTTGGAAAATTGGTAAATTCCCATTTAAAACACTCAAATACAAGTATTGATTTAACATTAAATTCCATCATCCAGGTTGGTATCCATTAATATCTGAAAGGCCAAGTGAGTCAATGAAAGCTCTTTAGAAAGCTCTCAGTGTCCTGAACATGTTTCAGCAGCTCTGATCTGAACTGTAAATTCTGGTGTCGGTCATGCTCAGGTGCGGATTGCGCTGCAGTTGGAGGATGGGTCTCGTCTCCAGGGTTCTTTCTCCGGTGGCCAGAGCCTGTGGGAACTGCTTGAGCACTTTCCTCAAACCAGGTGTGTTAAGAGGTTGTAATTTTGGTGTCAGTGTGTTTCTTTTTTCACTACTCTTTTTGTTTACATTCATATGTTTGAAATTTTGATGTATGTCTGTTTATATGTATATTAGGCAGTGCATTCAGTGAGGTGTTCTTATTTCTTTATTTTATTGCCACAGAAAAATGATAGTAGTTGGATTCAGTCAACAGTAAAGAATAGGTAAACGACAGAGTGCGAAAAAGGAAGAAATTAGAAACACCAAAAATGATATAATGATAAAAAGAACTGTATCAACCCTGATTAGGCCTGTCATAATTATTACACCTGACCACAATTATTTGAGCTACGGTACTGGTGATACTATATAAAGCTAGTTCTCATTCATTTCAAATAGACTTGCTAATGTGGTTTCTGACACTGACATGCTATGATCTGTCAGTTTTCAGGATAACTGCTGCTGTTTTTTTTTAGCTGTGCTAGTGCTGTGTTTTTGCTTGCAGTACTTTTGTCGGCATCATTTCAAAGAGCAGCTGTTGAAATTAACAGTATGGATTTAAATGCAAAGCCAAACACAACAGCACCACAGTGGTTACATTGTAGTTTCAAGACAAATTAAAAAGGAAGGCACAAACAGCTTGGAGGAGGCAATTTGTCAGATTTCCAACAAAAAGTGTTGGTAAAGGGGGTAAATGTATGCATAAAGAGTGTGTAGTATAAAACTGTTAAGTACACTCACATATCGTAGCATAATTACACATGACTCCTTGTGCCAAATAGCCGGTTGATTTAAAATGTAAACATTTACAATGCCAGTTTGGTCCATCAGAGAGCAAAGAATATTGCTTATATTGTAAGTTTTACTTGCAAAGTTCTGGAAATGTGCTAGTTTGTTTCATGTGTCTGTTTACTCCACACAGTGTGAGCCTCCAAATAAAAACCACAATAAAAATCTGCCAAAAAAATTTGGCAGTAAAGAAAATGGAATAAGTAATAAAAATTCATGACTGGTGCATCACAAATTTTTTATTTTACATTTTATTTTTTCCAAGAAAAAACTTAACATTTACATTTACATTTACATTTACATCATTTAGCAGACGCTCTTATCCAGAGCGACTTACAAAAAGTGCTTTGTCTATCCAGAGAAAGAATCTTCGCTAGCTACCAATAGGTTAGAGAGAAAGTCAGTCCTAAGCTCAGATACTGGTAGAATCAGAAGGTCATTGACACCTAGTGAAAAAGGGACAGAGTTAAACACAGAACAGTGCAATACAATAAAATACATAAGTGCTGTACAATACATTACAATCAATACTTAATTTAGTGCTCATTTAAGTGCTGAATAAACAGGTGTGTCTTCAGTCTGAACAGTCTTAACAAATAAATAGAAATTTTGTTCGAAAATTAGTAGACAAAATACTCTGTTTTAGTTTGTACTCTGTAAAAGAGGTGTTGACTTATTTTGTAAACTTGTTCACAAATTTGTATATGTGTGTTTGTTATTATTATTTATGTTATTATTTGCCTGTGCTATGATCCAATAGTAGAATTAGATGAACAAGAAAGACAGTTCATTTGTTAATCGCATTTATTTGCATGTCAGTTAATCAGCTAAAATTTCATGATAATGACAGGCCTAACCTTTACAGCTTTGATGTGGCCAGTATGTGTGACGTGTAAATAGTGCACGCGCTTCTTTTCCAGCAGCTCAGACATACATCTCTCTCTCTCTCTTTTTTTCTCTCTCTCTCATTGCTCTCATTCCACAACGTCTTTCTCATCATATCCCGCCCGCTCCACTGGGTGGTTTGGCACCTGTTCTGAAGTCTTCCTCTTATTGGCTGTAGTGGGCTGGCCGCCAGCCAGCATGTTCCGCTCTCTGTCTGCCTGCTTCTCATCACTGTGACATCACAACTTAATTTTTGCTCTCTCTTTATTTTCCTCCCATGGAAGCTTCCAGACTTGGACTGACTTGGAACATAGTGATCAGAGGAGAAATAAATTAAGCCAACTGTTTCCTTTGATATGTCTTTATGAGTTGCGTAATGAAAATATATTACACCTCACAGATGGAGGACACACACGTGAAATCTCAATCACACACATGCTTGTTGACACTACGTCTTACTCACTGAATTTCTCATAAAGAGCATCGTAAAAGGACTGAAGCATGACATTCTTGCACGTACACGTACACATTGAAAATGCACTTAGTCACTCTCTCTCATTCTGATTCACAGATGACAAACTACACACTCATTTGTCGGTATATGTTTATTTATTTAAAGTTTATTTAAAGGTATACTCAATTATGTGTTATGTGATTTTAAGTACAGACGTGATTGATGGAGATTAGGTTGAAAAATGCTGGAGTATTTCTTTAAATGTTTATATAGGTTTATGTCTGTATCTCAAAGTTAAGATCAAAAGCCTGATATCATGGCAAACTGAATTTTCAACACGTTTTGAAAAAAAAATTGATATAGTTTGTAAACACCGTTAAAGAGTTGTCTTAACTTCTGTTTTAACCATCTGTTTCTATTGTTTTGTGCTGTGTCAGGCAGCATAGTTCACTATAACCAACATAATGACATCACATTTATCTACACTGAAAATGGTGCTTTGGCTTATGAGGTTATCAGCGTTCCAAAAATCTCAAATGCTGCAGACACGATTATTATTATTACCTTCATTTGTTAATATTGATGAAAACTCGTCAGATAAAATATTACAGTAATGGTGGTGAATAATGAGGAGACAGCTGAATGTGTGTCTGTTTATCAGGAGGAATAGTGTTAGCGCGCTCAGCTAAAGTGATTGGGAAACTGAAACTGGGAAGCGGCGATGCTCTGATAAACAGCATGAAGCGCTGACACAATATTCCTAAGTTCACGTTTATTGCGCTTTAGTTTTGTTTGACCTTTTTACCTTAGTAACGGTAAGCTAGCTGACTGGCTAACTAACTTGATCATGTTGAGTATGTGTTTACATTTCAGCGATGTGCTGATTGTCGGTTGCTAGGTAACAGACATGACAGTTGATTGTTGATCAATTGAGTAGTATAAGATTTCCTGACTTGAGATAAGATACTGTGAGATGAAATAAGCCTAAATTAAGATAAAATTTGCTTCTGTAATACGAATTTGTGAAGTCTTATCTTGACATGTCACATCTTAAGTTAAATCTGGACTGCTTTTGAATGAGGCTTTTGAATACAAGGCAGCCAATCAGAACAGACCGCATTTACATAAACAGATCTCAAGGTAGTAACAAAAACAAACTGTTTATTGTAAGGGATGACGACAGGTTGTAAAAGGATCATGTAAAAATGAACTTTTTTTGGTACATTAAATTAAGTGACCCTTATTAGTTCCAGAATGGGGAAATTTCACCTCTGCATTTTACCCATCCGTGCAGTAAAACACTGCATACACACTAGTGAACACACACACTAGGGGGCAGAGAGCACACTTGCCCGGAGTGGTGAGCAGCCCTATCCACGGCGCCTGGGGAGCGGTTAGGGGTTAGGTGCCTTGCTTAAGGGCACTTCAGTCACGTACTGTCGGCTCAGGGGATCGAACTGGCAATCTTCCGGGCACAGGGATGGTTCCCTAATCTCCAGCCCATGACTGCACATAAACCCACACAAGCATTATAAGCAGACATCATACATATATATGTTGTTACAATGAGCAAACATGCTGTTGTGGTGACTGCGGTGGTCCCACCAGCTGAGCTGGTCTGTTTTGATGGTGTCCAGTCTAGGTTATTTCATTAGGGACTGTTAAGCTACTGCAGTGATAGACTCTTAATGTAATGCCAGCCCATTTAATTTAAAACCTTATTTTATAGAGTGATATTACTTTAGCCAAAGGAACAGCATCTATGATGCCAGGTGAACCAGACCAACTATGGTCACCATACCACTATTGCATTGATTTGTTTCGATTAGTTTTCTGTCCAACCAAACAGGTCTGTTAAAAGGGGAAAAGAACACAAAAATGTGAAATGTTGTTGCCAAGAGCACCAGGCTGTAGGCACTGTGGACCCCTGTCTGTGTGTAAGTGTTTGTGCCCTCTATGTCATCGTTGTTTTGATTTCTCTGTTCTTAACAGGATATCTGAGCTGGAAGTGCCGGGACCTACACCAGTGTGTGTATACATGAGAGATGAGGTAGAATGTCTCGCTTTTCTTTTCATTCCTCCCTTCCCTCTCTGCTCTTTCCCCCCAGTAATGCTTTTAAGATGTGATAACGTGTTCATATTTGTGTGTGTTTGTTTAGATCAGTGGGAAGGAAGCTCTTCAGAAGACCACTCTGAGGTCACTGGGGCTGACCGGAGGCAGTGCCATAGTGAGGTCAGGCATGCTCACTTTTAACTAAATATAAATAATCAGATTATTCCAGTGAGCATCTTGTGAATATACCATCAGGCTATAGCGATAGTTTGGAAAAAAAATCTAATTTACAAAGTTTTCCTTCTAAACTCAATGTGGTCAATCAGCCAAGATCTGTTTGATGTCTGAACTTCTTTAGTTTTATGCTGGAGGTATGACACTAATGTATCTAACAAGTGATGGATGCTTATAACTCACTGGTCAGCACTGTGCTTGCTCCAGACTAGGGGTTGGCGAAATTAACTAAATAAGATTTATATTGTATTAAGATTTATATTACAGTGTTTTTGACTGTTTGGACTGTAACAGTTACAATAACAGTAACAGATATAACAATATCAAAAATGTTTATTATTATTATTTAATAATAATAATAATGATAATAATAAATTATTATTATTATTTAAAGTACAATAATATAGTATTTCCTACAGATCTGTTCAAATTTGGTTTCTAAAATAATATTCCTTGTTTGCTGTGTCTAACAAAGGCAGCAAGCTATTTCAGGCTTGCAAAGTTAAGTTTACCCCTCTATTTATTACCTAAAATGTCTTTGTATGCCCTTCATTGGAGCTAAGTGGTGGAGCCCCAACCCTGAAAAACAGCCCCAGACTATTATCCCTCCTCCACCAAACATTACTGTTTATACCATGCATTCCATTAGGTAGCATTCTTCTGGCATTTGCCAAATCCAGTTTCATCCATCAGACTGTCAGATAATGAAGCATGATTCATCACTCCAGAGAACACATTTCCACTGCTCCAGAGTCCAGTCATGGCCTTCTTTACACCACCATCCAGCAAATGCTTGGCATTGCACAAAGTGATCTCAGGCTTGTGTGCAGCTGCTTGGCCATGGAAACCCATTTCATAAAGCTCCCTAGGCACAGATCATGTGCCGATGTTGCTTCCAGAGGCAATGGAACTTTGTAGTGAGTGATGCAACAGAGAATAGACACTTAATAGCACAGTTATAGTACTTATACTTGCGCCGGAGCAGATCTACGAGGGCAAAAAATTCTGACTTGGTGGCATCCTATGACAGTGCTAGTTTAAAATCACTGACTCTGACATTCTATTGCCAGTGTTTGTCTATGATTGCATGGCTATATTCTTCATTTTTATACTAATATTAGCAATGAGTGTGTCTGTGAAAATAGAGAATGTATTTACAACATTTAGGATTGCTAGTATTGTTTTTAGTTATCCAATGTATTTTCCTGATTTGTTTTTTAGATTTAAGTCTGTTTCTTAGATTTATGTCACTTAAATCTTACTGTGTTGATGTAAACATGAAGTTTGCACAGTGCTAGCCTTGTTTGAAATTTTTTATTACTTGTTAACTACATTAGTTTTGTAGCTCCAGCACAAAACAGAAGAGGCAAGCTTTGAACACACCAACATGTCTTGGCAGATTGACTATGTTTGGGATAAGGGGAAAAATTGTGCGATTTTGATTTCTGGCTGTGTCATCATTCTTAGCTAATATGTGTCTCTCCATTTTTCTCAGGTATGTAGTAAAAGGGGGTAATGCTCTTGGGCCAGGTGAGCCCATGGAAACAGCTGCCACACCAACTGACACTGTTGCCACAGCGACCGCATCCCAACCACCTCCTGAGCACCTTGAGGCACCCAGTGGGGTGTCCACTGCTGTTAACTCAGCACTTCCAGATAAGCCAGAAGAGCCTGCACCTGCCCCAGTTCCCATGGAAACCCCCAGCCCACCCTGTCAGAGCACTGAAACCGCTGTTCACATAAGCCAAGCACTTCCTGCCCAACAGGAAGAGGAAGAGCCTCCTCAAGACCAACAGCAAGCTGTACGGCCCAAAATCAGGCAGGCCGTTAACCAGGGGCAACAGCAGTCAAGGGCAGATCCACAGGTGGATGATGAACAGCCAGGGCCATCCCACGCCAACTTACCCACACATAGTAACTTTGTACCTTTCTCTGGCGGTGGACAGCGGCTGGGAGGATCTAGTGGTCTTCCTCATTCTTCATCCTCCTCCTCCTCTTTATCACCACTCTCCAGTGGACCACCAAAAGCCAAGAAGGCCAAACCAAGCCATGAAGTCCAGGTGAGAGGCTGAGAGCATGCCTAGGCAAAATTCAGTTAATAATTTAATAAATTTTCTGAGGGGGGGGGCCTTGTAAAATGCGACCTGTGTAAAAGTTATGGCTCATTTATTATGTAAATTTGTATTTTAATGTTTTAAATGTTTCTTAATATCTCAAACTCAGACATTTCAAACTGCGCACCAAGTTTGTTCCCTGTAAAAGATGTGCTAACTTATTTTATATGCTTATAAAATCATCATGTAAATTGTAAATTGCAAATGTAAATTGACCAGGGGTGTTCAAACTTTTGCATATGACTATATGCATCTGCGTATCATTATGCTAATCACTGCTGGTTCATCAAGAAGGTATATTTCAAGTGTTTTATGTGGAGTTAGATTGAATAATTGTGGTGCCTTTAAAATTACGGATGCACAATGACACCAGAAACATATCAATATTGACAGATTTGTGGACGTGGAACAGATGTTTAAATTGGACCAGAGTTTAAAACCGATATTGATGGTATACAGTACTGTGCAAAAGTCAGAATTCACCCATAAAATTGTTTCATTTCTAGTCCAAATGGCCATTAAGTACAAGTCATTCATTTTTAAAGAGATATTTCTGAGGAGATTAAATACAAGATAGTCCACTTGCGTAAAGAAGGGAAAGTCAAAAAATAAGTGAACAAAAACAGAAGTTTTCAAAACTGGAGCTAATAATATAGAGAAAATGGAACTCCTAACAACCTTGCAAGCTCACCAACACTCTCACTATCACATAAACAGTATTATTTAAAATTGAAAGAAGCAGCTAAAATATGATGCGTGTGCTGCTGTGAATCACCTGGTAAAGCCTGAGGCATTGAGTCGGATTACACCTGAATTTTTACTTAACGTATTAACGTCACACTCACAGGCTCAAATACAAGGTCAGCTCAATGTTTAGGTCTCGAATGCAAAATCAACATTATAATGATCAAGACATGATGACAATAGTAGAGAATCCTTCTTTTCTTTGCACACTCACAATCCTTAGATTCATCTGGAGGAGTCTGAAGCACAACCAATACAAAATGTTCTTCCGCATGTTGCATGCAATTACACATTTCCACCGGAGAGGTCTCCAAATCCCTAAAGCTTACATAGTGCAGCTTTAATGGCCATTTTGACTAAATAAAGGAAGGGTGGTCTCTGACTTTTGCACAGTACTGTGTGTATTGTACTCCACAAGAACAGAATAATTTGGTGACTCTGGTCTGCTGCGCTACTATATCTGCATTCCTATTAATTTTATCTATTGTACTGTATTTGTAAATGTTATATTTATTTAGTGCTAATCTGTATAGACATAGTCCCAGTTTGAACATTTAATGAATGTCAGCATCAGATATGAAAAATATCCTAAAAAAGCATCTGCAATTCTTATATCGAAATGAACTCAGTCTCTCAGAGTGATGCAGAAAGAAGGAATTTAGTGCTTATGTACGTAGAGCAAGAACATATATTCTTTTCTTCTTGCAGTGTTTTGATTGAAATGCACAGCATGTGGTTGACCCCTGCCTGCCGACTGTTTCAGTACAGCGCACATATAATCTTTACTCTGTTCCACAAATGAGGGAGTGCTTTCGGCTCCTGTTTAGACTTAAGCAACTGCTCCTCATTCTTTGTCTTTTTGATTAAAGCTTAGAAGACATGCTTACCAACCTCAACCAAGTCTCCCCTCCCTCGTAAAGCTCCAGAATAGATTTGGTTCTACAAAGTTTCACATAGTGGGTGCGAGCTTTGATCAGTTGGACCGTTACATGTTTTATTCATCCATATATGGGTTTTGATTTCGCACTATCGAGATTTTTTTAGATAAACTGAGAGTAACACTGAATAATTTACTATTGATTTTTAGCTTCCGTGAGTGTCTGTCCTCATGAACGGTTTTATTTTGTTGACGTGCACTAACACACCAGCCGCTGGTTGGTTGCTTGATTGCTAACATATTGTTTGCTGTATCTGCTTATGCTGGCGATGGCTTTGAAGTGCTGTTGTGGTGGAAAAGAGACCTCAGGCTGTTGTGTCTACTCAAATATGTCCCAGCAGTCACATGCGCAAACAGAGTTTGCGTGCACACTAAGAGTGGGCAATATTTCAATATGTTATAATTATTGTGATAAAATATGTCACACTGGGCTTTTCTCTCAAGGGTATTGCCAGTACTTCTAGAACACTGTGTATATCATTGAAAAGACAGACATAGAACCACTTATCAATAACAGGCTTGAACTGGAGTTTATGGTTCTGTATGAGGATTCTGCTGTCAGAAACTCTCGTTTACTTCATTTACACACTCAGAAATGAGTTGCCTTATGAGTCAGTGTCACTCTGGAGTGCTAGTGCGCAAGGAGAAAACATACTTTTTATGCCTAATTGTAGTATAGTGTGATTATATCGAAACAATTTTAAGTATTAGTTTTGTCATTGCCGTTGTACCTGTGTGGCACAAATAACCCAGCATACATACAGTGCAAAACATGTAAATTCCCTCACCTCTAGGGCTGTTACAATACATGTTAATTATTTTTTCATTATGGGTTTGGCAAAATGATATACACTGTGAATTTACAGTTTGTGATCTCAGGAATGGTTTCTATAGTTTTTAACAGTTTTAGACCATCCACGATATTCTTTTTTTTTTTTCCCTTTTTTTGGGGATTTTTTTTCCCCAATTGTTTCCCAAATTTAGTCGTATCCAATTCCACCCACTAGTTAGGACTCCCCCAATCACACAATACCACCAGTGCTGGGAGGGTGAATGCAAACACAAGCTTCCTCCGAGACCTGTGAAGTGCCACCACATCTTTTTGAACTGCCGCTCACGCAACGTCATCAGACAGCCACATGCACTCGAAGGAAAGCGCCAACCGCCAGATCTGTTATGTACAGATGGCTGTGCTGACTAGCATCGTGTTGAATGATGGGGGAAAGAGACCATCCTACCCACCCAGAGAGCGAGGCCAATTGTGCTCTCTTCCACTTTCGGCCACTGATGGCTGTAGCATCACCAGGGATCGAACTCGCAATCTCTTGGGCCTACGCTTAGATGGTTGCGCCACTCGGGAACATCCACGATATTCCTAAAATTTTTGACCATAATTGTAAAACACTCCACTGTGCACCTTTCAGAACTTAAAAAAAACTGGTTTGGTTACCCCACCTTGGACAAAGCTGAAGTTATCTTCTATTCGCCAGCTTTAAAATTTGAATGTCTGCCTTGGATGGTTGATTAGCCGAGCTATATGGTAAGTGTAGAGAGCTGATCTGGAACAAGCAAAGTGAACTATACACTATACCATGATTTACCAAAACTCTCAATAATCTTAATTATACTGTGATCTTAATTTATGGCCGTAACACCCTCTACAATGTAATTATAGTTTAATGTTTAGAGATTTTGTTTCGATTTTTTACGAATTTAATACACTGATACCTTCACATGAGTCCGCGGTGCATTTTTTAAACACTGAAAACACAAGAAGCAAATGCAGAGGAAGACGATGAGATGGATTCATCAATGGTAACTAAGTTATCATTTTTCTTTTACCCACTGCTTAAGGTAGTTAAAGATGTAAAATAAGCAAACAAACTACAGGAAAAACCATGAACTTATATATTTTCATAGCTTGACGGGCCTTTTTTTCTGTGAAAAGGTTTTGTTGCCCCTTAAGACAAAATGCAGACTGTCCTAATTATACTGAATTTGTTGTTAGAAGAAAAATGTTGGTTGTAAATAATGAAAAAATGTTTTAAAATTCCTTACTGACCCAGCCCTGGACAGATTCAATTATTTAATTTTCCTAATTGTTATATTATGAAATAAAAAAAATGTAATTGTTTATTTAATTAAAACATAATTTTCATAGCTTTTTTTGAAATATGGTACTGCTTTTTGCTGGTGCATTGTCTGAAATCCAACTTTTTCACAAGCCTAAGAAAAACATGTAATACATATCATGTATTGGGAAAATGTCTTCAATTTGAATATGTTTTTGCCCACCCCACGCATGCGAACTGAGGCAGACCTAAAAATTCTTTAGTTAAACACTCACTTCAGTTCAGTCAAAATCTTTTATGTAGCTAATTCATTCACATGACAGTGTTCAGCTCATTTTCTCTCTCTCAGTCTCTCGCTCTGTTTTCTTGCTTTCCCTGAGTTAAACCCACAGTAAATAGGTTTGTCAGCGTAAGGCCTCAGCCTGTCGCTCTGTTTCTGTAATTACGGGACATCATCGCTTATCCTCATCCTTTAGCCACCATTGCCTTCGCAGCAGCCGCACTGCCACTACTCTGTCTGGAATAGAAAGACGCAGCCTTGTCATTTGCCCCTCGTCCACCGTTGGACGGGCGTTTCTGAGGTTTTTCCCTGTCTACTCCTTTTTTAGTGGCCTTTAATGTTCTTTTTCTCTTTTGTTTGTTTTCAGAGTTCGACTAGTGCCAAGTTTGGAGCAAAGGATTCAGAGGAAGGAGAGGAATATCTGAAGGTAAAAAAAAAAAAAATGTCTGTCCATCCATCCATTTAGCCATCCATTACCTGATAGGCTTGGTTCATAATGCAAGACAAGCGATGATCATCTGCAGAGTTATTTAGATAAACACCATTGTTTTCCCTCATTTTTCCCTGGTAGTAATTACCATATAATTATGGGCTAGCTTCTAATGCTGCTTAATAATTTGTGAGAATAACAATATTCAGTATATGTAACACAACCAGTGATTCTCTGTTTCATTTTCTTTGTTTCATTTGCATGTACCCCAGCATTCTTTGCCAGCCTTAAAATATGTTATAATCTTTCCAAGCAATGTTCAAAGTATGTATGCGTGTGGTTAATTAGTTGATAATGTTCTGTTTTTGGAACCTATAATTATGTATAATCTTTTCTATTGTGTACGATTTTGAGTTAACCATAGATTAATGATTGTACAAAATCACAGAGCATGTGAAGGAAAATGAAATACTAATTTGCATAACATCAACACTTATTTCAATTATAATTAATAAATTATTTAAATTATCAGTAATACCACTTAGCAGTCCTTACAGGCTGTTGACTGAATCATATGCCCTGGAGTTGTATTAGCTGAAGTCTGCGCTTTAAAAAAAATAAATAATAATAATAATAAATAATAATAATAATAATAATCCAGTCTTTGAGTGAATTATTGCTTTTATAAAACAGCAACAATAAAAAGTAAAATACACCACTGTTCAATAAATAATTTAATTTATTATTCATTATAATTGCAGTCAGCAGTTCTCCTGCTAACAGTGTAGATCATTTCTAGAAGGCTATCGCAATCAAATATTATTCTGTGTATACAGTCCTATGTAAAAGTTTGTGCACTCCTGGTCAAATTGCACCCTATCTTGGTTTTCTAAGTGAAAAAAAGTTCACACATCCTCTAGTCAGAACACACGTCCGCATGTTTTCTTGCACACTTACTGATTATTTGCTGCATTTAACATATTGTGAAAAAATTAAACATAAAATGTGACCTCTGAAAAAGTTATGGCACGTTTTATGTGTTATGTCCGACATGTTTAAATGGGCAAATAAATAGAAACTGGGGACTACGTTTGCAAAAAATTTGACTGGGGTGTTCGGACCTTTGCATATAACTGTTCTTAAGTTGAGTTTATTCAGAATTCAGCTCATGCTTGCAGTCATATGTGTGTATATTAAGTAGTTTGTTACAGTTTCAAACAATCAGCCAATCCGATTTTTGAATTAGTTTTATAGGTTTATAGTTACAATTTTACTCCAGATAGATAGAAATAAAGATAGAAGATGATTGTGTTGACTAATGGCATGTATGCCAGTGGCACGCTTGGCACCCAGTGGTACTGCAGTTGTCAGGCTATCAGGGTATCACAAACCCCTAAACACCAACACAACAAACACACATACATGGACTTCATGAAAGTCCAGAAAATTCATATCAAGTGTAGATCACCTCAACTTCTCTCAAGGATCCTACAGAGCTCAGTCAGTCAGGTCATCAGCAGGGATTGACGACCATAATGCATTTTCCTTCCATACTGACCTTGATAACCATGATATCATTTAAAAGACAAAAGTTTTGTGCTTAACTTCTACTGCTCTCATTCTACAGCCACTGGACAGGGAGCCACTCATCTACCACCTGGACACAGCAGTCCGGCGTAGTAGTGGTGATGAGGAGTTGACAGATGAATTCTTCGAGGTGACTGTGGATGATGTGAGGAAGAGGTTCTCGCAACTGAAGAGTGAGAGGTGTGTATGCTCACTGTGCGTACTGGGAAACGGCTGATATCAAAACCTGATATTAAAACCTAGATTTTTTTGCTAATTTGCATAATAAGCAAAACATACTTTTGTGAACTAGTCCTAGGTTTTTCACTTATCCTCATATAATTATTATTGAAAAAATTCCTGAATCTCAATTACCAACACATTTTGACTTTTGTTAGCAATATGGCTGCCATATTCATTGGTTAATTAGCATATAATTAATCAGTTAATTAATCAAGCATAGAAGTAATCAGCCATCTAAAATTGTTTACTGTATGAGCAAAAATATGGACCTGCTGATGAGCTCTGAGGACTGTGTTGCGAAACTGTTTTGAGAAGGCTGTAGAGAGTCTGAGGAAAAAGCCATTATGAAGATGATAGAATGACATTCATTTCATAGAAACTTTGATGAGGTTTTTGAGGCAGGAGATGAAGGGAGGGATTCAGAGTGGAGGTCTTGAACCCAAAGGATGCAGAGTTGAGGGTAAGTAAGGAAGATCTAGAGAGAGAGGCCTGAGTTCTTGTGGTTTGGTGATCTTTGCCCTTTCCCCCCCATACATGCTGTGCTCTTCAGACAGGCTTTCATTTGAGAGAAGGAGAGTTATTCTGGCTCTAAATTACTGCCTTCAACCCCACACATACACACACAGCGGTGGAAAACATCTATCTCTTTCTCTCTCTCTCCCTTTCTCTCTTTCTCTCATCGTTCTTTTCTGTTTTCTTGCTTTCTTTCCGCACTGTCCCCACTTACTTTCTCATTCATTTTTTTTACGAGCGTCTCTCAAAGCAGCCAGTATGAGGAGACTACCAGAGATGAGTGTGTGCATGTTTTCGTTTGGTATGCGTGCGTAATGCCATTTGAGTGTTACCGCAGCAGACATGTGTCTGTGACCAAAGGCCTCATCTCCGTCTCGCTCTTTGAACTGCTCACCAAGAGTGTGTTTGTCTGCCTTTGTACAGTGCGTATCTGTCTGTTTAGTTTGTGTATTTTTTTTTTTGTACTGGTGTGAATAGAATTGCATCTGTATTGTTTTGTGTGAGAGGGTATTTTTGGATGTTTGTGATTTGATAAGGCAAGGAAAAAATGCTAGTGCTAACCAAACCTAGGGAAAGTGTACAGTACTGATTTTAGACGGTGAAACTTTCATGCTTTAGTTGCTTGAAACCTACATGAAACTTAAGTTGCGCTTGAGTGACATCAACTTACGACATTAACATTTTGAGATGGTAACAGCACTTGTAGAAGCTCTGTTTTGTTTTAGGGCATTGACACACCAAGCTGTCTGTCCTCCGTCTGACATCGCCAGGCTGCTGGTGTGCGTCGGTAGTAGGGTTTAGCTGACGATTAATTATCATATAAATAATTGCTATTAACAATTTGTTTTTTTTGTTAAGCGTATGCAGCTATACAGTACAGTGGCCAAATGAACTAATTAGCCCTCTTGCTTCCTAGCCGTGTTTTTTCTCTAAAGTGAAAATATAAGCACAAAACAAAACGCTCATTCTGCTAGCATACATGCCAAATACCTAACAAATAAACAAGATTTACTTGCAGTGCCCTCTAAAATGAGCACCAGGTCTCATGATCTCCCAATGAATGCATTTACAGCTTTCTTTTATTTACATTTATTTGTCTCAATCCAGCGAACCGAGTTCACATTTTGCTTGCTGTGGCGTAACTGTGAAATTTAACATCTGTGGAACGTGATTGCAGTCAGCTTAAATAATTGCAATTGCGATTAGATGATTATGTAATAATTCTGACAGGCCTAGTCTGTGTGTTATGTCCCACACCATTGGCTCTAGTTGGCTTTTGTCTGTGCTGTTTTGACCAGTTGAGCATGTGGTAGTGATAAAACATTGCTACCTGCACTGGTGTTGAAAAATAAGGCTACTATTTGAATCGACACCGGCAGTCAGTTGTGAGAGCAGTTGTGAGAGCACAGTGAATCGGCACAGGAGAAGAGAAACGAAAGAGAGCAACGCAAGCAAACAAAACTTTCACGAGAGCACACATAGCCTTATTTTTCAACACCAGCGCAGGTAGCAGTGTTTCATCACTACCACGTGGGGTTTTCAGTGTATTGAGCAGTATTTGAATGTTGTGTTCTCAACGAGAAAATGACAAATAGGCTCTGAAGGTGCTCTGATAACACATAAAATCAAACAAAGGGATGTTCACTCATTCATACCCTTACTGCACGTTTTATTTCTGTTTCATGTTTGTCATTCACTTTTAAGTATGTAAGTTTTATTACCCACCCAGGTAACAGTGTGTTACTTTCACTTTCTCAAACTAGGTTTTGCTAAAACTCTGACAAGCTTGTAAGACGATCGTACAGTATATTCTTTACTTTTCGTGTGCCAGTTTTACAGTTCAATCTGTGAGCTTCTGCTATAGAAAGTTCATCTGTTTTGTGCAGGCACTTTACGATTTAGATTAGTTGCGTGTATTTTTGCATACAGATGCCCTGTTAAATGTGTGAACATTTCCTAATGAAATCTATTAATAGAAATAGTCCAAAATTACTGAGACCTAAACCTTAATTTAATTAAATTTAATTAAACCTTAAGTTTAAGAACATTTTCCCACTTTTGTAATATCAGCATTTTGACACAAGGGGTGTGTGTATATATTCATACACAGTGTGACCAAAAGTATGTGGACACATCTTCTAATTATTGAGTTCAGGTGTTTCAGCCACACACATCCATTGCTAATAGGTGGGGATGCCGAGTGCTGAAGTGCGTAGCATGTTAAAAATCACACATCCTGTGTTGCATCACTTACTGCAGAGTTTCAGACTGTTTCTGGAAGTAACATCAGCACAGGAACTGGGGGTTTGATGCTTAATGAAATGGGTTTCCATGGCTGAGCCATGCCAAGCGTCGGCTTGGGTGGTGTAGAAGCACACTGGCACTGGACTTTGGACAGTTGACACGTGTTAAGAATGCTCCTCTGGAGTGATGAATCATGCTTCTCTACCTGGTAGTCTAATGGTTGAATCCAGATTTGGCAGATGCCGAAAATGCATATTGTCAACTGTAAAGTTTGGTGAAGGAGAGATAATGGTCTGTGGTTGTTTATCAGAGAATGAGTGTTTTTTATCAGAGAGGGTGATACTAATGCTACAGCGTACAAAGACACATTGGACAACTATATGCTTCTAACTGTGGTAACAGTTTGAGCAAGGCTCTTTCCTGTTCCAGCTTGACTGTGCTCCTGTGCACAAAGTGAGCTCAATAAATATATGGTTTAATGAGTTTGGTGTGGAGGAACTTCAGTGGCCTGCATGGAGTCCTGACCTCAACCCCACTGAAATTGGGAATGTCAGTTGCAAGCCAGACCTTCTTGTCCAGCATCTGCACCTGACCACAGAAATTCTCTTTTGTCTGAATGGGCACAAATTCCTACAAACACACTCCAAATCTTGTAGAAAGCTTCCCAGAAGAGCAGAAGCTGTTGTAACTGCTGTAACTACATCTCCGTGTCAGTGGAATGGGATGTTGATCAAACTTACATAGGCGTGATGATCAGGGGGCCATATACTTTTGGCCACGTGTGTGTGTGTGTGTCTCATAACATTATGACCACCTCCTTGTTTCTATGCTCATTGTCCATTTTATCAGCTCCACTTACTATATAGGTGCACTTTGTAGTTCTACAGTTACAGACTGTAGTCCATCTGTTTCTCGGCATACTTTGTTAGCCCCCTTTTACCCCTTTGTTCTTCAGTGGCCAGGACCCACATGAACCCTCACAGAGCAGGTACTGTTTGGGTGGTGGATCACTCTCAGCACTGCAGTAACACTGATATGGTGGTGATGTGTTAGTGTGTGTTGTGCTGGTACAAGTGGATCAGACACAGCAGTGCTGCTGGAGTTTTTAAACACCTCAATGTTACTGCTGGACTGAGAATAGTCCACCAACCAAAAATATCCAGCCAACAGCGTCCTGTGGGCAGCGTCCTGTGACCACTGATGAAGGACTAGAAGGACTACACAAGGACTACACAAACTGCAACAGCAGATGAGCTATCGTCTCTGACTTTACATGTACTATATATATATATATATATATATATGTGTGTGTGTGTGTGTGTGTGTGTGTGGGTTTGTGTCTTTCCAGTCGTCATGTTATTTTGGTTCTAAACATGGAATCCAGCTTGTGTAGATATTAAAGAGTTAGTCTGAAGCGGCATGTCACTCCAGCCCTCCAGCGCTCAGCGGGGGACGTCCCGGGGCTCTAATTGACTGATTTGTAATCTTGTTTATTTTGGATAGGAGCCAGACACCCTGAGGTGTTCCGCCTGCTTCCCTTAATTGGCAGTGAGCTTGCTTTCGCCCCATTGGAGAATCAGACAGGCTGATGGCGTGGTTTCTGCTATGTAATTGGTTCCAATTATGAACCATAGAATTAAGGAACCACAAGGATCTGTCTATGTCTGGCCTGCCTTTATACACACACACACACACACACACACACACACAAAGCAGTAAATGTCGGAGTCTGGAATGGTATTAATCATTTGTGCGATGGGTAATCAGATGCATTTCTCCATAATCGTTTCTTTTCTCTTGTGCGCCAAACAGATCTTTTCATCGCTCTCCAGTACTTCCAGTACTCAGAACGTGCTTTATGTTTTAGTGAACAGTTCACTTCATCTCTCTCTCTCTCTCTCTCTCTCTCTCTCTCTCTCTCTCTCTCTCTCTCTCTCTCTCTCTCTCTCTCTATCTATCTATCTATCTCTTACTCTCACTCTCACTCTCTTTCTCAGGAGGGCGTTGGAGGAGGCCCCACTGATGACTCAGGCTCTGAGGGAGGCTCAGATGAAAGAGAAAATGGACCGGTATCCCAAAGTGAGATTTTTTCACATCTCAGCACATAAGCACTAGAAACCCTTGACTCCCACAGCCACATCTCACCACCTCTTATAGACTTTTGTTCTTTTGTTACTGTATTAATGTTACTATTTTGTCAAGTCACCCTTATTTTAGTGCTGTCAAAGTTAACATGTTAAATTGTTAACAGCACTAAATTTTAACGCTGAGAGCACATTTTCCTAGTTTAACCCTTCTATACACTTGTGCAAAAAAAACCAAAACATACTAAACAAAAAAGTGATTTTGACTTTTGGCCATGTCAGAATCCAGATTTAAACTCTCCAGAGAATATTTGGGTCTCACATCAAACACAAACTAGCTTGGCAGAGTTTTTCAACTGTTTGTAGCCCTCAATCCTGAGTGGAACAATAACTTCTTTCCGTAAAAGGCTGTCTTCAAATTTACCCACAGACTTCAACATTTCAAGAAAACAGAGGGAAAGCGATCCCATAATAAATTACTTTATCTATTTGTTTAATTCTTGCTAATTTGCTGACTAATGATTTGTTGTTAAGACTTAAAAGCTTAAAGTTTTGCCATTTGAGGATTGACCCATTTTTTTGCACAAATATTCAGTGTATAGTAATGAAAAAAAAAAAACACAACAAATGAAACCTATGTTGTATTTGACTGATGACCAGTGAAGGGAGGTCAGGGAAGATGCTTTTCTTTTTTAGTAGTACTAGTTCAGAGACTAACAGCAGGCAGACTGAGTTTAATGTAAAGGGAGTTACAATATTTTAAATGGTCATTTCCCTTATTCATATATTTGTAATGTTTTTTTAATGTGACAGGTGGTGCTGAGAGTCCAGTTTCCTGACAGGAGAGTCCTCCAGGGCTTCTTCAGACCACAAGAAACAGGTTTGAGTGTCTTTCATAAAAAAAAAAAAGGATTGGGAAAAAAACACACGTACACACTGATTTTATTTTTTCCAATATGATAAATTCAGAAAATTAATAGAATGCTTTAAAGTGTGGTCTTATTTTCATGTAAAAAATGAGCAGGGGTCTCCCAACTTTTGCATATGACTGTACACATATTAGGAGCTATAAAATTTACAGATTTTAAAATATGCTTACAAGAGACTTGATGATTCTATGACATTATGATTGATATTTTACAGTCATTGAATACTCGTTGATATTTCTAGATAATAACTTGAATACTCATTCTCCAAATCTCCTTTAACAGTAATATTGGAAGCATATTTGAAGTCGCTCATCTGATGAAACAGATACACTTCCATTTTAATCAATGTTTCATTTCACAGCGCCTACACTAGACACGTTTTACGTCCATCAAAACATGAGCCCTTGTAGCTTCTACCCCCCCCCATGTACGCACACAAGTAAAGCGCAAACTCCATAGAGATCCAGCCAAGTCATGCGCTCATGCTATCTATAGCCTTCTAAACTATACTTAATCATTTACTAAAATGTCATGATCTTGTTCCAGAGCGTCTGTGCTAATTTACCTACAATGTTTGTTGCGCTCTAAAGCAAGGTGATGTGGTTGGCTGGCATCAACTGTAATTTACATTCTTTTTATTATTTTCCATATAGTAACAATAACTGTTCTATCTAAGACTTTTGCTAATGAAATTTATTTTAGGCTACAATTTTTTGGCTTAAAAAGATGAATCTTTGGAACACTTAAAAGAGAAACGAATAACATCTAAACAAATGAATGCTCAAGTATTCAAATCATCTAGAAATGACCTTTGTGTGTTTTTTGCTTTTAGTTGCTGCACTGAAGCAGTTTGTCAGATCTCATCTACAGGATCCAGAGCTCCACTTCTACCTGTGTAAGTGTAAAGACACATACTCATACATGCTCACACACACGCGCACACACACACACACTCACACACACACACACACACACACCACAGAACAGGTTCGATTTTGACTTTCACTCTAACACTAGTCACTCGACTCAATGCCGTGCTCTCAGATGTTCTCTAAACGAGTGTAATTTTAGCTTCAGTTGGCTGGAATCAGGCCTATGTTGTGGTATGTGGCTCATTTGATCTGCTAACTAAGCTATTGTTAGCCTAGGCAAAACACTACAGTCCCAAACACCACAGAACAGGTTTGACTTTGTCAGTCCAACACCAGTCACTTGGCTTATTTTTTATCATAGGAACATAGCTAGATTAGTTAGAATCAAACCTGTACTGTGGTGTGTTTATAAGAAAGTCACTTGGTGGCCAAATTGCAACACCGCCAGGCAGTTATTTCCAGACATAAAACGACCAGGCTCCCATCTCTTTAAATGGAGAGATACCTAAATACTTGCAACACTCGAAACTAAAGGTCACATTACAGTTTCAAAAATATCTTTGAGTTCACTGGCAAAATCTGACAAAAACATCATAAACAGTTTGTAGCGTTTGGCTCAGTAGCTTGCAAAAAAAAAGGTTTTTCTTCTGGCTGCTGAACTGGCGCTGATCTCCCCAATGGGAGGTGGGCTTTCCCCACTTGCAGCGTAACCAGCAAACTGACTGTCTTTTTTTCTTGAAGGGTGAGACTTTCTCTGCAAACAGGCGCCATATTGAGTGTTATGAGCTTTCCCATGCATATTTCAACTAGTGACTGGTCTCATCATTTATAATGTTTCTGGTGGCACTGTTTGGGTCTATAGCCTGTTCGATAAGCTAACATTAAGTTAGTTGATCAGGCTACAGATTTACACATGGAACAGGTTTAATTTCACCTTTCTGTTCCTTCAGCACCATTTGCTCCACTTCACTCCCTCAGATTTGAATCAGGATCATCTAAACTTGTGTCGATGCTTTAGTTAGCCAGAACTGAACATGTTCTGTGGTGAGCAGAGCTGTTTTTGTAGTAGTTAAGCTAATGTTAACCAGCTCCTCCCTCCTAGTTAGCAGCACCGTTCAGCATTTCCCAGTTTCCCAGATAGATGATTTGACTGTTATTGATTGATGGCTTGAAAATCATGTACTGTATTCACTTATTTGGTGACCATGTAAGTGAACTAAAATATTTGATTATTTTCTGTTTAGAAATAATGCAGGATGTGACTGCACAAAATAGGATGTGACACAGAATAAATACTTGTATGTCACTTGTATGTAACTTACGGCGCTTTTATGTTTTTAGATTTAACAAAGTCGTGTTATTTAACATACCAACAGCTGACGAGTCACTGTACAAATGTTTAATATTTTTTAATTTGAAATAATAACAAAGTGCCTATAGCTCTGCTTAGATGTGGCTGGTTGTGTCTGACATTCAGTGCATTCTTTTTATATTCCAAATACACCTGCTTTATTCAAATACCTGAGTATGTAAATAAATCCTAAAATCCATATGTCTGAGTAGCATGATCATATTTTCTTCTCTTGCCAGTCATTGCACCTCCCAAGACTGTGCTGGACGACCCCAACGCTACTCTTTTTCAGGTGAGACTCAGACTGTGTGTGCTTATGTGTTTATCTGTATGAGGATGTTTGCGTGAGAGCTGTTCTGCGTGCCAGCCACAGCTGTGTGCATTTGGACACATATTTCCATGTGACAGATCTGGCGTGAGAGTGGGGTGTTTTTTTGGGTTCGTGAGGTGGACGTGTATGTGAGTTCTCAGTGGGTGGTCATGGTTTGGTCAGTAGTACAAGGATAATGGTTTGATTACAGTAGAGCTGATTGCGTGCCATTCCTGTAGACCCCCTGTGGCCCCCTCAGCAACTACATCACACACACACGCGCACACACACACACACACACACACACACACACACACACACACACACACACACTTTCTCTCTGCCTTTTTCTCTCATTTGCAAACTTATTTTCTCTCTCTTTATTGATCAGTCAACACACAATGATACAACTGCCCATTTAATCCATATGTGTAAATCATGTATACACACATAAACAGTGTTGGTTTGATTATATTGTCACTGTCAGAATAAAATCTTGCAGTAACCAAAAGGTAATTATAATAGAAGGAAAAAACATTCTTAACTTGTAATGAAAAGTAGTGTGCAAAATTTAAAAAAAGTAATTTTGGATCATTTCCGTTCACCATAATATTTGAATACAATGCAAAGTGTAAGTGGAGTTTTAAGTTTGCAAAAATGTAAAAATGATAAACATGTAGATAAAGGGGTATTGCGTGACATCAACAATGTTAGTTTGCCTTTATATTAAACTGTATATAATTAATATAATTAACTATATACTTTACAGAAATGTGACCTGACTGAAATATTGGTTGGCCAGTAACGTTAGGCGGCCATTTCAGACAACATCAGGGCTGATATTCAGAAAGAAGTAGTTAATTAGAAGACTTGGATCAGATTCCTCCTTATTTATTATGGATATGACACAAAAATTGCCAGATTCCGGAACAGCAGTTCTAAAACTGGTTGTTTGTGTATGGTGGACTAAACCACATCAGGTCTGTGCAGCTTTAATGAAGAGCTCAATGTGGTTTGAGAAAAGATTGAGAGAAGTTTTTTTGATGAATTTTTCTGAATTTAGTATTTGGTCTGTTTGGGTGACTATTGACTTCTAGTGTTTGTTTGCACCACTAGCCTTTTAGCTCCAGTTCTTCACTAAAGAAGCAAAATTTGGACACCATCTTGTTTCATCATCTACGTGTAGGGTAATTTGTTTAAATTAGATTTTTTTGCGCACAAAAAGAGGCCCACAGATTTTTGGCTATCAGTACTTAAAATCCAACAGAGAAAACACTGATATTTATAGACTTTTTTAATATTATAAGGAATGTACACCTCTAATATGAGGAGAATCACCTTTTTTTTTTTTAATATTTAAATGGTTTCCTGCACTCTCTCAGTGGTTAAGAGAAGGTGAAGCTCATGGTCAGCTCCAGGTCAAGGCCAGTCGTCCACTAGGCTTATGGATTAGTTTAGCAGCAGAGGACTGGGGGACTAGGACTGAAAAAGGGTGAGGGAGAGGGGGATAGAAAAAAAAATGAGTGAATGGAAGAGGACCGGCTGATCTGAGGCGCCTCTCCTCTCTGTTCAAAGGGAAAAGGCCGGAACGTTCTCCGAGTTTGCCCTGACCTCAGCTGGCTTTCATTTGGCCAGGTGGAAACTGGCATATGGGGGTGCTTTGATCCCTACCCTTCTCCCTCCCTCCATCCCTCCATCCCTTTTTCTTTCATGAGTCTGATTTTGGGACAGTATATTGTGTGTAAGCAGTGGTCAGGAACTCTCAAAGTAAAAAGTAACAGTTGGTTTCGGATTGCGACCATGTTACACTTCACAAACTGTACTTTCAGTAAGGATGCACAGATATGAAATTTCTGGCCCCATATTGATAATCAATAATTAATACCTTCTTCTGGTCGATACTAATAACCATTCATTTTACTTTTTGATTTATGTTAAACTTTATTTTTAGGCTCCCTGTAGAGGGTCAACAAATCAACAAAACATAACGTGACCAGGGGTGTTTAAACTTCTGCATATGGCTATATAAGATCCATATGAAATTTCTAAAACTAGATCATTGTTTATTTCAGCATAGTCGTTACATGGCTAAAGCAGACCTAATGACTGTTATAGACAGTGAAATGGTTAGCAGATTCTCCAATGCAGAGCAGCTCACACTGGCCTTTGCCCATTGACTGATATTGTCCAGTGACTCCTATCATGAAGCAAGCAGTGCAGTTCAATGTCTGATCAATAATAATTGGGATTTCCCGTTTATGGAGGAAAAATATATTGGTCACCAATATTCTTAACTTTCCACTCTTCTCTCTGCTTTGCTCTCTCACTCATTCTTGCTCTCTCTCTGACCTGCTGACCAGCCACATGCGTTTGAAGTGGCCTGTTGGAGATGAAACGGAACTTGAAGCTTGATTGTTGAAAAGTGAGATTCTCCTGATAAGAGCTCCAAAAATAAACTTTCCACTCATGTGACCAGGTGGAGGAGTGTGTGTGTGTGTGAGTGTGTGTTTGAGTGGGTTTAGAGGTGATGAAGACATCCGGAGTTTTAAGAGTTTGAGTATGCTACATCTGTTTTATAGATAGTTACATAAATAATATATAGGATTCTTCTTCTTCTTCTTCTTCTTCTTCTTCTTATTCTTCTTCTTCTTATTATTATTATTATTATTATTATTGTTATTACTGTTATTACTGTTATAGTGTGTGTGTGTTTGTGTGTATGTGCATACATATAGACACATACGCATGTGATGACACATCATTGTTTTGTGGATATAGATTGAGCCTAGTGTTTTGTCATTAAAAATCCCATTTAGTCTAGGTTTAGGCATAATTAAAGTCTGAGAAACGTGTGTGTGTGTGTGTGTGTGGCTGCCTGGCTGTCTGGCAAAACATTGTAAAAGCCAGTTGTGTCTCAGAATCCAACAGAGTAATGGCATATGAGGAGCAGCAGTATGGAAAACTCTGAACAGCCCAGTCAAATTTTGTTTTGTTGGTTTTCTAGCTAAAAGTAAGTTTACTTAAATATGGCATTTTCTGTAAGTTTAATATAAGAGTTTAACATATTGAGGAAAAAAGCCTAAAATGCTTTATTTTCCCCAAAATGGTAAATTCAGCAAATAAACAGTAATTGTGCATTGAAATGTACAGAAATGTGTTCTATGTAGAGGATGTGTAACTTATTTTCACTTAAAAAAAAAAATCAACAAAGCATGTAATTTGACCAAGAGTGCCCAAACTTTTGCATAGTGCAGTACATAGTATATCCATCTATCCAGTATGTAAAGAGTTAATTTGCATGAGCACATTACAGTATTACACTTACACTGCAATCCACACTTCATACAAGAAAAGCACATTTTTTTAATCTAACAGTGGTGGAATGAATCACTGGATTCGGGTGTAAAGTTCACTCCTGACAACTTCTTTCACTGAAAACCGAAAAGTGCTGAAAATGGCATTTAATGCTTTACTCACATCATTTTGACCACTACAAGCTCAGTGTATCCAGCGCACACACACACACACACACACACACACAGAGTAAGAAGAAAGGAGGAATGTGAATGTTCTGTGGTTGCCGAGTTCTGTCATAGCTGTTTTGGTGCGGTCCTCGCTCTGTATGTGTGTGTGTGTGTGTGTGTGTGTGTGTGTGTGTGTGTGTGTGTGCATGCACAGGGGTATAAACTGGCTCTGTCTTTGTGTTTCTTGTTTAATTACAGGGGATTTAATGCTTCCTTTATTGTGTATTTTCTGCTTCTTGTGTTTTTTTGGGGGAGTTTGTTTTTTTGTGTTTTTCTTCTGTGGTTTCTGTAGTGTTCCAAAGCTTTTTTTGGCTGTGTGTGTGTCTCTGTTGCTGCTGAATGTAACAGTATGATATCATTATCATGATAAATTACATCACAGTAAGCTTTTCTAAGTAAATCATGAGCTGAGCTGGGTATTATTCAAAATCTTTCAGCACCAAGATTACTAATAACATTGACAAGAATAATGACACATGCAGTTGGTCAGCACTGACCCACACAATTTCCACACAATGTTCATAAACGCATATTGTTTATATAAAAGAAGCATGATGATGATAAATTATGTTCATATTGCCCACCTCTGCTTGGTGGTAAGTAATTTGCTTGGTTCCATTACAGTACTGATTTTCACTACCTGCGCATTGGGCTGGGTATCAACATTCAGTACTTTTATTTCCAAAAACACTGATTATCTGCATGTTTACTTTCAAAGAGTCTGGAAGAGACTCTCAGATGGCATAACTGTCTAAGGTTTTGACCTGTTTATTAGGAGATCAGGAGTTTGAATCCCAACAATGCTAGCAGTCCAGCAGCACATAATTGGCCTGTTAATTGGATGTTAATTTGGATGTAGTTGATAAAAAAAAAATCATTGTATTCATCAGTGCTGATTTAATCAACATCAGAAAAACAAAATATGATGGTATGTATTGTGTATCATCAAAATGTCTGCAAGTTTTGTGATCTAGTTTTGCCCTATTGCCCACCTACAGTTCCAGATATTCCAGATTTTTTTTGTTTATATAATATTTATTTACTGTTTTTCGCAATACTGATATTACTGAACAAGACAATACACTAATGAGCACTGTAGCCAGTTGCACTTGGTTTTATTACAGTACAGTGTGAGCATCTTCACCAACCGCAGTTCTGTGAGTGTTTCAGAGTGTTTTGATGATTCAAGATATTAAAGAGAATTTTGTCCAGTCAAAATGTTACAATATATGAGTAGTAGAATTTCAGTACTAGTGTTTTGTCCATTTGTTGCAGCCCTCATTCTCTTTCTTTCCTGCTTTCCTTTCTTTCTTTTCTCTCTCTCTCTCTCTCTCTCTTTCTGTATCTCTCTATTTCTCTCTTTCTCTCTTTCTCTATCTCTCTATTTCTCTCTCATGCTGTCTGCCTCTCTCTGTTTCCATCTCTTCCTCCCTTCTGTCTCCATCTCTGTCACCCTCTATTAGGACTTAAAAGCATTAAAGGCACACAAACAGAATCTTTAATCACTCTGTGTCATGTCACGGAAGGAATGTTTCCCATCCCAGCCAGCCTTTGATACCATTCCTCACCCCCCCCACACTTCATCCCCCCCCTCAACCACTCTGTCCAGCCTTTCTCCACCCCCCAACCCGCTTTTGGAGCCACTGTTCAGACGGGGGGCATTTGTGGCTTTGTGGGGACAGAATGCCTGGTAGCCCATTTAAACACATTGTTTCCCCCTCAAAGAGCCCTAATAATAGCAATTAGGACACAGCTCTGCCTATTATAGAGCCAGCACAGGGTGCAGAGGGCCGCAGCCTGCAGCCAGAACAGCCATAAGAGCATTGAGGCAAGACCAGCGCTGTGTGAATATGTGAGAGCGAAGAGTTTGATAAATCGAATTGAGTTAAAAATCTGCTGATCCTAAAGCTCAGCTTGCTGAATAGAGTTTGTCATTCAGGATAACACTGTGTTCCGCTTTGTTGTTTAAAGAATACTCCAGTACTTTCAGCCTAAGCTCTAACTGACCCATCTGTACGTATGATCAATTACCCCATTTCCCCATATGTAAAAAAAGAACAGAAAACACACTCGTAATAAAAGTAGGGTCGTTCTGTTCCAATGCAGAGTAATATTTGAATTTGGTCCAGTTCCTATCCTTTTATTATTGTTGTTTTGGATTATTTGTAAAATTATAAAAATTATAGTTTATGGTTTATCTGAATTCCTGAGTGCCTTTGCTGTAATGATGGAAAAGCGATGTACAATATATATACACCCGGCACACTTTTCACTTATGAGTTTTGCCGCTTCTGGTTTTAAACAGGCATTAGCAGAAACATTGCAAGAACACTGAGAAAAAGGAGCAACTACTGCACATGTTAGAGTGATATGAAATCATAGTCTATTGAGTATGTAGTGTACACCTGAATGTAATGTATATTTGAAATGGTTATTTCACATAAGTACATAACATGTTCAGTGTGTATACTGCTATACATGTAATAAAGATGTGAATTCTCTGCAGAATATGAAAGTAATTGGCATTATTAAATCAGGTCAATCAAATTTGATCATAAGCCAACATTAAACGGCTTATTAACGGACGATTTTAAAAAATCAGTCCAGAATGTCACAATGACACAGAAATTAAATCATTGATCTCTAGAATTAATTGGGTGCCAATTATTTCTAGAGATCATACCTAAATATCTTAGCTAAATTATGTGGCTGTACTATTGTTTGCAAAAGTTTTGGCACCCCAGTCATGCTTTGTTTTTTTTAGTGAAAATTATTGAACACATCCTCTACAGAGGACACACTTGTGCACATTTGCTGTTTATTTGCTGAATTTAACATATTGGGAAAATAAATAAAACATAAAGTTTGACCTGTTACAAAGTTATGGCATTTTTTTTTATGTTGCATTTGTTCCCCAATATGTTAAACTCAGCAAATAAATAGAAATTGTGCATGAAAATGAGCAGAAAATGCCATGTTTATGTTCATGAAATTGTTTCATGTAATTTGACCATAGTGTTTAAACTTCTGCATATGACTGTATATACACAAAAATTTGATATCCATTGATACTCACAATTACATTAAAGTATTCTGATTGTACCGGAGAGCAAAAAAAACAGGATCAGAACAACCACATAGGAATTGTCCGTGGTAATTGACTCTGTGCTACAGATGTGACCGAAAAAACGTTGAGTATACCTTTTGTAAAACATAGTTTTGTGTTGCTGTTTTACATGTTTTTCATCAATTTGTGTGGGTGATTTTGCATGAATCTGTAGTTGTATGAAATAGAAATTAATTTTTAGAGGCTAATCCTTATGCCTTGCATCAAACCAGCGTCTTTTGGCGCTCTTTCCTTTCACCACTGTAATAATTGTGCTGATCAGAGCCTGATTTAGTTATGTGATGGTAATTATATCGCACTGTCTCTCCTCTCTGCCCTCTCCTGTCCTCTCTCAGGCCAACCTCTTCCCTGCTGCTCTCGTGTACTTTGGCTCGGACGTGAAGACAGGTTTGTTAACGGCGACTTCCATTTCTGTGCGTCTCTTTCATCTCCTGTCCAAAGCAATGACATCAAATTAATCCTGTTTACCCAAAGCCCCCTCACCACAGAGGGCATGCTGGGTAACTGTGTGGCGCAGACGCTGGAGACGATGTAATGAAGTGCATGTTTTAGTATGCTGTGATTTAGTCATATAGTCAGAAATGCCTCTCCACTCCGTTTAGCTGAAGAGTGGCTTTCGGCAGTAGATCATTACAGCAAAGCCCTCGACTCCAGATCACTTGGTGATGCAGTTCAGATGTTTCAGATATTGACCTTTTCATCTGGTGTCTTATCCTGTTACCTAGCAGCCTTGCATAAGTGACTTTGACAGGCCACAATTGGTGAAAAGTATGCACTTCTTTGTGTTTGTTGACAGAGTCCTACCTGCACCATGATCTTGTGGACAGCAGTGTGTCTGCCCTGCAGGCTGATGAGCTCATTGCTGGGTATAGTATCCCATCCTTTCTTCATGTTTTATCCCTCCACCTTTTTTTGACCTTCTGTTTCTCTTTTTTTATATTTGCTATGTTCTTTGTTCATTTCAACGTAAATAACAGTGATAGTTCGGTTAAAAAAAGAAACTGTATAGTCAGTCAGCCAGGATATGATTGGTGTCTGAAATTTGCATCTGTAGTTTTGCACTGGATCTACAAGCCTAATGTAGCTAACAACAGAGGCTTGTAGCCCAATATGCAAACTATATAAGTCAGGGCCATAGCTACAGGGGGCCCACGTTTTTCATTAAAGACGCCATTTCTTGAACAATGTAAACATAGCATTAGCTAGATCCACTGTCTGTGCTGATGGTGAGAACTTAGCTGAGCTGTGCCTAGTTCTTATAGGCTACTTACCTAGCTAGCGTGTAGTAGTAGTAGTAGTTCATTGTGGTAAACAAAGTTCAGTACTTTGCAAAAGTGACAAACATTACAGTATTCTGTACCATTTAAGGTGAAACTGAAAATTTGAATGAGAATCTGGCAAGTAAGAATCCAACTTCAGCCAAAGAAGACACTTTTTTTCATTAAAGACTTTTTGTTTTTTTTAATATAGCATTAGCTTGATTTTTTTTTTTTATGCTATATAGAACCATTTTTACGGTTCTTTATAGAGTTCTTTAAAGAACCATAAACAGCTGGTCTTCCATCATACAGAAGAACCATTTGACCATGCAGAGAACAATTTATGCCTTCAAATGGTCATTTGAGGCTGAAGTTGGCTTTGTCAGCTTCTTATGTGAATTTTCCATTCCACCTTAAATGGTGCAGCAGTTAACTGCTGTACCGTTTATTGTTAACCTCAGCTTCTAATTGTTATAGTAACTAATGTTAGCTAGTTAAATTTGAGCTAAGCAGCCATGTTCTGTGTTTATTATTTAAAAATATTCCCCTCTGATTATGATAACGTACTGGGTAATTTTCTGATGATTCAGCTACAGCGAATATAGCTAGTTGGTGGTTGTTATCCTCTCTATAGTGACATCTCTTGGACCTAATGCTTGCAAGCTGGCCCCCTCAATTAACCATGCACCTCCAGTGCAAAACTAAAGGAGCAAATTTCAGACACAGTCAGAAAAATTTGAGTTAAGAGAAAAATTTAATTTTTTATTAATTTAAATAAATGCAGATCTTCCCCTTTAAATCCAGAAATCCAACCTAACATGTACCTTCTGTACCTAACATGAAATGATGGGCAAGAGTTAATCCTTGCTTATGACAGTGGAACAACTCAGTTAATTATGCCCTGCTCGAGAGGACCCTGAATGCCCCCAAAACACACAAACACTCACACACAAACTCACACATTGCCCTCAATTGCCTCCACAGTTTCAGAATACAGTTGCACAATCACTTCAGTCACTTGCTATCTCTCCCTCGTCCCCACTCTGCGGCTGTTTTTCTGGGAGGATACTCATCCGCCTGGCTGGAATGCCTTTGAGGTTCTTTCCAAATGGGAATGTTCCACTGAAACCACGGGTCCCCCCCCCGCCACACACACACACATACACACAGACACACCTTTACAACCCCCATTCCCCATTCCGCCCTCATTTCCTCGAGCCCTGCACACATTTCCCTTCATCCTCTCCTGTCTAAAGATAGCAGCTTGTTTCCCAGTATCCCTGAACCCTCACACACACACTCATTCCCTCCCACCTGTTTCTCTTTCTCCTTCATCAGGGTATACACACACACCCCTCTTGAGGATTCACTTCAAAGGGGATGCCATTTCCTGCCACTGCCTGGCATGACATGTCAGTATGATGACTTAATGGGACAACTGACTGATAAAATCGGATGATGTTAAGGCAAGACACTGTAGAAATGACAATTTTGGTTCCGCCTGCAAGAGTCAGTGTGTATTACTGAGTCATTGACTGACTGACTGATCTTCATTGTTGAAACACACACGGGGAAGTGTTGCTGTACACTGTTGATTGTCGCCCTCACGCCTTCCCACTGCTACCAATAGAACACTAACAAATACAGGAAGAAAGCAGAAAAACATCATGGTTCTAAAAAGAAATTACTAACAGATGAACTATCGCGGCAGGAAGTACTTCTGCTTGAGCTTGAACTGTGACTTCAGTCTGAATTTTTACTTCATCTCACTGTTTAACTGTTTCTGGTGAGGATACAACCACCAAGCACCAGTACATGATCACTAAGTACACCAGCATGTAAACATAGTATTTTGATGTGTCACATTAGCTAACATTAGCTGGCTCAGAAGCTATAATGCTAACACTATTAGAATGTGTTAGCAGCTAGAGAACAAGCTGTTTTACATTTCTCTGAGAAATTGTAAATCTTCTTGACTCTACACATCATTTTGAGTAGACATTTGTACCTGTGCATGTGTGTGTGAGTAGAAATCATCTTAGAGTCTGATAGATATGTTACTGTGGTACTATGCTAGCTTGTTATTATAATTTATACCTAGCTGGAAAGCTAGCTAAATCTATCTAGATGTGGCTCTTTTACTGCCCTGTTGCGGCTCCACAGAATTAGATTATTAGGTAAAAATAAAATAATCCTCCTTTACAGTAAAATAAAGCTCTGCTGATCGTTCTAACACAGTTGTAACAATAAATAGCCTTAAACACTGGAGTTATGTGTATAACTGCTTATTCACCTTTTAACCCTGAAAATTGGCACACAGGTTACATAGCAATGCGGATAACAGTCTCACCTAGTTAGTAGCTAATGAAAAGGCAAAGAGAGAGATTTGGAGACGAATGGACTTATTTGCATTTATAATCACTCCAGCTGTTTTTTTGATACATTTAATCTGCAGCTAGAAACTGTCAAACACTATAAAGTCAGCTTCTCATTCGCCAGCTTCTTGTTCGAATTTTCACGTTCCACCTTAAATGGTGCAACAGTTAGCTAGCCACATAGTTAGCTACATTCTGGCACCTCAGGATTTAAGGTGGAACGGGAAAATTCGAAGCCGCCAAATGAGAAGCTGAAAAAGTCAAACGTTAGGAAACACTTTGCAAGTAACTGTTCTACTTTTGCGGAAAAGTTTCCTGCCAGAGATGCGAGAAATGCAGCTATAGCTCAGCTAAAGCTTAAAGCAGAGCAAAGTAAGTCTGCATTTAATTTATATTGTATTTTTAGCTTGTGTTAACACATTAGCACATACTGAGACATATTTACAGCCAAGATGGTGAAACTTTAATAAAATGGGCATGAAATGTTGTGGCTCCCAAGGTGGTTTGATTTTTTGTTGAAACTTGACAAAATGGCTCTTCTTAACAATTGGGTTGCGACCCCTGACCTAGCTGGAAAGAACACAGATTGTTCCCACTATTGCTCCTTTATAAGTACTGGATCAGAGAATTGAACACCACTTCTATCATAATAAGAATTCTTGATTTACTTGAACAATGACTAAAGAACGGCATCATCATTATTATTATTATCATTATTATTATTATTATTATTATTATTATTGTACAGTGATGTGATGCTGAAGTCAAGCAAGCTAACGTTAAATTGGCTTTTTTAGATTTGGTTGCATCTATATTGCATCTGTAGCATGTCTTTCCTTAAACTGTAGCCATAAAACTGCCAAAACTCAACAGAAATATATTAATTTCAATGTGTTTAGTTAATTCACATTCACTTCATCTTACTGTATTTTTATGAAGGCTAAAGTCCAGCAACACTTGGCACAATCGCATCATGTCATATATCACTGACAAGCTCTGTCTGTTTCCTTTATACTAATGTCAATACGCCAGCGATGCATAATACTCAATACATTTAGTTGCTGACTATCTAACCATCTATCTGGTATATTTAGTGCAGTTAATGTTATTAGCCTGGGAATATACAGCCAATCATCATCCACTCAGTTTACTCAACATCATTTTACACGTTTTGATGTTTTGAGTCATACACTTACGTTGATTTGGGCTACAGACAGTACAAAATGGCTTCTTCTTAAGCCTCTATACTACATACAAAAACTTACGCAAGCTCCTTTTCCACAGGTTATGATAGAACATTTACAGACATGCAGTTCACACTATATTAATATAACCTGGGGTTACTTTTTCTGTTGTTCGTTTTATAATAGGTAGGAGCCACAACAGTTCATATCAAGGACTGCCATGGCGGATTCTGACAGGACTAAAATCAGTGAAAAACACCAATAATAATTACATTATCATCCATCCCTTGGTACAACAAATCCTATCCGAATATACTTAAAACTGGTATCCGTGATTTATTATTTTTTTTCAGGCCCTATTAGTAAGTGTACCAATATCCTGCGCTCTACGTTTGCCCAGGGATGCGTACAGCGCGGGGCCGCCCAAGGCTCCTCAGTGAGGATATGGATGTTGGTAGAGGAGCAGCAGGTGGCTGGTGTCCCGCGCTGCGGAAATGCTTGTAGCCGGAAAGATTAAGATGTTTGCACTGAAGTGGCTCTCCACAGGAAGCTTCTAATAACAGCAGCCTCTCAAGAGGTCATGACCTTTCACCTCTTTACTCTCTTCTCCCTCACATGAAAGCGGTCAGGAGAGACTGGGTTAACCCTCCAAATCACAGACACACTAAATACATCGTCAAGCCTAAAAGCACTTTTAGAGGACCAAAGCAGCGGAACTTGTTGTCTTCTTAAGCCTTTCTGTTGTCTTCTCTCTCTCTTCCTTCCTACTTCTGTACAAATGTTTGATATCCTCCCCTTTAATCTTTGTCTCTCTCTCTTTTTTCATCTTATCCCTCCTCTCTCTTCAGCTGCATTCCCAGGTCCCCTGCTCCGTCCTCCAGCACTCTGCCCCCTGAAGACTCTCTCCCTTTAGAATCCAGTGAATCCTCCAGCACCCAGCAGAGCTCAGAGGACACTTCAGACCCTCAAAGCCAGGCACCCAAACCCGCACGCACTGACCCGGCCAAGGTACCCAAGTGGCTTAAACTACCAGGTGTGTTCAGGTTCATATCCTATCAGAATGGACAAGCTCTTCGCCATTGTATATTGTACATACTTAGTGATGCACAAAAAGAAAATTCTTGGCCAAAACCGAACGAATCTAACAAGAATTAAAAGCACTTTACATAAAGCACATTTACATAAAATTACTAAAATAGTTACGGTATTTAGGCTCCAGCCCCCTCAACAACACAGGACAGTTGGTCATCCAAGGCACTGAATTCCATAATTTCTTTAGTTGTGACACTGTTTTTTGTCAATTTTAATTTTTTTTTAAAAAACAGTCTGCAGACAACATTAGCATGCTAGCGGAGCCTTTCATTCCTGCTTCTGTTGTTTTGCTGTATTCTGTGTATCAAGCGGAGTTCAGTCTTTTTAAATGGTATCAGACCAGTAGTAGAGAAGTTCTTGGGTGTCATACTTGCTCTTGATGTTTGACATAAACAGTGATTACAAATTGCTTGTCTAATGTCCCTCATATAATAGTTCTAATAAATTATATATACTATAATTGTATAATTTTAATAAATAGTATATAATTATGGCCAACATTTTTACTGTTGATCTGATGCGGTTTATGCTTTTTTGAACATGCCTGACTGGCACAGGAGGCTGAAAGGAACAGTGTTATTTTATTGCTGTTTCTCATTTTATTACTGTTTACATTATTTCTGAAGTCTTAGATTTGACTCTTGGTTTTGAATCTTTAAATTTTGGTCCAGATTTTCAACTGTTTTTCTTTGTGGACCAAAGACCAAAAGGTTTTGACCTTTCTCGGTGGCCGAAATTCCAGTGCATCCCTAGGACAGTGATAACAGAAGGAAGCAGTATGGTAGTTTGAACCCTTTCCTTTACTGTCTCTGTATATATTGAGAGTTTGTTCACTGCTGTGTTATCTTTTTGCCTTAGAAATGCACAAGAGATTCTGTCTTAAAGGACTCATATTCTTTATTTTTGTGTACTTATTGCCCCTAAAGTTCACTTTGTGATGTTTTGTCATTTTATTTTCTAAAACAATCATAATATATAGTTTATATTACTGTTTTTTTTCTTTATCTTTCAGAATTAAAAAGGCCATTTTTGTTATAGTGCCTGTAGGACTTATATATGTAAATTACCTCTGTTCTGTTTGGCTACCCTCATTCAGAAAGCAGGTCAGAGAGAAATGTGCTGAACAGACTGATGCATTCAGACTAAAAATGACATCAAACTGCTGTAGGCTGAATGGATGGCCATACATAAATGTGTTTATGATTGTGACATCACAAGACGTCAGACAGTGTTGTGACATCACAACCATGATGGATTCAAAACAGCCTGTTTTGGCACTGGCTGATGGGTGAAATTTGAAACGTGAAGTGTTAACATAGTACATTAAACTCTTATTTAAAAAATTCATTTTTTTTAAATGAACACTGAGGATGCTGCTCAGTTGTATGTGTTGACAAAGATTTTAATCACAACTGGAGTCACTCAGGAATACAGCTTTGAAATGTCATCTTTCGTAACAAATAAAGAGCAAAGATGTAGACAAAGTATCTGGATTTCCTTTGGAAGCAATAACTCATGATTTTAGAGATGTAAAAAAAGCGGTAATGGGACTTTAGACGGTTCCATCTTCCTCTTAGTTCCTCCCGTGTCCTGCAGTATTAAGCTATAACAGACCTTCAGAATTCCTCTCTGACCTCCACCCTCAGCCCTTTAAACCACAAACACTCACACTGCCTACTTTGCTGCTGGAGATAAGGGCTTTCACAATAGGGCACCTTCCTTCCTTCCCTCTCCCTCTTCACAGCCTCCACCTCTACCAGGCCTCCGGGGTGCTGCAGGCTGTCCCACAGCCCCAGCAAAGGGGCCCAGTCTGGACCACATGAAGCAGCGCAGGGCCCCTGGCTCCAGGGCCCCTGGGCCTCGTTTCTCTCTGTTGTGTGTTGAGCTGTGGTCACGGTGGCAGCCACTCTGACGATCCGTTTCGTTTTCACATGTCTTTATTGTGCTTTATTGTGTTCTTCTGGATAATTCTCACACGCAGTACAGCCCTTTTGTCTTCTGGGATGGAAAATAGAGAGTGAGAGAAATAAAGAAGGGCTGATTGATCTTCTCTGTTACATGTTTGAATTTCGTTCAGAAGCTTTTGAGGGTTTAGAAGCTTTGGAGTTGTACAGAGAAAGAAGAATGCCTTGGAAGTTCTGAATGGACAACACTTGTATTGGCTAACCATTTCATCATGTTTTCTGAGAACACACTCAGCAGTGCTGTTAAAGACTGACATTTATTAACAGTGGACAGTGACCGTGCGTCTGTTTTATTTTGTGCTTATTCAAGGATTTTTGGCCACCCTCTGTTTCACTGTATTCGAGGGAAGTATCCTCGCTTTTACAAACCCATGTAACTGCAGTAAAATGGGTTGACAAAAAAAAACAAGCTTATTTTAACAACAGTTTTAAGCAAACTTCTCTTATGCCCTAGATATCTTCATGGCCAAAAGTATGTGCTTGTGGTACATCTCATTTCAAAACCATTTGCATTCATGTGGAGTTGGATTCCCTGTATTTCTGTGATAGCCTCCACTTTTCTGGGAAGGCTTTCTGTTAGATTTCGGGAACATTTGTCCAGCCACAAGAGCATTAGTGAGATTGTACTTATAAGGCCAGCCTCACCGTAGGCTTTCCATTTCATCTCAAAGGTGTTAAGATTAAGATGTCATTACAATGAACGCCATTGTAATGTTACCCTTCACTGGAACTAAGAAGCCCAACCTATGTAAAACAGCCCTAGACAATTATTCCTCCTCATCCAAACTTTACAGTTGGCACTACACATTCGGACAGGAAGCTTTCTCCTGGCATCCACCAAAGCCAGCTTTAAGCGTGATTACTCACTTCAGATAATGTGTTTTCACTCCTCCAAAGTGTAATGATGGTGCGCTTTACACCACTTTAGCCAGTGCTTGGCATTGCCCCTGATGTTAGACTTGGTTGTGGAAACCCAGTTCATGAAGATCTGGACAAAGAATTTTTGTGCTGATGTTGCTCCTAGAGGCAGTTTGGAGATCTGTAGTGAGTATTTTAACTGAGATTTAATAACAATTCATTTTTATGAGCTGTGTGCTCAAGCACACAACGGGCCTCTTCTGTGAGTTTATGTGGCTTACCGCTTCACAGCTGAGCTGTGGTGGCTCCTAGATGTTTCCACATCACATTCCAAGTTGAGTGGGGCAACATTTTAGGAATTCATCAAACTGGAAAGATGGCATTCTATGACCGTGCCAAGCTGTTCAGTACAACACATTCTATTGCCAGTGATTGTCTATGGACATTGCAAAGCTATATGCTTGGTTTATATTTTTGGCCATGTAGTGCAAGTAGCTGATAACTGGAGCAGCTGTAGAGTCCAGACTCTAGAAATGACTAGGATTTTAATTTTGAGTCATTTTTATAGCTGTGATAATAATAAGAATTAGATGCTGCAGAAGTGTGTAGTGCTGCTTATGGTACACTTTCAGTGTATTTTCCCTTGCATTATTTCTTTTAACATTTTTACACCTTTCTTTCCCTAGGTAAGAAATAACATGGAGTCACCAAGTTACTGGAAGATGTCTTAAAAGAGGCCTGAAGAAGAGATTCCTCTGCAGCAGAAAGCCTCCTCAGATGATGATAATGGAAATAATAGCAAAACCACTGTATCAGAAATTGGTTCACAGTGCAAATAGCGCCAAATTCACAGTTTTAGAATAAAATCCTGAGATGCTTTGTTAATTAAAGCTGACGTCTATTGCCAAATGTTCTTGTAGTCCGTTTTTTTCTTGCATTTTTCAGCACTTTTTCACAAAAGTATGAAGTTCAACTCAGCTGCCAGAATAACACTTGCAGAAGGATTTCACTCTTCACAGCTGTGCCGTTCTGGGTCTGTAGTTTAAAGCGAGTCTTTTTCCATCACAGAGAGATTTCACAGCATATTGGTTCCTCTGGAGCATTTGACCGCATGCCAGAGTACAGTAAATGATAGTCTATTTTATTTGTACATACAGTCACTAGTTTTAGGATTGATGAGCATTTTCAAAATTTTAAATTAAACTGTTTGAAATTGAACAGTAAATCTAGTGTGTTGTTGTTTGGGAACTAGTCAATTTAATTAAGTCCTCTTCCGCTATCTTACAAATTGTTTCTAGTTGCATTGGATCAGGTTGGTTCAGTAGAGTTTAGCATCAGATTACTGCTATTAGTGATGGTGTGTTGGCCTAACTACGATAAATGTAGCAGACAAGTGATCTTGTTGGCAGACCTTGGCTGGTACATTGCTTTCTGAGGTAACTAACCATGTGAAAGGTAACGGTAACAGATGAATGCAGTCATGACGGTGTGCCCTGCAAATATGCGAAATGATTCTTGTCATACTTGATGCTACATGCAGTGGCCCCAAAAAGTATGTGGACACTTTAACCATTTACCTTTGCTAAACTGCATGAAGTTCTTCGTAACTTCATAAAGTGTTTATCAAAATGCGAAAAACACTTTTAGCAAAGTGCATATCTGAAAGAAGAATTGTTAAACCAAACATTTTGGTGTCATTGAAGTTAGCATCAACAAGTACGTTAGAAGCCAGCCAACATGGGGCCCCCCCAGGAGGTATTTCACACACTGCTGTAGGCCTTTTGGAAATTCTAGATACATCACTTACTTTAAATACGAGCAGCAGCCCAATCATTGAGTTGAGAAATGGAAAACAGCGGCAGCTTTATGCCAGAGCTCAGTACTAAGTCGCTGTGAAACTGCTACAAAGTAAAACATGCTTTTATGTCTGTCACAAACTTCAGGTAAAACATATAATGTCTTTTCAAAGCTTCAGATATCTCAAAAAATGTTCATGTGAATTGCCATTAGCTTAGTGCTAACTACTAGAATCCTATAGGGACACTAGAAGAAGTTAGAATTATCGTATTGGTGTGTTTTTGTTTTGATTGAGTTTTAAGGTTTTTTGGCTGGAATTGAAGGCTTTGCTCTAATATTAATGGTTTGCCACTGAGCATCAGCATTGGCTGACACTGAAGGTTGCAATATCGGTATTGATATTTGAAAAGAAAAAGTGGTTTAGTGCCATCCTTGCCTGTAACAATATCAAAACTTTTAGTGCTATATAGAACAATTTACAACAGGTGCTCCATCATAGAAAACCTATTCAACATGCACCATTTAAGCATTCCAGTGGGTCTTTAAACTGTCCATAGTTGTGATTAAAATATAACTATTACCTTTTTTAAGGCTGTAGAAGTGCATGTCTAGCTGCTGTTGAGATTAAGATTAAACCTAGAGGCATAAGATTATTGTGGTTACCATTTCTGATGCCATTTTGCTCATTGCTGTATTAAAGGAATTTGGTTTCCCTTGTTTTTTTTTTTTCTAGAAGAAGGGGGAAGCATTTAGAATTTGGTTCAAAAAACAGGGTGCTGGAAATGCCAGATGGCAATGGGAAGCTATCCTTCAGTGAAGTTCCCTTTTGGCCACTTGCAATTTAACTTACTATTGGTGGCTTTTTTTTAAAACCCTATCCAATGCTTTGATGTTCACGGTCCCACTGTTCCTAAACACTCTCCCTCTCTCTCTCCGCTGCCCATCTGAGGGAACTTCAAAGTGTCCAGAGGGGGTAGCCTGGTGCTCCTGGCACTTGTCATTCCTTAACTAGCTGACTGCCCCTCCGTGCCCTGCTCTTCCAGCCCTCCATCCCCATCCAGCCCCCTAATTACTTCCAGCTGTGGCGGGGCCTTTGAAGAGGCGGTGGGAGGGGGGTGAGGAAGGGGCACATGCTGCACGCACCTGCTGGGTGGATTCGAGGCCCATGTGCAGGTGACACTGGAGAAGGTTACGGATGAGCGCTCCTGATAAAACCCCACCAAAGCCATGATTTGCTAGGTTTTTTTTTTTTTACTTTTCAAAGCATTTCGGCCAGATGGACTTCGTCGTTTTATTACCCCAGGCATGAAGATTGAGTGACTAGATGGCTGGGGCACAGAAGGCACAGATGGCCTGGTTACCCAAATGCATCATAGCAAAATGATCATCATTTCAGTAGAAGGGTTACTTCAACACTTTCTGCCACTTGAAGGCCCTATTTTGTACATTCAAATTACATTAATTGTATTTTTCCACCCTGACTGTATGACTGTTTCCCAGCCTCTCTTTATCCATCAGACTGATAAATGACCTCTGTTCTGATTTGCTGCCCTGTGTTGGCCTCATTCAGAACTCCTTTGGGAGGCTGCAGTGATCCCTCTGCTTTCTGACAGCCAGGAACAGCACAACATTTAATCATTTTCTTCAACGTCTTCCGCTGCAGTAGTTCCACCACAGACTGTCTGCATTAACAACAGTCTTTGTCACTTCAGTGTGAATCGTCAGGCTGCTGTATATGTAAATACGTTTATGGTTGTGACACTGCAAACTCTACAGCCTCGATAAACGCATAATTCCCTCCCCTTTTTCACATAAAACAGTTTGATGTAGGGTGTAATCATGACAGATTCCAAATTCACTCCCTCAGTCCAATTCATTGTTTTACAAACCCGTTTGGGACACCGTGTAAAATGTAAATAAAAAAAACAGAATGCAACGAACATTTAAACCCTATAATTAATTGAAAATAGTACAAAGACAACAAATCAAATGTTAAAACAGAAATGTTATTGTATTTTTAAAAATATATGCCCATGAAAATAAACGAGGCCTTTCTTGAAAAAGACGTCATGTGGGTGGTAACATATCGCTGATGTCAGAAGAAAAGCTTGTATCTTCACAAAGGTAACTTGACAGGAAAAGGAAAAAACTACTTTACTTTTAATGTAATGGAACCAGACTTTTTTTCCAAGTCATTTTGGGATGCTACTTTTGGTCCATTTTTCATGAAATTTACACACAATGTAAAGGACAAAATTTTCAAATTATGTCAAAAACTGAAAAACATGGAGAAAATGGAGATGCAAGGTTTTCTTCCAACAGCAGCAATATGCTGCTCCAAAACTTGTATATATATCGTTCAGCATTATTGGAGCATTCATAGATGTGCAAGTCACCCATGCCATGTGTTCTAATGCACCACCATACCATCACGGATGCTGGCTTTTGAACTGAGTGCTAATAAAAAGCTGGATGGGCCCTTTTCTTTTTAGACTAGAGAACTTGGCATCCATGATTTCCAAAAAGAATTTTAAATTTTGATTAGTCAGACCACAGGACACTATTCCACTTTATCTCAGTCCATCTTAAATTAGCTTGGGACCAGAGAAGGCGGCAGCGTTTCTTGGTCCTGTTTATATATGGTTTCTTTTTTGCATGATAGTTTAGCTTGCATTTGTGGATGCAGCAATGAACTGTGTTCATAATCATTTCGGAAGTGTTCCTGAGCCCATGCAGTGATTTCCACTACAGAATTGTGCCTGTTTTTAATGCAGTGTTGCCTGAAGGCCCGAAGATCATGGCCATCCGATATTGGTACTTAGGTCTTGTCACTTGCATACAGAGATTTCTTTAGGTTCTCCGAATCTTTTAATGAGATTATGTATTAATAATGAAATATCGATACATATGATGAAACTCCCAAGTTCTCTGCTATTTTACTTTAAGAAATGCTATTCTTGAATTGGTGAATTACAACAGAGCTCATTTACATATATATGTCTTAAAGATACAGTAACAAAAACAGCCTGTGTAATTGTCATAGATAAAGAGAGGTGAAAAAAAATCAGATAAAAATGAAATATTAGTGTTTTGGTACATAAACCCATATAAACATCACAAAGTAAAAAAATGTAGGAAATTTAACACAAAAGCAAAACATCAGACAGCAATAATTACAGTTGCCCTGTCTTGATATCATGGGAACAGAGCAGTGAAGCATTGTTCATTCAGATTAGTGTGTCCATTGGGTATATACAAGAAGGGCTTCCCTAGAGAACACAGAGAGACGAACAATTTAAGCCAAGTGTAAAGAAAGCTGGGGAAATAATGGTATTTATCTCAGATCAGAACCAAAGACATGCATTTTGCTGTTCTGGGGCGAGACGGAGTTGGTGTTCAGGAGGTAAGGGGCAGAGAAAATATCTAGACCAGTGTCAACAAGCGTTCTGATAGGCTTGCCTTCAGCTAGTAAGTCAGCTAAGGGACTAGGCAGATGTGCACCTATCAGAGGGAAGAGAACACCTGGGAAATCATCTGATCAGATCTGCTTCCTAAGCTTGAGCCCTATAGTGAGCAGTCAGTGAGCTTGGGCCGAGATGTTCATTTACAGTAACACTGGGACCTAAATAAGGTCAGTTAGTTTGGCCATGCTGAGGTGAAGTGCTTTGAGAGCTGTTAGGGAAGGGTTTGCCTGGGTTGCCGTCACAAGCTGAGCCATTAACACATTAACATAGAGTAAATTAATAGTGCGAGCAGGGCCATTTCTAAATATTTAAAGGCCTCAAGTGACATCCTATTTGGGGGGCATCTGCCCACCTCAGTCACATTACTTTGTGTGCAAGAATGGAAAAACTTTTTCTTTACAAACCCAACCCAAAAAATTTGGAATAGTATGTCAAATGCTGGTAAAAACAGAAAGCAGTGAGCATATTAGTAAATTCTGTTTGACTTGTATTAAATTGAAAGTAGTACAAAAACACAATATTTTATATTTTAAGACCATATGAACAATGTTTTTTTGTAAATATGTGTTTCTTCCAAATTTAATGTCTGCAACACATTCCAATAAAGGTGAGACAGGAGCATATTTACCACTGTGTTACATCTGATAATCGTTTGGGGACTGAAGACACAAACTGATCCAGTTTTAAAAGTGAATTTTTTGCCATGCTTCTTTTTACATTCTTCAGCTGTGCAACCATACAGGGTCTTTGTTGTCATGTTTTGAGCTTATTAAGACACACCTTTTCAGTGGGAGACACTGCTGGGCAGCAGGCAGGCCAGTCTAGCATCCACATTCTCTGATGATGCAGCCATGCTGTTGTAACACAGAATGTGGCTTTGCGTTGTCATGCTGAAATAAACATGAACGTCCCAGAATAAGACAGCACCTAGGAGTCAGCATACGTTGCCCCAAATGCTGCTTTCACAGATGTGCAGGTCATCCACTTATACACCGCTGTTACCGTGACAGACCCTGACTTTCGAACTTTTCGCTGGTAACAATCTGGATGGTCCTTTTCATCTTTGGCACAGTTAACCTGATGTCCATATTTTCATTAATAATCTGAAAGTTTGACTTGTCAGATCACAATACGCATTTCCAGTATGCAGCAGTCCGTTTCAGATGAGCTCGAGCTCAGGGAAACAACGTACAGTGTTTATTGTGCTTAAGTATTCCTGAGCTTATGTGGTCATATCCATCACAGAAACATGCTGATTTTTAATGCAGTGCCGTCTGAGGTGTTGAAGATCATAAAGAGCATTCATTTGTGGTTCTTGGCCTTTTTCTTTGTGCACGGATTTCCCTGGATTTCCTGAATCTTTTGATGTGATTATGCTTGCGATTCCTGGCTGAGGAACATTATTTTTAAGCTGTTGGATTTTATGCTGATCCATTTGTGGTAAACTGGCCTCGACCCATCCTTGCTCATAAAGAACTCTGCCTTTTCTGGATGCTCCCTTTTAACCCAAGTATGATAACATCACCTGTGTAAAATGATTTTGGAACGTTTCACAATGTTTCTAGTCTAAAGTTGCTCCTGCCCCATCTTTTTTTAGGACAAGCTGCAGGCATCAATCTCAGAGTGAGTCTCATACCCAAAAAAAAAACGGTTAAACGGTTAAACGGTTAAAAATCTGCCATTCATAATTGCAGTGATGTGATATACCCCAATAAGCAAAAAGAGAAGAACATAATTTGAAAAGGTGCTTTTTATAATTATGGATATAAATCATCTTAACAGGTCAGCACACTTGAATATGCACACACAAATGTTTAACTCTGGTAAAAAGATTAAATATAAGATCAGAAAGAAATCAGCAAGATACAACTCCAAGAGCTGAGAGAGAGACGGAGGGAGAGGAGATAGATGAGTAGGGGTGGGAATCCCTAGGCACCTCACGATTCGATTACGATTCAGAGGGCTGCGATGCGATTATAAAACAATTATCGAGGCATCTCGATGCATCTTTTTTTCTATATAGCATTTTTATAATTTTTCTCACTGTGTGAGCTCAAGTTTCGAGTTCAAGTTTATTTGTCACTTGCACGTCAGGACATTTATGCATTGAAATGCTTGTGGTGAGGCTCAGCTGATCACTCTACAGAAAGTAAATAAGTAAAAATAAAAATACAAGAAAAAACAACTGAAATATATTAAATATACACAAAATATACACAGAATGTAGAGACAATATACATTTTAAAGTGACTAAGTGACTCAGTGTTATTGTTATTTAAAGTGACTTGGTGCTTTTAAAGCAAAGTATTTGTAATGATCCATAATGAATTTTCCAATATCTTTTTTGATAAAACAAATGGAAGTGATGTGGCAAGTGAACTAACTGGAAGGCTCTCATTCACTGCTCTTGTTTGGAGCACGAGAAGCTGCTGCTACTCATCTGCAATAAAATGCACAGTTACGGTGAAACAAGATCCAGTGGTGATGGATGTCCATGCAGCACATGTTACGGCTATTCTACCCGTTTTCTTTAGTGATTTTATAACTTCGGTTTTGGTCTCGTTGTAGAGACGGGGGGGGGGTCGCTGTGTCAGTAAAGTATCTTTGAGACGGGACGTGTGCAACATAGCGCGAAAGCCCTGTTTCGAAATGACTGAGAACTGGCGTGCAGACTGCAGGTCACCTAGCAACGATGCGTTATTCGCATTTATAAGCAGCGCAGTTGGTTTCCCGGTACGTTAAATCTGCAACGAGAGACTGTCAAACACTAAAAAGTGGCGAAGCTGAAGTCGCTTCTCTTTCAAATTCTCCCGTTCCACCTTAAATGGTGCCGCATTTACATTCGGCGCCTCAGTTAGAATTTAAGGTGGAACGGGAAAATTCGAACAAGAAGCTGGAGAATAAGACGCGACTTCAGCCTCGTAAAACAGTTCTTATCATTTGGGTTGTGACTCCTGATCTAACCTGGCTTTAATGCAGAGGGAGCCGGTCGGATTTCTCGCTCATCCAGTTGTGTTTGTTATGTGCCGCCACAGACTGTTGGGGGCGCTGCACTTCAGCACCTTTGCACCTTTTCGACCTTTGCATTCCATCAACATTACATTATAAATTAAATATTTAGAAAATCGATTTTTGACATTTGTGAATCGATTCAGAATCGTTCACGTCCGCATCGCGATGCATCTAAGAATCGATTTTTTCCCGCACCCCTATAGATGAGTGAGGTGGGGGGGGGGTGGTTTTTGGGGTATATCGTATCACAGAAATTATGAATGTTTTTTTTTTCATAATTTCTAAATTTTTACATAAGTGGTGAATAACCCAACATTACAATTTACAAGTCAAGTTTAATTTTTTCTCTTAATGTGTTAAATTCAGCAGATAAACAGTCATTGTGCATTAAGATGTGCAGAAGAGTGTCCTCTGTAGAGGATGTGTTCACTTACTGTCATTTAGAAAATCACCAAAACGTCATTTGAGCAGAGGAGTTTAAACCCTTAAATATGACTGTATGTCTGTTTGCAGGGGCAGAACAGTCTAAAAGTCTCTTTAGACCTTTTGTGTAAATGGTACTGAACATATTTCTCCACAAGATGGCAGCAGACACCAAAAATGTATTGATTGAGAAAAAGATGCTTTGCTTGAATCAGTGTTCTGAGATGCTGAGAGTCATTTGACCTGAAATGATTCACAGTAGAGAAACATACAAGCTCAGAGCTCTTTATAGTTGTGATGATGGGAACCAGGGGTTGTGATGTCTACAGTTTAAATATAGCCATTTTATTTAGTATCCAAAGCAAACAGTGTTTTATATATAATGCTGTTAATGGTAAAATAGAGATAAATTTTAAAAATATATATATACATTTTCTTTGGAATATGATATATAGCAATATACAGGTATTATATATATACATACATGTACATATATATATATATATATCGCTGTTGTCGGAAGAAAACCTTGTATCTTCAAAATGATAACTTTACAGGAGAAGGAAAAACCTGCTTTACTTTTAATGTAAGTCTATGGAACCAGACTTTTTTACAAGTAATTTTGGGTAATTTCTTTTGGTCCATTCTTCAAGAAATTTACACACAATGTTAAGGACAATGGGTATTTTCAAATAATGTCAAAAACTGAAAAACGACAAAAATCTTCTGACAGAGGCGATATATATATATATACATATATATACATATATATATGTATATATATATATATATATATATATATATATATATATATATATATAGAGAGAGAGAGAGAGAGAGAGAGAGAGAGCGAGAGAGAGAGAGAGAGAAAGAGAAAGACCTGACCCTGTATGATATGTGCATATATGGCTGTACATATCGGATTTACATATGGGTTAATCTGCCTTACATCTCCCTGCATGTACTTCTCTGCCTTGTTTATACATTACATCAAACCTTTATTTCAAAAAGGTGAGGAAAATTCAATTTTCCAGATATGGGCCCTTTAAATGACAATATGCTATAGAGCAGGAGTCTCAAACTCTGGTCCAGGAGGGCCGCTGTCCTACGCAGCTGAGTAATTTCCTTGTTCAAACACACCTGCTAAACCTGATAATTAACTGGTGAGTTGAATCAGATGCATTTCAACAAGGAAATCACCAAACTGTGCAGGATTCCCCCTCTAGAGTGAACCAGGCTTTGAGACCCCTGCTACAGGGTATGAAAGAGTACAACATTAAAACTGAATGCTCTATTATGAACTTTCACACCCATATTCTGTATCATATATGGCCCATATCCTACACTTTTTTGTTGTATTTCACTTTTTCCTATATTTGCATGCCTTTATGTACCACAAACAACCAGTCTTTATTTGTTACTGTTAAGAGTGTTTTGTTACTTTCCCTTTAAGAATGATATATGTAAATGAGCTATGCTCCGATTGGCTGCAAAAAGCTCTATGAAGCACTGCCTAGAACTTAAATATAAATGGATGGGGCTAAACCGCTGTTGGCTGAATAGGTGGATATATGTGAATAGGGCACGCGGTACGCCTGCTCAACTGTCCGTACCTTGACAGTTCCTTTGTGGAGTCAACTGCTCCTATTTATAACTGAACTCCAGTTAATTTCCCCTACAGTGTCTGGGTCAGGGGCCTGTTGCCCCCCATCCTGCCTGAGAGACGCATACCGACCCTCAACTATCCACACCCTGCCAGTGCCACACCCCAGCTTAAATAACTTTCGCTTCCCCAGGCCTCTGCGTTTCTTCATTTGGGGGGCTGTTGGCCATGTGGGCACATGGTTTAGAGGCTAGCGTGTTAGCAAGGCAGACTTGAAAAGCAGACTAGGAGGCACCTTCGCTTGGACTGTTGTCGGATGAGGAGAACGAAACTTGTTTGTAATCTGTTTCTGGTTCTGTTGTTGATCTACTGGACATTCTTCAACTGTATAGAGGAACAGGATCAATTGTAACCATTGGATGCTGGGACATCTGAAGGAATTCCTCTGGTAAATGTTTCATTGACTGGAGATTTGAATTGATAAAAGCTGATTGATACGCTTGATAATTGACTGTGACGATGGTAATGCAGTGAGCACTTTTTCCAGACTGAGGCCTGAATCAGCTTGTGGTTGGAGGCACAGTCCCCAGCCATTTTGACGGGTTTTGTTTGTGACAGTTTGTGAGTCACACGCTCCAAAATAGAGACAGAAATACTTTGCGTGCCCGTGAGGAAGAGACAGCGCTCCGAGTAGCTGGAGGGAAGCGTCTGAGAGAGAAAGAGAGAGAGAGAACGAGAGAGAGAGAGAGATACTCAAAAACACCCACTGTCATCTCCCCTGCCCCGGCAACAACAGGCAACAGGCAGCCAGGGGTCACCATCACATCAGGAGCGGAGCATCACCTGGACAACCTGACACAACTTGTACATAACTGTGGTCCAAAATGATCAAAGTCAACATAGCCACGGTTTGAAATCTACAGACACGTTAAAGCGCATCTTCCAGAGTCCAGTGGATAGCACTGGGTCAGCGGCAAGTCTGTGCAAAAGTAATTGGTCCTGTTTGAAAAGAAGCCTTTCTAAAATCTGCACTGTTTCTTATTCAGACATGCTAACTAAAAGAAGGGGCATCAGCGTGAACCCCCAGGGGGGGTCTTATTTAAACCGGACGGCAATACTCTCCCCTCTGGGCGCTGTCCGTTTGGCCCAGCTTGCTTTAGGCTGTGCGGTCATTTCCTTAGTGGCTCACACTGCCGGCTATAGCGCCCCATATGGGACGTTCTGCATGGTAGTATGGAGTACTTGCTTTGCACTTTCGGCAGCTATCTTTATTCTGGATGTGACGTGGCTACATTCCTGTCTTCCTGTGTCCTGGGACAACCTGACCGTGACCCTGGCAGCGTCCGCAACTCTGCTGTACCTCATGGCTTCTATTTTGTACCCTGTCTACTTTGTGAGCTCAGAGTGCCCCTACAACGACTGTAACGTGAGAAACTTCAGAATAGCTGTGACGGCCTGCTCTTGGGCGGCTTTTGTGGCATACGGTGTCGAAGTGTTCCTGTCCCGGGCCAAACCGGGCCAGGCGGCGGCCTACATGGCTACACCATCCGGCCTCCTGAAGGTGGTGCAAGTTTTCCTGGGCTGCGCCATCTTCGCCACAAGGAGTGAGTTCTCGCTCCACGCGGCCACTATCTACTGTGCTGTGGTGTTCGGCGTCTGCTTGGGCGCCACCTCGCTGTTGGTGGCCCTCAACGTGTGTGGCCGTGCTGCCCCTCTAAGGCTGCCCTCCGACCGTTCGGTAACGCTCTACGCCTTCGCCGCTGTGCTGTTGTACCTGAGTGCCGCTGTAGTCTGGCCCATCTTCTGCTTCGACAGGAAGTATGGGACGCCGATCCGACCCCAGGGCTGCCCCAGGGGGAAGTGTGCCTGGGACAGCCAGCTGGTTGTCACTGTGTTGTGCTTCATCAACTTGGCCCTGTACATCGCAGACCTCTGCTATTCCCAGAGAGTACGCTTTGTGACACAACGGCCACGTGTATAGAAATTCCTCAGATGTGTGCAGTTTTCTGTTGGCTACCTTTCTATTTATTTTTGAGGACACGTTGAACTGATTATTAGACATCAGGCCAACAATTCTATAAGGTGCTAAGGGTGGACCCCTCTTGGTATGACCTAGGCCTGTGGTTCAGCAGATGTTTCCATAACCGGTATAGCCTCATCTGTATCTAACAGGGGTTTTTATTATTAATTGACATTTCCTTTAATAGTCTATTTTATCTTCACATTTTGAATGTTTGTAGTGGTCTCACAGGTATTTGCCAGGTGTTTTCTAACATTAAACTTGCTAATGATTATGAGCCTACATTGTTAAAGAGGAATTCCACCAATTCCACCAAAGTTCTGATAGGAAAAGCTCCATTCTTGAGGAAACTTACCAAATTAGAATTGTTCACAGTGGTGGTTTTTGTAACCAGACATCTGAAGCGTGCCTCATGCCTCTGAAATTATTAATGAAATGGTTACTAATGCAATGTGTGATGCCTGAGACATTGTTTTACGATAGTTTTGACATTAGAGGTCCATTTTTTAAAATATATTCAAGATGGAGTAGTACATACAGAGTGTTGCTAAGAAAATTATATTTGTGTTGCAGACATCGTGACCCCTGGTTCTCATCACCACCACTGTAAAAAATATGCCCTTGTTTACATGTCAACAATTGAATTATGCCGAAAAAAGTGAGATTCCCCTTTAACAGTTTTTATCTGATACCAAGAAAAAATAAAATTCCACATTTGCTGGCCTGATGTCTTATTACTTTTATTTGCAATTATGAATTATCTGTCAAGGCTACTATAGTTAAAAAGGCTTCAACTTCAAGTTAAGTATCCTGGATGTAAAACGATGTGTTCATTTGTGGTGGTGAAGTGTTGGGTTACATAAGTCTTGTGAAAGAAATTTTTTTATGTGTTCAAAAAATAAAATTGAGTACAATTAGTAGATTTTTGGCCACTTTAACAAGCAAATATCACAGGCACCAAACTACCCTCATGCACATACTTGCAGACCTCTGCATTCATATGTGTGCCCAGCATTCCTGGCATTACTGTTGAAAGTGCTGAGGGTGGGTCTGTGTCCTGTGCATGACCCACGATACAGTGTTAGTTAACCCTGAAACATGACCCACCCACACGCTGTCTGGCATCCTTTTAAACAAGGACTGCTTAGCCTGATAGACCCTTAAAAGCCCTCTCTGGTATGACCACCTTAATCCTAGAAGACAACCGCCACCCCCCTGCCCACAGCCCTGTCCCTCGGCCGGTCCTGGGACTCTGCTCCCCCCTCTCTGTCCAGCTGGTCACTGCGTCTCTCAGTCAGCATGTTTGCTCTCCTGGAGGACACGCAGAGACTAATCCAGTCGACTCAGCAGCCACACGGATCTGCAGATTTTCACTCAGCTCTTCATTTTCTGTTAGCAGCTCTCTCTCTCTCCCTCCCTCCCTCCTCCCCTCGTTCCTTTTTACTCTTCTTTCTTTCTTTCTTTCTTTCTTTCTTTCTCTTTCTTTCTTTCTTTTCTTCTTTCTTTCCTTCTTTCTTTCTTTTTTCTTTCTTTCCCTTTTCTTTTTTCTTCCCCTCTATTCTTTCTTTCCCCTCTATTTCTTTCTTTCTTTAGCTCTTTCCCATGCATTCTTTCTTTCTTTTCCTTCTATTTCTTTCTTTCTTTCATTCTTTCCTGTCTATTATATCTCTATTTCTTTCCCCTCTATTTCTTTCTTTCTTTCTTTCTTTCTTTCTTTCTTTCTTTCTTTCTTTCTTTCTTTCTTTCCTTTCAGTCCTGTCAGACTGTAGAGGAGCACTGAGAGGAATGAGCATGTGGACTAAAGCTGAGATTAGAGATCTGTTTATGTTTTGTTTAGTGTGCTGTGTTGTGTCTAAATATTGTAACAATGCTTTTGTTTCACAGAGAACTTGGTGTTAATGGAGTTGTGGTGCTGGTGTAAAACAGAAGAGCAGCGTATAGAACATCATTCAGCTCTTCAGAGGTTCATCTGTTAATGGATGTTTTCTGCTGGTAAAAAAAATCTGTGATTAGAGAACAAGAACACGCTTGTGTCTCTGAGTAGGGGTGCGTGTGCGTGAGTGTGTGTGCGTGTGTGTGTGTGTGTGTGTGTGTGTGTGTGTGTGTGTGTGTGTGTGTGTGTGCGCGTGAGTGTGTGTGCGTGCGTGTGTGTGTGTGTGTGTGTGTGTGTGTGTGTGCGCGTGAGTGTGTGTGCGTGAGTGTGTGTGCGTGTGTGCGCACGTGTGTGTGTTCAGCCCCTTCAAAAGGTGCTCACTGATAACACGCTGAGGAGAAGAGTTGCTGACTCGCTGATGTAGATAATCGCTCTCATTTTTTTCAGGCTGTCACTGATTTTTCTGCTTCGCTCTGCTTTCTCTCTCTCTCTCTCTCTCTCTCTCCCTCTCTTTCCCTCTCTCTCCCTCTCTCTCTTTCTCACTTTCTTTCTCTCTCTCCCTCTCTTTCCCTCTTTCTCTCTTTCTCACTTTCTCTCTCTCCCTCCATCTCTCTCGCCCTCTAACTCTCTCTCCCTCTCTCCCTCCCTCCCTCCCTCTATTTCTCTCTCCCTCCCCTTTCTCTCTTTTTCCTCTTTTTTTCTTTCTCTGCTCTTTCTCTCTCATGTTTCTGTATCTCTGTCCCCTTCTTCTTTTCACCCCTCTACTTATATATTTCTCTCTCTATGTCTCTCTTTCTAACCCTCTCTTTCCCTCTCCTTTTGCTCTCTCTCTCTCCACCTCTCCCTCTCTCTCTCTCTCTCTCTCGCTCACAGTAAGCAGTGCACATGTTTGAGGGATGTATGTTTGTATGTTGGAGGAATAGGATGACCTGTGTGTGTGTGTGTGTGTGTGTGTGTGTGTGTGTGTGCGCGTGTGCAGGCCTCTCAGTTGACAGTCCACCCAGATCAGCTCAGTCTCTCACCGCTGAGCCAGCGTGCGCGCGCGTGGTGTGTGTGTGTGCACGCGCAGTGATGCCTCGCCCATCTCCCATCAGCCCCTGGGGCAGCTGTAGGGCTGTGACATCTCAGCGTCATCCGTTTGGCTCCGACACCTACAGTCTGCCAGACCTCCCGTCACTGAGTGTGTTGTGTGTGTGTGTGTGTGTGTGTGTTTGTGTCTGTGTGTGTGTGTGTGTGTGTCTGTGTGTGTGTGTGCGTGTGTTTGTATACTTGTTTTTTTACATTTTCAAGCCAAAATGTCCTGAGAAAAACAACAAAATGATTCATGTTTCATATTTTAAAACTCAAAGACAAAAACACTTCTTTTCAGTTGAGATTGAGGTTAAGATCAAAGTTCTATATGTATTCTTATTACTTACATTTAATATATATCAAACAACGTGTACACACACATTTATCACTGCTGTCGGGACAAAACCTCATATCTCCATTTTTGTCATTTTAGAGTTTTTGAAAATGCCTGTTGCCCCTTACATTGTGTGTAAATGATGAGCAGACCAAAAGAACAGCCAAAATGACTTGGAAAAAAATTCTGGTTCCATTGACTTACATTAAAAATGAAGCATGTTTTTTCTTTCTCCTGTAAAGTTACCATTTTGGAGATACAAGGTTTTGTTCTGACAGCAGCGATGTGTGTGTGGGTTTGTGTTTGTGTGTGTGTGTGTATGTATACTTTGTCCCATATGTATTATATGGGAAATATCATTACTACATATAGGTATTTACACATCTATAATACATATAGGGCCTGTTATATTACATATAGGTATTTTCATATATATCAAACTTATTGGACATCTTTTCTGACATTGTATAAAAACAAACAAAGGTGTGTGTGTGTGTGTGTGTGTGTGTGTAAGTGTGTGCAGTTCAGGAGCTCCCACCCAAAGGCCTGCAGGACCCTTCACTCCCCTTCAAAATCAGTGGAGTGTTCCTTCACATTTGAAACCTTTCATGAATCCATCCATCTCAGCGCTTTTGTACAGTTCATGTGTTACAGACCTTCACATACACCTGTAGGCTAACTGCGTTTGTACTGAGAGACTTGTCTACTTATTTCTTGTCTGATTTCAAACTGTTGCCACATTTGTGCCGTGTACCTTCCATATCATGGAAACCCAAATTTTCCTTGTTTTTTCCTAAATGAAAACAGCCTATTTTGAATTCATCATGGTTGTAACATCACAACCTAAGCCTTTCAAATAACCCACATACTCAGTAAGAGAGGTTGAATTTCAATCTGAATTTAACAATTTGCATCATAAATTCAGCCCTGACCGCTTTTTGAACAAGCTGCAATAAAGGGCAGCCAATCAGAACAGAGGTCATTTACATGTATCACTCTTAAAGGCACAGTAACAAAAACAGCTTGTCTAAGAAAGAGTAAAAGATGGAGAGATATGAGTTCAGCTGATGCCGGTAGGGTCTTCCTCTCTGTATCTCTGACTGCTGCAGTCTGTGATCTCGTTATGCTCTGTGCCCACATCTTCACAGCGGTGAGAGTTGGGCGTCTGAGTGAGATCAGGGCAGACAGCTGTCCATCAGCAGCCGGAGCGCTCTGCTGCCGCAGGCTCCTGTGCAGGAGCACGAATAGTAGCCCCCTGTCACGGCCCATCAGTCACACACACACGTTGGCCGTGATGTCTGTGTGGTCTGTCAGAACCAAGATTGAGGGTGTAAGTGTGACCAACCCGGGTGATCTCAAATCAAAGGGCATATATATATATATATATATATATATATATATATATATATATATATATATATATATATATATATATATATATATGGTAACATTATTTGGATGATCCACTGTAGATGTTTTGTAAATGCCCAGTCTGGTGAGTCTGTGGGTCTGTAAGTTAACATTCAACTAAATTTCCATTAATTGCGACTGAACTTCAAGTTCATTGTGAAAGAGTTTATTACATCCATCCCTGACCCAAACTCTAACCCTCACCTTAACCTCAAATCAAAACCTACATCTACTGTATAATGCTGTTGAACTGAACAACACTAGACAGTTTGTTAATGACTTAAGTATCTGTAGAGTATCTATAGGGGATCATCCAAATAAAGTGTGACCATATATACTGTTGAAACAAAACCTGGTACCTTTTTGTCGTTTTTCAGTTTTTGACATAATTTGAAAATGCCTGTTGCTCTTTACATTGTGTGTCTGGTTCCATTGACTTACATTAAAAGTAAAGTATGTTTTTTCCTTCTCCTGTAAAGTT